TATACGTGCTCGTGTCTACGAGCAGACTTTTGTTATTCTTCTTTTCTTTTACTTGAACATGCCTATCGATCTCGGCCCGGAAAGCTTTAGCCCCCACCCCTCTCCTTCTTACCTGTCTAAACTCATATACAACATAATCTAAGCCCCCACGTAGTTTTCTTATATTTATTCATCTAATTCTTCTATCAGTACTCTATCCCCTAATCAGTCTTCTCTATAAATTAATATATTTGGTCTAATTTCTCCTCCCTCTCTTCGCCGTACTTTCTTTCTCCCCCCCCCTCCTATCTATCTATCTATCTATCTATCAAATCAAGACGTCACCTTTGTTATTCTCCGTCTGCTTGCAATGTGTATTTACCTATTCTTTACTTTCACTGCTGTTACTCGCTACATCTCCTTGCCACTCTTGCTAGACTTTTCCGTTGAGAACGAGAGATAGAGGGAAAGAGAGGCGACAGTATTGCATGCTCTTGTTCTACGACGACACCTTGAACTGATTAAAGGGACAAATAGAAATAGGTGAAAAGAAACAAAGATTATTTAAAATGTTCAGCGTTTAAGTGATGGGCGTTTCTCACTCTAAAAATAATAATAATACAAGACGACAGTTACTTTATTACTCTTATGATTAATAAAAACACGAGTAAATATCTCTTTTGAACAGCATTTCTTGTCCCTTTAATCTACTTTACTAGGCTTAATTATTTTTACTCGTTTGAATATTTACTCCTAGCAGGAGCTTTTCCTTCTATTCATTTGCGAATATAATTATCTATTTATCTTTAATTCTCTCACTCACTCACACACTCTCTCTCTCTCTCTGTACCACTTTCCTTTTTCATTTTTTATAACAGGTTATAACGTATACAAATACTCTAAGCACTCGAAGGTCATCGCTAGTACAAAATCCTCTCTCTTTTCATCTTCTTCTATAAGAATCATTTTTTTCTCTTTTTTTGGAATATTCGAGTTAATCTTTTCTTTTTGTTTTCACTAGTTCAAATCTACTTGCATGTTCTCTTGTATTTTTTTTTTACTCTTGTCCCTTTTATGTGTTGAATGTGGTAGAATATATCTCCGCCAGATGTCGCTCGTATCCAGGGATTGACATGTATTTCCAAGTAATAGAAAGAAAAACTAAAGGTATGGAAACAATGGGATAAGAGCAGCGGGGAGGGAAGAGAACAGATGGATATCGAGGGCGGTAGATATATTTGAACGGAAGCAATTTATCTATTGAAGTAGGGAATTTTAGTATAAAATATTACGTAATAGAGTGTAAGATAGGATTGAAAGAAAAATGAGTGATATAACATTGAAGAGAAGGAAAAAGTAAAAATTATTATTGCTATTATAGCAGTATATACAAGTTCAAAACGTTGTGCTAAGTGAATTAGCTTATATGCTCTTTGCGGATTAAAACTATATACTACTTATTTATTCCATATAGTGTATTGACAGGTAGATAGGGAACGAATAGGATTTACAAATGTAGAAACACATATATAGATGAATTATAAGCCTTAAATGTCTATATATATACAATACTAACTTAAATATACTACATACTAATATATACACATATCGTACTTTCAATGTCGCCGGCTACGTGGCGCTTTCGAACGTTCAACTAATTTTCTTTATCATTCTATTTCTGATTCTGTAGCAGGTCAAGTCGTTTGTTTTTTTAAAAAAAAAGCATATATAGACACAGTACAGAGGTATGTTCATGTAGCATATGTATGTATATATACATATATACTTATATACTGTATATATATATTTATATATTGTATGTGTATATATTAGATGTTTTTATTAATAAGATACAGTTGAGTGAGTGTAAACGAGAGGGAGGAGAAAGTGTGTATATACAAGTCTGTGTGTATAAAATTAAAGCGAGAGAGGGAGAGAGGGAGAGGGCAAAAGAGAAAGATAGAGTACAATAATTCAGTTAAAGGATAACCATAGCATATGTGAACATTCATATTGTAATAAGCAAGTTTTGATGGATTTTTTTCTTCAAAGCTCGCCAAAAATTAACAGTTTATTAGTTGTTTCGCAGTTGAAAGCTAATTAGTTTCTTGGTTGGATGATGAGTGTGAAGAATAAGGGATAAGAATGAAAGGAAATAAGAGTATAGGAATTCACCTGAATTCTTAATGAATGACCGAGCTAACGTATGCAAACGTGTACAGAGTAATATAAGTTGCCTTTGACTATGCATATGTGTAAGTATCGTAAGGTTAAGGCGTGTCTTGAAAGTGGCTCAATCGAATTTTTTCTCTCTCCTCTTTCTGGTTATAAGGTGCGCTAACAGCGGATATTAGAAGAAATAATAATAAAGTTTACGTCATAGCCAATCACACGAAACGATTTTCTCGCATGGTGTATGTTTGCTTTTTAACAAAAGCAATACGAAAATGGCCGAGTTAAAAAGTAAAAAGAAAAAAACACCAATGGTTCACCTTACAACCTTTTACTACTGTAGTATTATAGATTGTGCTACCATACCACCACCCCCTCTTTCCCATTGCCACCAGGGCTTATTACTCTTCCCTCCCTCCCCAGCTACTCTAGTTTCTTTCTAGTTACTCTGACAGTCTGTCTCTTTCTCTTTTCTCTCTCTCTCTCTCTCTCTTTCTATCTATCAGTCTATCTATCTTTGCTTTTAGATAGCAGTCTTGTTTGAAGCGCTGGCTGTTTGACCGCAAGGTGTCGTTTTCCTAATTTCCGATATCGCCGTATCATTTCATAGTATAATAGCTGTTGACCTACATCAGGTAAAAATTCGTGAAATCGTTAAAGATTTTGTTCTAATTGTATATATATATCAACCTATGTATCTGTGTATCTATCTATCTATATATCTAACTATCTATTGGGTCTGCCTACTACGGTTAGGTTACTTAATAAAAATGTATTTTCTTTGGCCTAGCAATAATACTATTCTACCAGACGATTGGCTTAAAATTGAAATGTTTCTTTAACGATTCTCTCTTTTTCTCCCTACAGAGTCGTTTAACATTAAAAAGAGTTGATCTTGTAATTTTGAAACAATGACTACTCCAAGAACAAGAGAAGAAGAAGCAGAGAAAACTGAAGAGAAAGCTAGAACTTTCTCGGGAGGTGAAGGAGCGGAGGGAAGACGTCGTTCCTCGTCGAACGTTTTTTTTAAACGTGCTGTCGTATTGGCTGTAGACGCTAGCGAGAATGCAAAATTAGCATTCGAATGTGAGTAATATCCTTCCAGTAGTTGTATTTAATTTTTATTTAACCGGTTATTTGACTCTTATGATAAGTTTCTATTTTATTTTTTTTATCTTACATAGACATAGGCGTTTTCGAGATAAAGCTTTTTCTTATATCTCTTTTTTTTTTTATTTTTTTTTGTATTACTATTTAAAAAACCTGGAATTAATCGAATAGAAAAAAAAAGAGAGAAGAATCGATTAAACAAATCTTTTTATCTGATCACGAGCAATTCACCTAATTCATTTAAAGTTTCTCTCTGTGAAAAGAGAGAGAGAGAGATGATCATTTTTCTTTTTTACAACTTGCTGTATTTTCTATCTCATCGTCTCTTTATACTTTTTATCACCTCTTCCTCTCTTCTTTATTAAAGACAACGTGGAGTTGTAAGAACGCTCAACTATAAATACACATTCATTTAATTTTCTCGCTTTTGCTAAGATAATAGGAAAATGATTTGAAGGTCATACAAGTTGCGCAATTCGACTTTGAACTAACGGACGTAGGCCATCATGATTCAGAGTATTGGAAATAGCACGCATAAATGTCCTCTGGGTAACATTACGTCAGGGAATTAGTACATTACCATAAAAGGAAATGTTTATTTCACAATAATGATCAGTTTTATTCATTCACAACTGCAAAATACGTAATATTTTTCGTATGATTCCAGTGTTATTACTATAATTAGTGTTATTATTACGGAAGATAAAACCTAATATAAGAAGGTTGTAAAAGAACGAGATGGATATATTAGATGTAATTTACAAATAGAAAGAGAGAGAGAATGAATGAATGAATGAACAAACAAATATACATATTTACTCTGTCTATAAGCATATGTAAATGTTCACTATTTCTATTAAGCCTAGATAACAAGACTAAAAGAAAAGATAACAATGAATAAAACAATGGAACTTTTGAACAAAAAAAGATAAATTATCTTGTTCAAAAATTGATTTTTTTTTATTTGAACATTTGATAATAAGTGAAAAGTTAATGTACAGTAGGCCTTTATATTTATGTATACAATATATTAAGAGTGAGAGAGAGAGAGAGAGAGAAAGAAAGAAAGAAAGAAAGAAAGAAAGAAAGGATATTAGATAATTCTATATTGCAGTAAAATGTGTTTACCTAGCTTAGGTTTCTAGATAGATGGAAACATATTATTGCTTCCGTCGCCAGAAAGCACACAGTTTTTTCTATTAAGCTTAATATATATTAATTTTTTGCAGATTTCCTGGCCGAACATTATAGACCGGATGACCTGCTTATCCTCACGCATTGCCCGGAAACCCCAAAATTGCCTTCCTTCTCTTTTAAGAGTAAATATTTTTTTAAATTCTTCTCTTTCTTATTATTTTATCATTGCAACTACCACTATTGCTACTTCTTCTTATCTTAACCACTCTAATTTACTCTCTATAATCTCTCAAGATCCGATGAAGCTACCCGTCGATGATTGGAAAAGAACCTTAGACGATATGAATTCGAAAACTAGAAAGTTGGAAGAGGATTACGAAACAACCTGCATTCAGAGGAAAATTAAATACAAAATTAGAGGACAGTGCTGCGATAAGCCAGGAGAAGGAATTCTTTCGGTGGCCAATTCCGAAAATGCGGATTTGATCGTTATAGGAACACGTGGATTGGGAACTATTAAGAGAGCTATTATGGGATCGGTATCCGAATATGTCGTCAGAAACGCTCCCTGTCCCGTAATCATTGTTCCAAGAAAGAAGGACAGACGCGAAAGTATTTCAAAGTCGTAATATAATCGACATTTGATAAAGATAAATTTTATTATTAATCACGTGACTCTCTATTATATTGGCCAACATTTTTTCACTTAAATATTACCTTAAAGAAGGAGAGAGGAGGAGGAGGAGGAGGAGATAGCGATAGAAAGAAATATAGAGCTAGAGAAAGATAGGGGCGGGGGGAGGGGGCGGTTAAGAAAAAATCTAGAATTACGAAACGAAAAGAAAATGGACAAAAAAAAAAGAACAAAATTTCTAAAAAATCCAACCCAAAAAACGAAAAAAAAAACCTTAAAAAAAAAATTAAAATCAAGGGTCACGTGATTAATTATTAAAATTTATGAAAAGTTTAATAATAATAATAAATATGAAAGAAAGATAGATTGAAAACAAAAAACAGACAAAAAAAACGGCACTTTTTCTCTTTTCTTTTTCATCTTTTTTAGTATTTTGTGTATAATTAAAGATATTTTAATTAATTAGATGTTTTTAATTCTTTCTTTGTTTATTACGTTTGTATTTGATTTCCAATTGACCTTTTTATTGACCTTTTTTCTCTCGCCACCCTACAACCTATTATTTTCCCTTTCTTTCTTTCCTCTCTTCCCACCCACTCACCCATCAAACTTTCTAAACCGTTTTCAAAGGGATAACAAAGAAATAAGGATAAAAATTTTTTAAATGATGTATGATTATGGTGGTGATAGAAACAGCCTTTATCAATCTACATACCTAGTTCTCAGCATCCCCTCTCCTCTCTTCTCTCTCTCTCTCTCGCTCCATCTCTTTTAAGGCTTTCACGGTTGTTACTGTACTAAAGTAATTCGTTTTTATACACCTATATACAGTACATTTTGAAATATAGTAATACTTAGTAGATATAACAATAAAGTCATTAGTATACTATAAAACACTAAGTAGTTAATTCGTTCGTTCGTTCATTCATTCATTCATTCATTCAATTCATCTACACTTAATTGCTTACTCTACTACTCAAGTTAAAGTTGACGTGATGATTATGTATCTTTTATTTTTGAATGAATAAACGTTCAAGCTAAACGCTAAACAAATAAGAAAAAGGTGTTTTTTCGTATTGAAAACATGCATATTTCCACATGTTCAATAATTTCTTTAGTAAAAGAATATAGGTGGCGCCATTGCTTCGATATAGATGATTTCCTGCTGAAGGAGATATTTGAAAATATATTGTACTGTATATATATATATAACCGGTTTTCAATGGTATTTCGCACAAAAAATGGCAGCAGTTCCAAGGCATGTGATAAATTCTCTTTTTCTCTTCTCTTTGCAAACGATCACTGTGACAAATGAAAATTTCTACGTACCAAATAATAAAAATATATTAAATGACAAAAGCAATGAGAAAAATATCAATTTGAAAAATACTAATATCGACCATTCAGGTTGTTTATCTGCTATAGATTCGAACTCTGATTGCTATCCTCTATTATCGCTCAATGAAAAGAATGAGTTAATCAACGATAACGACAATTATCGAAACGAATATTTTATATTAAATAATCCTAATATTAATTTAAAAGAAGATATACCTTTAATATTGCATTATGATTTTAGAATAGAAACAAATGGTGAGTACATTCTTAAAATATTTCCATTTTATTATTATTACAATGTTTATTATCGTTGAAAGTATCTTATTGAAAATGCGTTTATTCTATTAAATTAAAGGAAAGAACGTTTTACCATCCGACGATTGTTTTGGTAAAACAAAAGCGGAATGTTTTAATATCCGTAAATCGGAAATAAAGGTTTGTTCAAAGATAGATAGAGAGATGGATAAAAGCTCTAGTAATTTACAACCACACTCTCTTTCTCTTCTCACAGGAAGCTGCAAAAGCCTTATCTCTATCTGGCGATAGCCTTAAAAGCCTTACGAACGATGAAGCGTTCAATACTGAAATAGGTTTGTATTCTCTTCTTCGCAATCCTGCGTCAGGTTTGTCATGGCAATAGACCACCGTGCTCACCTGTACATTTCTATAGCATATGGGATCCTCCTGACAAACAATAACTTTGGCGACGAAGCGATTAATCATTTTACTAAAGTTATTCGTGTAAGTTGCTAAAAAGGAAGAATCAATCAATCAATCAATCAATCAATTAATCGTACTCTTAATCATCTTTTTCAGGACTATCCTAACGAAGTTGCTGGTTATTTAGGTAGAGCTTATTCGCATTTCTTCAGTCAGGATCATAATCGATTTCGTAAGGCTGAGAAAGATCTGACTAAAGCTATAACAATTGCGCCAAAATCTGCCGAACTCTACGAGCGAAGAGCCGAATTGTTTATACAAACTCGTCAATATAAACTAGCCTTAAAAGACATAAAAGCTGCCTTGGAGTTGAAATCCGACTCTGTCAGGGCGTACTTTCTAAGTGGAACATTGAACTTCTTAACTAACAATCTAGAAATTGCCGAAGAAAACTTTAAACAATGCTTAATAAAGAAGGATAGAGAACCGGAATCGAAGGATTATCTTAACGCCTTATTGAATTTAGGACTAGTAATGTTTTACAGAGGAAGAATTAGAGTTCGTTTTATCCATATACTACATATGTTTACTTGTTTATTATATATATATGTATATATATAGTATAACAGTATACAGTATATCCCCTTTTTCAATTATTTCCTACAGAATGCTATCGAAGCCTTTAAGGAAGTTTTGGCAATCTCACCAAACGATTTAGACGCTCATATAAACCTTGGACAAGCTTATAAGTAATTTTCTTATCTCTTTTCCTATCTTTCCCCCTTTTCTAAATTAATACGAGCAAAATCGTTTCATCTCAACCTCTATATTCATCTTTTCTCTCTCATTTGTTGGATCATAGAAAGAAATCTCATTAGGGCTAATACTCTTAGTCTTTTTCTTCGTCCTCCCCTCTCCCTCCCTCTCGCCCTCCCTCCCTCCACACACACACACACAGCATACAAAATTTCTCTTTGCCTTAATTAATACTTTTCTAATCCTATTTATTTTAGTTTCATCATTTTTTCTCCTTTTCTTTTGACAGAGAATTAGGTGATACTAAAAAATCTATAAGTCACTTTACATCTGCCTTAGAGAATGGACAAAGGAAGAAGAAAGATATTTTACAATTGAGAGGTATACTCTATTTCAGTTCAGGTCATACCGATTTAGCCTTAAGAGACTTAGAGGTTAGATTAATTCTTAATCTCTTTAATAAACTATGAAATATTTATTCTTAATTTAAATTTGTTTAATTCAGAAATGTTTAGTTATTGATCGATTAAATAAAGTATGCAGACTTTATTATGGATTATCCTTATTTAATAGAGGAAAGCTCTTCTCTTCCGTGAAAGAATTTACAAAAATTATTGTCTATGAAGATTTAAATTTATTACAGTTGAAATATTCAAATGAAATACTCAAAGCCAACTACTTACGAGGTATTTTATCGATTTCTCACTTGTTTCTATCACTCCCTCTCTCCCTCTCTCTCTCTCTCTCTCTCTCTCTCTCTCTCTCTCTCTATTTCCATCTCTCTTTATCTTTTCATCCTTATTAAGTATGCTTCTTTTTTTTTCTGTTAATATCAATAGAGTTTTCAAGATACGTCCACTCAAATTTGGACACTCCTTTCATGGAATTTGACGTAGATACTGAATTTTCTAACCAATTTAAAGATTCTTGGATAAAATCTATTGAATTCCCAAAAATGGTAAAGAATTCTTTGATTTCATGTTAAAACATTTATAAATTGTTAATCTACCTATTATTATTTTCATTATTAGGATTACATAGAACAGCCTGGTATAAAACCGGAAATTGCAAATGTTCAATTACCGCCTAATTTGAGAAATAAAGATTTAAAAAATTTATTTTGCGAGGCTTGGAAATTGGGAGCGTTGACTCTGGTTAGAATAAAACCTTTAATATATTATTAATATATATAAAAGTAGTCATATGATAAAAAATATACTATTCTTTTTCTTCTTCTTCTTCCTCATCATCAGCCGCAATCCGATGGATATATGGAGAATAGAAGAGTTAGAATAGCAACTGGCTTAGCTATAATAGAAATTGGTCAACATTTTTCTACTAGCCGAACAAAAGATTGGCAATTATTGTTCTCAATTGCAACAAAGTACTTGAGTCTTGCGCAGTGTATTTTACCTTACTTTTGGCTATCTAGAATGGGATTCGACAAATTGGATAAGACTGGTTATACTATGGATATAAACTTTATTAAGTAGGCCTAAAACGCTTTCGTTTTATATACTGTATACTATACACATATTTGCTTAACAGAAACGACGAAAGGAACGTCAGATATTGGAATTATTTTGAATACGTATTTAATCTTATTAAGACGATGATAATGAACTTTAACGGGTACGCTTTTAGTTTTTCCTTTTTTATTCCCTTTCCGCCTTCTCTCTATCTCCATTATGTTTTCGGTAAATTTTAGACCTCAAGTAGACAATTATCCCGGCTACAAGGATGATATTCAAAACGCAAAAACTATTAAACAGCTAATTGACGTCTGTAGAAGAAGGAACATAAAAAAGAGCGGATTCGTTTTAAGTACGCAAATTTCGAGTCTATTTAATCCAAAGAAGAAGATAGATGGTGCTACAATAACTATATCTGCAGAAGAGTAAGTGCAATGGGAGGGATAGGAAGAGAAATTATTTATTTAACCATATGCTCTTTCCAGAAAATCAACATTTTCAATGAAGATACAAGTGAATAAGAACAGTATCGATTCATTTTCGAGGGAAATTGATTTCCTATTCAACAAACTTCATCTTCTCAGTAAAATTACTGCAAACAATAGCAATAATAATAATCATAATAATAATAATCATAATAATCATAATCATAATCTTAACCGTCGCACCAACAATCAGATGCCTAATAATAAGGTAAATATATTCCGCTTGTATATTGTCCTTACTTTCTAGGCCTACATTGCCAAGTAATCTTTTAATAATTCTCTTTCCTTTTTTTCCTATTGGCAGCAATCGCCTGATGAGACTGTCATCAATACTATACTCTCTATAGCGTTTTACCTCTACAACGCAATGCCAATTGCGAAAGGCAATGACCTTATAACTTATACTGGTACCTTAGGCCTTTTGGCATCTTTTAAGAAGATGGTCAAGACTCGTCCATTTCCAGGAAAGTTATACGATATGGACGCGCTCCTAGCGACATCTAGCGAAGCTTTTGTTCAAGTTTTTAAAGAGAACACAAAATTTATAGAATATTCAAAAATTGATAATCTACCGTCAATCCGAAGAGTATTGCCAAATGTAAGAAGTGTTCTAGAGATTTTGGAAGGCGACGAGAGTGTTTGCACTGCCTAAGTATTGCTTTCTTTTATACTATTTTTATTATTTTTCTTTTGTTTGTTTGTTTCATTTTACACAACTTGTGTTTTTCCGTCTAAAAATTAATTATTTCATATTTTTTCCTCCTTCCTTTACCTTCGTTTGTATTCTATGCTTTGGAATAAAAACGTATGTTTTATGGTCATTTGGTTCTTTCTTATTTTCAGTCTAAAACTCCGCCCACTTCCCTCTCGTGTCACCTCGAAAAAAATACTGTCAATATAAATAAATAACTATTCAGTCTATTTGTTTTCGTCATTATTTTCCTTTCTATCTTTTTTTCGAGTGTAAATACAGGAACACAATGATAAAATACATTATTTCCTCTCTTTCTCTCTCTCTATCATTTTTTTCCAGACAGAGACATTTCTCTTATTTTATCTTCTTCTTTTTCTCTACAAATGTTTCAATTACTTTATAAATAAACAAGTTTTTCGTCTCATCACTCTCTCACTCTGTCTTTCTATCCTTCTCTTTGCTGGCGACATCTATCGAGCAATTATTTTCTATTTGATGTCAATACTATAGTTTATACAGTACACAGTGTATTGGGCTCAATAGGTGGTATACTTATATAGGGAATTATTTACTAACCAGAGCTTGAAAAGTTATTAATTGACGGTAGTTGGTTGTATCCAATTACCTTTGCTGCATGTCAATTGCGCCACCTATTGCGTGTTTATCATCTATCGCCGGGTAAAGAGATAAAACGATGATTTAGAACACTTAACTTCCGCTTGCAAAATAGGCGTTGTAAAGCTTGTTGCTTATCGATACGCCTTATCAGCTGGTAGATAGTATTGCGCCGGTCGTGATAAACGTCTTTCAACGGCGTTCTCGATTGGGACGGCTGTTTAGTATAATCGTCGGCTCATTAGATCTGCTTAACAAAAGTTAAGGTATTTTTTTTGCCTGTTTTTGTAAATATTCTTACGCGATATTGAGCCAACTTATAAAGCAGTACAGAAAGAGAGGTAGAAGAAGAAGAAGAGCAGGAGGAGGAGGAGGAGGAGGAAGATAAAGAGGGGGACGGTATAAGTGATACGGAACTTTATAAAAATAGACATATAATATATTTATTAATTCAACTATTAAAGGATATGCAATGGATTAAAGATAATCTCCAAATGGTCAACTCATTTACGTAATTAACAACCTAATTGGTTAATTAAAAAGGTGTTAAGGTTAAAGAGATTAAAAGGGATTTTATCGAGTTCAGCGTTGTTCTTTTACACCTTTAAAAACTTGATTGAATAATTTGAAACCAAATAGTTTAGTCCTGGAAGAAATGATGATGTAACCTCTCCACTTTTAAGTTGTATAGTACAAAGGTTAGAAGATGGATCGTATTACCCTAACGAATTATTCTAAATATGTTCTTTATTCTTGAACCTAACACTATTAATATAGGCCTAAAACGAACACTTTATGGCCGTCGTCAGCCGTCGTTCTTTTTTATTTATTTTTTCTTTGGCAGAAATGAGTGTAAAGGAATTTTGAAAAGGAGAAAAAAAAACCTTATCAGCTGTGAAATGTCAGGATAATCACCCCGAGCGCAACACGCGATCTCTCTCAATTCAATGTGTCCGCTCAGTGTGCGCTGTCGTCAAAGCGTACTTTTCCTGACAAGTTTCCCGCTACTTGACGTTCGAAAGACGGTTTACAGAGCCGAAAATTTCCTGTGGAGAAAAACAGATTATTTTCCAGAATTTCCCGCCAAAACCCAAATATTTTAATTGATAAAAAAAGTGTGAAAATGGAGTTAAAAAAAGTAATTAAAGCTTTAGGAATTTTTCCATTTTAAAGCCTATTAATTTTGTTATTATTGTTTGTAATGGAAAGTGATTAAAATAAATTTTCTCTTATCTAATCTTATAAATAAATCAAATCCAATCCATAGGAAATGAAGAGGGGGGAGATAAGTGGATATGGAAAGAGAGAGCGAGAGGGAGGGTTATAGAGGAGAGAGAGAGAGAGAGAGAGAGAGCCACTTAATTAACACTTTATAGTTTAACGAAAAAAATAAATTTATTAATTAATTAATTAATTAATAACGACAATGGATAAGAGAACGAAAAGGAAATAATAATGAATAATGATTATGGTGATAGTATAATTATTATTATGATAACATTTAAATTGTTCAAGAGTCAATTAAACTCGCATTCTGATCCACCAACGTCCACCTCTTCTTCTTCTCTATCCTTTTTCTCTCTGGCTTCCTTCTCCTTTTGATGGCGCCATTTCATTCGACGATTCTGGAACCAAACTTTAACTTGGGCGTCGGTTAAACCGAGCATGGCGGCGAGTTGTCGTCTATCTGGTTTTGTAACGTATTTTTGAACTTCGAATCTCTTTTCCAGTCCTTTACGTTGAAGGTTAGAGAAGACGGCCCTAGACCAAGATCTCTTTCGTTTGCATTCGTCTCGATGGCTTGAGGGAGCTAAGAGGGAAATGTAGGATAAAATAAGTGAATTTATGATAATAGAGAGAGCATGCTAAGTATTGAGTGGGAGGGGAGGTAGTGAGGGAGGGAGAGAGAGAACGTACGGACCAGAAGTGAGAGGTGATTGATGAATGAATGAATGGGAAAATTGTATAAGAAAATGATACAAATATATACAGTTATATTATAAATTTATCTCTACAAACATCTTATAAACAAACAAAAAGAGAGAAATGAAAGTTAATTTGAATGGAATAATTGATATTTGAAAGTTTTCATAAAATAATCATTTATCATTCTCTTCTTGAAACCTTCTTATGTAATACGATCTATAAAACTTTACTATTAAGAATAGAACGAAACTTAGCTATTTAATTAGCTAATTAATTATTCATATATTCGTATATAAAAGACGGCTGTCATGGAAACGAAAATCGTTTCTTTCAATTCTTTTGTTTCCAAGACGAGTTTTCTTCCGTGAAAAATCATTAGTATTCTTTCTTGGCGCTTAATTGAAAATATTCATAGTATCGTTAAAAATTAACTGAACATCCTTTTGAATAAATAAACAAGACGGAGAACATGGCATTTGACAAATAGCAGACCTCTACTTTTTTTGACAAACGACCCAACAATTAATCATACTTGGAAAACAATCGGATTATAACCTTATTTTATGAGTATAATAATATAGAAGAGAGAGAGAGTGAGGGGAGGGGGGAGGGGACAGCTTTAACATAGGCCTATTTTGTATTAAAAACATTATTACTATTATTATTATTATTAATAGAATTATTCTGTAAAAGCCTTTAAAGAAGAAGGTCATTTAAATAAATAAAAAGAGAAATAACAGAATTTGCCACAGTTTTATAGTTGGAATGAAAAACATTGTAGACAAACAATTGGAGCTTAGAACAAACGTTCGGTTTCATTAGTATTCAATTACAAACTCGTAATAGAGTCCCAATCTACTCAAAATAAACACGGCTAAAAAGAACATTGTATTATTCAAAGTTTACTCAACGCCCCCTAGAGGGGCTTGGTAAATTTCTCTGATCTTTCGATAAACTCTTAATTGTCGTGTTGTTTGTCGGTAAAGTCGTGTTTTTAGGCCTTAGGCTCTTTCTCACGCTTTCTCGTTAAATTCCCTTCTTTTCTACTCAGTTTTCTATTCTTACTATTTACTCGTAATAGGTCTTTCCAACCCTTAGTTCTCTTCTCTCCATTTCTCTCTCATTTGAGAAGCAAACAAACCAAATGAGCGACCAACAGATAATCAATTAGATTTGTTTGCGGGGGGTCTAATCTAAAGCTCCTCTTCTCTCTCTGTCTCTCTCACTCTCTTTAAGAATAATAAATATATAATATTTTCCTTTTCGTCTAGTTAGGAAAAGGGTAGGAGAAGCATTGCGTGAATAAATTTAAATATATTAAATAAGGAGGTTAGTTTTTGCGTGACTGGGTAAACGTTGACACTTGTTGGCCTTGTCAAGCCGTTTATACGACTAATCGTCGGTAATTACGTTTAGAGGTCTTTTTTTTTCAATGCCAGCCACATCTATACTTCTTTCTAATCTTTTATGAGATGACGCCCGTTGATTTTTAACTTTTTCTCTTCTTATCTCAAGCCTCTCTCTCTCTCTCTCTCTCTCTCTTTCTTTCACTTATTCATTCATTTTTCCTTATACGTTTTGTTACAATTACCTGAGTAATTTGGACGGTTGGACGCCGGCAATTGTATCCTACTCGGAACAAACGTCGAATAGTAGACTGGAGGTGAGTAGTGTCTTGGCAAACTTTCCGCTTCTGGTTTGGCTTTTTTCTCTAAAAGGAGAGATATATTTCATAAAAATATATATGTATATATAGACAAACGTGAAATTTGACTGATTAATAAAAGAAGAAGAAGAAGAGAGAGAAAAATGATAATTCCTTGCCTGTTTTGAGAATTGCGTCAATACCAAATTTTAGCTTTCCAGTTTCTTCAAAAGGTTTTTCGGTTGTAAGATTAATAGGATGGGAATAATTTCTATAAAATTCAGATGAAATATTCGATGGAACAATAAAGGGAAGAGACCAATTCGAGGGAATCATACCGGCCGGCTACTTTTTTCGGCATAAAGTGGTATATGTACATTTGTTTGGGCGGAGCTTACGAACCGTTCTAAGCGTTCATTGGCTGTATACTTTGGTTGGATGGACAGAGTGTAAGTGAAGCTTTTTTTTATTTTTTCGTTGATACGTCTTTATTGCCGTAATAGCCGTGTTTATTAGGCGAAATTTTTTTTCTCTCTCTCGCCCGCCCCTCCCCAATCTCTTTTTTCTCTCTCTCTCTCTGTCTCTTCATTTTTCCATCTCTTTCCCATTCTTCAACGAAAAAGAACATTCCATTCTAATCTTAATTAATTTTAATGATGAAAATATTTGAAAGGAGAAGAGAAGCGAGGGAGAAAGAGAGAGAAAGAGAGAGGAATAATGATAGATGATGTTTAGACACTTTGAACAGAAAAGGGTAAAAAAGAGAGATGTAACAAGATAATGAAATATGTAACAGGATTTTTTTTTTCTAAACGGATTGATAAATAGATGGACGGATAAGAAGATAAAAAGACAAATGAGTGATTGAGCGAATAAGAGGAAGATAGAATGATTGAACGAATGAATGAAGAGGAAAAACTGAAAAAGAAAAAATAGAGAAAAAAAGATTAGGATTATCAGAGTCAAATCATATATCACAGCGCGACAGACGGGGACACGTAAACATTGAAACGCTTTTATAAACTAGACACCTATCGATTTAGCAGTAATCACAATTTTATCTGACGTGAGAACATTTTCTACAAATTAGCCGACTACTTGATTCGCCGCATCTGTTCTTATCTGATTCGATTCTCGCCGTTTCTCTTCGTGCCCCCATTTCCTAACCAATTTCCTATCTAGATTGAATTTATGGTTGTTAATTTATAGCCTTATTGTCTTTATAATCTTCTGCTCCCTTCTTCATTTTCTTCCTCTTTAAACATCTCAATTCAATTGTTCCGAAATAAAATGCCATCAATAAGGGCGAACTATCCCTTCTTTATGCTTTTATAGCTGTAATCATCATAACACGATAATATATTGTACATACATGTACAATAGTAGGGCTGATAGAGTTGATAGGGTTAATAATATACAGTATAAGTCTCTGTATGTGTAGTTATAGAGAGAAAGAGAGAAGAAGAGAGTCAAAGAAAGATAGATAGAGAGAGGGTATCCTATATGTGCAATATACGAAGCGAAATAGCTATAAATATACACATTATATATAATATTCGTATATATTCAGACTATTTATACAAGTTGTTTGTGAATGTGGGAGAAAATAATAGCGTTGTTAACCTTTTTCGTATAGTTTTCCTTCAAAACAGATTGGCTACTCTCGTATCGAATTTTAATTACATGAAAACACATTCTTCTCTTGTACACTCTTTTCTTTTCTTTCAAATTTTCCCATTTAACTCCCCCCTCTTCTCTTCCTTCTTCCTCACATCCATCCCATTATCGTAGAAACCCATCTTAGCGGTTTAAGTGGGAACCCTTCGAGCAGTTACAAACTTTGTATATATATAAATAACGCTGGAATTGCCTCTGGCGGTAATTTTTCCTTATCTAAAGGACGCCTCGCTACATTGGCCACTAATACGATTTTTTTAAAAACACACTACGTGGACAGATGACAAACTGAACTGTAAATAATTCCAAAAAAAAAACACCTATTGCTTCCTTTTTTTAAATTAATAAAACAGTAAGATAGTCGGATAATCTTTGTATTTGATACTATTTCTTCTTCCCTAATCTTTATCATTTGATTGTACTTTCCAAGCATCTGTATCTTGATAAAAAGTCATTTCTTTACTATTCATAGATCAATTGCTTTTAGAGCGAGAGAGAGAGAGATAAATATAGGATACAGACAACAATTTGCATATTCGACTACAGCTATGACATACTTAAAAGAAAAAAGTTTCATTAAACAAATCTGGTAATCGCTTGATGGCAGCACTAGCTTTGATACAAATTGTATCACGCCGCAGGTAGTATATTGTTGCTAAGCAGGGAGGGCTCCCTCTGGATTAGAAAGGCAAAACTAAGATTAGAGAGCATTAATTCAATTGGCAAGCAATACTAACATGCCAAGGTTTCAAATTGAAAAGGTATCGATTGAAAATATAGGAATATAGTTAGTGAAAGAAAAAGGTTTGACATTTCAAGCTACGAAAGAGAGGAGAGCAAAGGGAAGAGAGAGAAAGAGCGAAACGGACTGGCAGGCTTTGCAATTAGCTACTCCAACCAACCGTAGAGGAAAGGGACAAAAGGGGGAAGAGGGGAAAGAGGGGTAGAAGAATTTTAGAGTAGTTGTCGTTTGTTTAGAATGAAAAAAAATGGAGGAGAAGAACACGCGCATAGTTTCCTCGTTGAAAAGGAGAGTAAAGAGAAACTAGTCAGATTAGACGAAGTTCAAAAAGTGAATAGTTTGGATTATAATAAGAAAGGTACTGACCTTTTTGGTGCTTGGATTCCAAATTCAAAGATAAGGTTGAGAAAGATCGAACTAGGTTTGGAGAAGAGTTCTCACAGACCACAATTTAGAGATCTTTCCCAGTCGTTTGGCTATAAAAGACAAAAGAATATAGAAGTTCCATTTAAGCATTTTAAAGGTTTGTATGCTGACTGTACAGAATAGAAAAATATAGATACGTTAGATAGATAGATAGGCAGATAGTAGATAAAATGAAAGAATGAGTGAATGAATGAATGAATGAATATTTAATTAACTATTTGTTTTCAATTGAGAGGGATAAATTGAAGAGGAGAAGAATTTGCTAATAATACTGTTTTTTTTATATAAAGTATAATAATAATTATAATATTAATATGCTATATACACTTTATTATTTATATAAACCATATACTTTTTATATCCAAACATATAAAAGGTGAAATAAAGCCTTTAAATATATTAGTTTTAAGGATTTTCTACTAGGTTATTCGCTATATTTTCATATTTGCCCTTCTTTCTTGTGTTTTAGTAAGATAATCCTTTATAATATATATATATATATATATCTCTCTCTCACACTTTTATCTAATATTTAAACAAATCGGAATTATTCTCAACACTCTACTCTACTTTTCTCTCTCCTCTATTTTACAGACTCTTCCAACTATATTGAACAGTATCGCAACGATGTTACTTATACCTCCTACGGTATTAGGCAACAACCCACCTTCACACATATCCGGTGTTCATCCCAACCTCTTGGTTCTCCTACTCTTCCCCTATTGGATTCTGCCGAAAAGAGTAGGCTAAATAGCGCTGGAGAAAGACGAATACCTCTTAATCTGACCGTTCAACCGGGTACGCCTTCCAACGTGATTTCTGTAAGAAAACCAATGGGTGCGGCGTCTGGAGTAGCAGCCGCAGCAGCTAACATAACCTCGAATTCCTCCTCTCATCCTCCAACAACCCAAGCGACCAGTTCAACAACTCACTCTCTGTTGACGAAAAAGACGACTTCACTGTAAGTTGTTGTTGATGATATTAGAAAATGTAATTACCGATATAATAGGAGGATAACAAGAGTAGAATGTCGATAAGATAGATTTAAAACATACTCTATTCGATCCGATAAGAGAAGTAGATAAGAGAGGAAAATTTTTGCTGAACTGTTTTTCAGACCAAAAAAATAAATTGGCAACGTTTTTTTCCCCTATTTTCTGCCGTATCGATTTTCCAAGTGTATTTTCAATGCAAACATATATCTATTGACCTATTGAATTATTCCTCCGTTAAATATGTGCACTATCAAATTCTATATATTAAATGTATTTATTTACTCTGACAGCCAGTTACAGAATAGAAAGAATTCCGCTAGAATGAAGACGTTCGAATTGATCTCTCAATCTTTTGACAAACAGGTAAGTGTTTTTCAATTTGTTTACCTCCTAGGAATTCCTTCGGACAGGTAGGCGGGCAATCAGTCAGTCAGTTAGTTAGTTAGTTAGTTGGTGGATGATAGAGAGAATAAATGAACGACTGAAGGCGTAGCGAAGGCGTGCATGAACGTAGATGATGGATAGGTAGCTGGCTAGTTTGAAACATTGATACATGCCTAGATAGATAGATAGATAGATAGTACTGTTGAGAGTTCGTGTAGGCTATAAAAAAGGGAATGAAAAATGATTGAATATCTCTCTGTCTCTATCTTCTTTCGTTTATCCTTTGCCCCCGTGTTTAACTTGTATTCACTTTAATAGACAATAAACGATCATTTAAATTACTCGTCTGGGGCTGATTGAGTTACGACGTTACAGAATTGAACTAAACCTTTTGTCGTTATTTAGATCGATAACGGGTCTGTACATATTTGTATACAGATTGTAGAAATATTTATTAAAGTACGAAATCATTTATACGACAAAAAACGCAATTTCTCAATAAAAGAAAGAATGAACGAATGAATGAATGAATGAATGAACCCTGAATGAAAAATTCCATACGAAATAATCAATATTTACAAAAACTACTCAACCTTCTCCTAATCAGTTTTTCATGCTGTAAGAGAAAAGTATAAGTATATTTGTATACACTTTTTCATTTTGGTATTTTTAGCCCGATTCTCTGAATTTCTTTATTGATTAAATAGGAAAAGAGAAAGAAAGAAAGAAAGAAAAGACTTTCTCTTTTTGAAAGTAGATAATAAAGCAATAAATGAGAGATCTATTCCCCTTTTCTTTGCTATTGTATAATCTTCTCCCATTCGCCCCTCGCTGCCCCTCCTCCCGATCCCCTCCCTTTACTCCTTTTCTCTCTCTCTCTCTCTCTCTTTATTTAGACACTTCCATATGGAGGAAAAAAAATCTGGATTTCTGTTATGATTAATATTTAACAAAGTGCTCGGCTCTTGAAACATTTACGACTGAAATTGAGAGTGGATAGATAAGAATAGAGCAAAAAGGGAAGAGAAGGAAGAAAAGAGAGAGAGAAAATAATATTTAGCTCTTTGTAATTTCTTATTAAAAGTTTCCTTTGGTTTTAGTCTTTTATTCTAATCGATTTGTAGTGTTTTTTTCGGTAAATTATTGGCAATTTGAAACTGGGTGAATAATTCATGAAATCTCCTGATTAGTTAGAGTAATCGATTTTTATCGAACGCCTCTTAAATCAGATATTATTCTCGCCCACCTTTTAGCATTCTACCAGAAATATTTCATTCGTACTCCCCCGTGTTTTTTGGCTAGTTTGCTTTCTCTCTTTCTCTCTCTCTCTCTCTCTCTCTCTCTCTCGTTCTCTTAACTTTCTTTCTTATTCATTTCTGCTGGCTAAGCCGTTTCTTTTAATTAATTTTAGTTGTATTACGTAGTTTTGCTACATCTAAAAATAAAACCAAAATATTGACTTTTCTCACTCTCTCTCTCCCTCCCTCTTTTCTAGTACTCAAACGTTCAATTGCTCGGTTACTCTGTTTGTTTTTTATATCTTCTCTTTCTTCCCAATCGTTCTCTTCTCTTTAGTTTATGATCATTCTTTTTTCCCTTTACACTCAACACTACCTACGTTTCGCTCTCTCTCTCTCCCTCTCTTTCTCTCTCTTTCACTGCCTTCCTTCCTTCCTTCCTTCCTTCCTTCCCTTTTACATCAGCCGAATTTATTGACTTGTCTCTCTTTCTCTCTCTTTTTGTTTTTAAAAGAAAAAAAGTTTATTGAATTATAAAGCGAAGAATGCGAATAGAAGTAAAAAGTTGATTTAAAAAAAGTGCCGTGTTGTATCTTTTTGTTTCTTATTATTAAATTTCTATTTAGAAAAGTCTGAAGAGATATTTCTTTATTTTCCTAGTACTTTATTTTTTTTATATATACTTTATTCTAGTTTGTCACTTATCGACAAAACTATATCTTGTTCCCACCCTCATCCGATTTACAATAATTAATAAACAAAAGACGTGGATTATCACTTTAATCCTCAAAACCAGGAGGGAATTTCTACGTTAATCCAACAAAAGCCGATTAGTCATGTAGAGGCATACTCTCCGTATAAAGATGAAGATTTAAACTACCTGGACGTCTCTTTCGCTACTATAGCGCCATCTCTACCGCGTTTTAAAATGCACAAGGTTTCAACTCATGGCGACAACAGTCGGCACGGAACTACGTTCTTCAGCGTTCCTGCCGCTCCTACAAATTCTCTTCCGCATATAAATTCAGATAGGCCAAGAGCGCTATTTGGTAAAGAAAGAATGAAATTAACAAAAATGACGGGGAACGGGAGAAAGGATTTTTCAAGAGACGCCTATGAAAAAATATTAAAACAGCAAACACTTTTACAAACTGCAGTCCAAATTGTTTTATTGGAGCAAGTTGATAGAAAGGCAGTATCCGCTGGTGAATTTTCGGGTGGAATAATGCAGTTTTTGCTAACAGGGTGGCTATTTTAATAGTCAGAAATAGATTTGTTTTTTTTTTCTCTCTCTCTCTCTCTCTCTCTCTATCTCTATCTCTTTCCCTTATATTTTATTATTTACTTTCTCATTCCTTTTATTTATCTCTTTATTTTTACAATTTTAATTGCACAAAACGCTTGTTTTTCTTTTTTTTTTTAAAAAAATGTAAGAACAGAAACCACAGCAAATAACAACAGCAATAATAGCAAAGTCTACAAAATATTCACAAAAAAAGCCACAATTAAAAATGGGGAATTTGTATAAAAAACACGATGTAGATAGTTTGTAGAAAAGTTTTAGTTTACATTTAGCATCACTCCATTATAGCTTAATATATTGTACCATAATCTGTGTAGTATCTCTCTTTTACACCGGAGAATAAACTGGTAACTTATTAGAATTGGTTGAATAAAACAATTTCAATTTCGTTGCCTTGCTGATTTCCCTGTTTTTTTTCTCTTTGCCTATTTCTGCTTGTCTGTCTCTTTCTTTCCCTATATTTCTCTCTCTCTCTCTCTCTACCTCCTTCTCTCCATCTATATTGGTTACTCTCTAAGTGTACAAATCAAACTTTTGCACCACAAAACAAACACTCGAGTTGACTTTCTGCACAAAACTTACAAACAAAAATTCAAGTTTATTCACTTGAATTTAGAGTTGATTGAAAAATGATTTCTTTCTCAGCAAGCCGAAATAAATAGAGGATTAAATCTAGCTTTTTAGAATAGTATTATAGTTTTCAAGCAAATCCCATAATAGTCAGATTCCTCATAGTTTCTTATTTAAGACTTTATTCTTCTATTATCCCTTTTAATCTTTACTTTGATAATCTTTTCAGATATGGTACGATAAATCAGGGAGAGCGTATGTGAATTTAGCCTCTCGGTTTGAACCAGTTACGGGAACTGGATTTAGACCTTGAAAAAGGAAATGTTCACCTGTGTGACAGATTAATTGATTGACTGTCTACCCAAATTGAATTCTGAACTAGGAGTTGTAGAAGGAAGGACGGAAGGAAGAAAGAAAAGAGAGGAATAATGGACGTAAACGATTTTGCTCAATTAGTATTGGAGAATTTATATTTTTGTTTATATAAAAGGAGTCAAACAAGGAACTTTGTCTTGAATAGAAGGAAGAATATTTCTAATGAATAGGAACATGACTGCAAAAAAAGCCGCTTCCGCAACAAAAACTTGAAGAGACTAAATTAAGACGCTAGTCGGAGCAGGGTCGGTTAATGAATGTAATTAAAATGACAGACAAGCAAGAAGGGAGGCAAAAGGGGAGGGTGTAGAGAGAGAGATGCCTTCCTCAGAGGAAAAGGAAGAAGAAGAAGAAGAAGAGAAACGATACGAACTCTGAAGGGCGTCAATTTGATTTGAATGAATGTGTTTTGCCAGTTTTGAATATACACTTTTTTCTAACGAAACAACTGCAAATAAAAGAAAGCTAAAAGATGAATTTCTATATAAAACTTATATAATAAATGTATATTATATATAAATATTGCTTTAATATATTAATATAATGAAATAAAAAGGAATATATGACTGATTGATTGATTGATTAGTTAATTCATTCATTCTATTATAACATAAAAGAAACGTTATTCATTTGTTCTTTGTATATTTCCTCCTATTTTTGTTTCTTGTTCTTTTAAATCATTTCTATTTATATGGCATTAAACAATTGACAATTGGGAATTTTTCCTTTTAAAACAATCTTTATACAAACACAACAAAGAAAAGAAAACTATTATCATTCGTATCTCTCTTATCATAATTTCTCTTTTTCACCTTATTAATTAACGATTATGTTAGCAATATAGGCATATACATATATTCTTTCCTTTGGCTCTTTCAGCTTTATTGCTTTCATCTTCGTTATACAAGAGAGAGAGAGAGAGAGAGAATGAAAAATACTTGTACACATAATTTTATTTATTATCTTATTGAGCTACTAGTTACTGATGCTCTGCGTTTTGTTTCCTTTTTTTGTCTCTTTTCTTTCTTTTTCTTTATTTTTTTTTAAAGATAAATGGAACGCGTAAAGCACCGCAAAAAAAAGAATAAAACAAAATATAGAAGTTTTCTGTTACAATGAAAATAATTAACATATAAATCAGTACGAGAAGGAAGGAAGAGAGACGGAGAGAAGAGGGAAGTGAGGGAGAGAGAGAGAGAGAGAGAGAGGGCGTAAGAAAGAGAGACAGATAGATGGGTAGATAAGGAATATACCTTAAATGCTTATCTCTCTTTCTCTCTCTCTCTCTCTCTCTCTCTCCACTTTCTTTCCTCTCCTTCTCTCTTACACACATAAATACAAATACAAATACATATGTAAAAACAAATTAGGCAGAGAAAAGACTAGAAAATTCAATTGAAAAAAAAATAATAGCATTGTCTTTTTTTTTGTTCATCATAGTAATCATAATTATCATTAATATTATTATTATTATTATTATTATTATCATCATCATCGTCGTCATCATCATCATCGTTATCGTCATCAACATCATCGTCATCATCATTATCATCCGCATCCTTATTATAGTCATTAATGCCATCCAAAACGCCATCGTTAATATAATAAAACCAAATGTTTTGTTTGTAAATGTATAAATATACGTGTGCAGGTAAATATGTATGTATGAATGAATGAATGAATGTTTGTTTGTTTGTACGTACGAATGCGTTTATAAGGTTTGGTTGTATGTGTTATATTGTTTCTTTAAGATATATTAATGGGCAATGAATAACTGAATTCATCTACTGCAATTAAAAATGGTAAATATTTGACGTGAGTCGGCCATAATGGATTTATCTGGAAGAATTTTACTGCCTGCCATTCGTGCCCGTCTATATGAGTAGAAAGTGCCTGGCTTTGGCTTTTGGTCGTGCACACCAGTCTATTTATCATTAATTGCGTCTTTGATTCTTCCTTATTCTTCTTCCCAATTCTCATTAATTTTTTCGACTTTTCCTTTGTTGCTATGGTTAGGCTTATTAAATGAGGATCATTTATTTTATTGGGAAGAATCAGTCTATATATTAGCACACTTTTGAATTGAGTCTTTAAAGAGCATTTTATTTCTTTCTTAAAGGATTTCTCCTTTTCTTTTTCCCTCTCCTTACAAGTTTCAAGGGAGGCTGGGTGCCAGTAATCTAATTGGAGGTCGATTAATTCGATTCTATTATCACTAGGAGACATAAGATTTGAGGTTGTTGTATTGGCACTAAAGTTTGGTGAACCAGGTGGCGAATGCTCTTGTCGACGGTCCGTGCTACCTGACGTTGAACTAGGTGGTGAGTTTGGTCCCATTACAACGGAGGATGACGATTCATCGTAGTCAACTGAACAAAGATTAACATTTGGTAGTTCGATAGGTCCAACTCGAACGTCCATGATGAATGGTACAGAGATACGGTTCGAGTCGTCTTCCGAATTAAATGCCAAATGGCTGGAAAATCGTATAAACATGTATAAATAAGTGTATAGTATATAGGTATATCAACTCTATTTTAATAGCGAATCTGCTAACCATTTATCCTTACGAACAATTAGAGCTTCAGCGATTGGCATTTGAACAGTATGATGACATTTCTCCAGGTACCGTTGCAACTTGTTAACAATTTCGTTCGAGTCTGAAAAGGGTACAATAGAAAAAGACTATAATATATTGGAACGTATATAAATGTATATATATATATATATGTATATATAAGAAAACAGTAGAATAAGAGAAAAATCCAGAATGACAGAGAGAGAGAGAGAGATAGAGCAACAGCGAAGAAACAAACAAAAAGCCCGAGTGTTAATTTATCACCTACCAGGACTATCGCCTTTCGTGTCGAAAAACTCTTTCCAAAGGCCTTCGCAGAAGCTAGCGTATAGAGAGTCGATTGTCGATAGGTATTTGGCTAAGGTGGAAGTACAAGATAGCGGTATGTAAATAAATTTGACATAGGCCTGCCAATCTGGAGGTTTGGCGGAAAATTGTTCCACGTAAGGTCTTAATACAACATTCATATAAGCATCAGTTCCGGCAACGACAATCCTAATTTGATTAGGAGCCCTGGAATTCGTGTTGCAACTGTAAAATAGGAAGAAAGAAGAAAGATATATATATATAAATATTACTTCTCCATAAAAAAAGACATAAAAAAACGTTTTTTATTCTTTCGCAAAGCAGCCAGAGAATGTAATTAAGTTAAAGAGTGAGAAGTTTTCCGGTAGACTAGAAGTGGGAAGAGATAGATAGATGGAGAGATGGAGAGAGGGAGAGATAGACAGATAGATTGAATATAAATAAATAAATAACTAAAAGTTTCCTTCTAGGCCTATTATTTAATTTCCAACAATTATCTTTAGATTTAAATAATAATGAAGAAAAGGTAATAAAACTTCGTTCTCCATTATCTCATTCTCTATATATCAATATATAATCTTCCGGATGAAACTTCTCACCAAAGTCATTCATTTTTCATTAAAAGGAAAAAAACAATCTTTTTCTTTCGTTGTTTTTCTAACTTTAAAAACATTTTTCACCGAAAAAGAAAAGAACCAAAGAAAGAAAGAAAACCTTTATTAGATTTGGATAGTTTTCTTTCTTTCTTTTTCGTCGTTTCTTCTCTTTTCCATTATTAAATTATTTTTTAATTTTACAACACTAGACACTAATTAAAGTAATAAAAGAGGATCTTGTAAAGTAAAGTATATACAGTATATATTAGTATATACATATATATATACTTTACTTGTGCAATTATTTCTCTTCTTCCTTAAAACTTATTCAAGCTCCGACAGGAGAGATATAAACAAACATGAACTCAATTGGAAGAATCTACTTAATTTCCTAATTACTTAAGCATGCTTCAATCTTTACGTCAACATTCAAAAAAAAAAGAAAGAAAAATAATAAACAAACAGGATAGTTTGTAATAAAACAAACAATAACAACTCCTCAACCAATCAAAAAGCGATTAAACATTTACAAGAATGCTATACTATATATATATATATACATATAATTTATATATGTAAAATAGTAATATAATTAAAAAGAATCGCTCGAAATTATTGAGAAATCACTAAATAAAAAGAAGCATTCATCCAAGTAAAGCGTCAAAAAAAAATGAACAAATGAAAAAATTAATTAAAATAAAATAAAAGCATAATATAAAAAAAAATTAATTAATAAGATTATAATCGACATGGTGCGAATGCAATGTTATAAAAGAAAACAAACCCGAAATTTGACGAATGATTAGAATCGTTGTAAGATAATTGGCCAGCGTTACGTCTATTTGGAAAAAATTGCGCAAAAACAAACAATATAGACAGATGAATATATACATATTTATATACATATATATATATATATATATATATATGTATGTATGTATGTATTACATTAAGAAAAACCTCTCGTCCATAGGATCGACAATTCAAAGGAGAAATTGAAAAGAAAGGCAAAGAAAAAATACGGATAAATGGGAAAAAAGGAAATTCAAGATAATACTATAAAGATATGTTTACAATGTAGAACGAAAACTGTTCAACAACTGTATTAACTGTACAATTATATTCGTACATCTAGTTATATATATATTGTCTATGGGCAGTTGTCTTTGATTTTATACTTCTATCAAGTGAAAAGCCAGCTCTTCTGTTGAGAAAAGTGCAAAGGGATCTTTGTGCTTAGACACCTACTATTATGGGAAAATCTCTACTTTCTTTACCCTTTACTACTATATCACTCAAACAATTTCATCTATAATATTGCTTCCTCCTTCTTCACTTAACAAATTGACAATATTATCAGTATTCTTTTCACTCTTTCAGAAACAAAAGGGGGCGGAGAGAGAGAAAGAGAAAGAGAAAGAGAGAGAGAGAGAGAAAAGTGAGAAATTGAAAAAGGGTAGGATAAAAAGAAAGGCAAAACAAAAGAGATAGACGCTTCAAGCTGCTGTTGGCCCAGGTATTAGTGGAAAAGCGTTTATTTATTTATTTTTCAAGTCTTTATTAGTAGTTTGCTAAGTGATTCGCTTAGTCCATTAAGTTTGTTTGGATACATTCTTTTTTCAAGGTCTTATGGAATTGTTAAATATCATTTTAAAGGATTTGAAAAAAAAAAAGATGGATGGATGGAGAGATAGATGAATGAAAAGAGTATAAAATAAATAAATAATATATATATATATATATATATATATATATATATTATACTATATAATAAATATAATATATAAATATAATGCTTTATCTATATATGTATACTTACAATTTTTGTATCCTATTTACGATAGATGCCAATGTTGCTTTAACTTCCGCTTGACAATGAGTGCAGATTAGCTTGAACGCCGCGTTCGTTGATAATAATTTCGATAATTTTTGGCCTTGACCTTCCGAAGTATTAACTAAGAGAACGCAGGAAGGTAAGTTATCTTCACTTCCGAGAACAGCGTTTAATTGCTCCATGAACGCTTTACGAGGCTGTTAATGAATGAAATGTTGAAAAAAAATCACAATCCGTTAGTTAAAACTAGGCTTTTCAATGAAAGAATTATAGTTATTTCTTATATAATACATAATGCACATTTGTATTACAACTGTTTCTGACTTTCTTTAATATAATCAATTTATTCTCTTTTCATTCAAGGAGAAAAAATTGATTAATCGACGATTTTCGAGCGTCTGACGCTGATGACGCCTTTTACTTTTTCTTATTCTCCATTATAATTGACATTTTGAAGAAAAAAAAGAAAAAAAGAAGGAAGAGGATTTAATCTACTTTCGCAAAGCTTAAAAAAATGATTGATTTGATTAAAACCTCATTAACCGAGACTATCATAAATTCTCTTTCATCTTTTCCTTCATATTTTCAATGTTGTTTCAATATTTTCCTTTTCTATTCTTTTCTCTTTACTATTAGAATGCTACCTTTTTATAGAACCTTTTCATTCTAGTTATATACGACGATTATTATCATTATCATCCTTCTTATTTTGGTACTTGGTATTATAAAATAACAAAATGTTATTGGTTGTTATTACCCATTTTGTCATTTTCTAATCTAGTAAAGCCAGTAAAGCTACATTAATAAAGAAAAACACACACACACACACACAAACACAAACACACACATTCCTTCTTTCAATCATTTACTCCTCCATCCCTCCTTCCCTGTCTGGCTAGTCTATCTATCTAACGTCATATTTCGGTAATCGTGAATTATAGGATTAATGAAAAAGAGCCTCATCTTTCTACTCGAACGTTTATCATTCTCTTTTTTCCCTTTTAAGGCCGTTAAATAAAAAAAAACGACAGAACTGATGGTTCTTAATTGCCTCCCTTCCTCTTTTTTATTAAAGCAGTAGCCGGGCAATAGAAGGATGGAATGGGACTAGAGGGAAACGACAAACTTTACTTCAAAAGCCAAAAAAGAATCCATTATCTATTCGTTTATAAAATTATTCAATAATTCGCGCCTTTTCTTGTTTTTAGGTCTTTCATACTATAGAAATTAATTCATTTAACGTTAAAATGTATGGCTAATAAATCAGTTGAAGGCTGTGTAGAGATTGGTTTAGACGTTTGTGATTTTTTCTCTTGTTCGTTTTTCAACAGTCTTATCTGCATTAGTCTCGTTAATAAAAGGGAAGAGAAGCAGCCAAGAGAAAGAGGGAGGTAAAGTTTAAGTGAAAAGAGAGAGAAAAAGAATTATCTGTTCTTTCTCTCTCTCTCTCTCTCTCTCTCTCTCTCACCCTCCCTGCCCCCTCCTTCTCTCTTTTCTATGCCTTCTTTTACTATTATCTATCTCTCTATCTATTCATCTATTTATCTATTCTTTTAAAATACGTAGTTGGCGGGGTTAAGAATTTATACGATGTTGTTTGTACGGACCGTATAAACCGAAAACGAGTAGCAACAATTACGGTAAGAAAATACAAAAAACAAACAAAAAAAAACAAACATCCGGCTACCTCAGTCGGTTCACTAGACTTGTCAACAACATCCTGATGACTCTGTCCGTGGCTTTTCGTAAATTTTTTCATAAAGGATTCTGCAGTAATTGAAGAAGATCTATTTTTTTTCACTTCCTCCTTCTTAACTTCCTCTCCGTGATCGGTCTGCAAGAGTGACATGCAAAATAATAGGTCATGCATCAGTAATTAAGGAATCCTTTTATTGTTCTTTTTGCGATAATTATTATAATAATTATGGTTCGTTAAAGTTAAAATTTTTGTTTTGACTATATTTTTGTAGGCAAAAATTTACAAAAGAGAGAGAGAGAGAGAGAGAGAGAGAGAGAGAAAGAGAGAGAAAGAGAAAAAGAGATAGTGTTACTTTTTCATAGTTTTTTTCTTTTGGTAAAAATTTACCCAGTGCATTCATGTTTTTCTTTGTATATAAAAAAAAACATAATATGTAACGTAATAAGGTTAAAATAAGAAATACAATATTAATTCATATACAGTATATATGTATATAAATAAGGTTGTTTATCAAAGCAATATATAGGCTCATCAGTATCAAAGTTAAAACAAAAAATAATTAATGGTAAGTATAGTAAGGAAATGCAATAGGATAATGAGCATAAGATCATATATATATATATAGATATATAACTATACTTAGGGGCAAAATCTTGATAATTCTATAAACTTGATATTATACTAAATATAAAGTGAGCTAATAAATATTTATCAAAGTCAGAAAGCTTTACCCTTTTAAATGAAGTGATAAAAGAATAAAGAGAGACAAAAATAAGTTGTAACAATCAATATTAGTAATATTTTTGAAATATTTTCCACTTCTTCCTTCTTTTATAAATTCATTTTAATAAGAAAAAACTATTGATGTGTTGAATATAATACAGCAAGAATAACAAACTAGAGCAATAATCTTGTTTTAGTATTAAAAGTAAAAAGAAAAAAAAAAAGCATAAGATGCTCCTCTACTAATTAATAATTTCCTAATTACTTCTAAAATAAATAGAGATCATTTGCATAGCAATCTTTAAAACAATTTCTTATTATTCGTATTATTATGCTTTTGCTTTCTCTTACCTCTTTTTTATTTCGAAGTTTAACGATCTGTTAAAATCAATATAAGAAAAAATTTGTTTTCCTTTCCCATTTCATTTACTTGTTTTTGTTTTAATATTTCAAAAAAAAATGTAAAAAGAGCTCTTTTCTTAAGAATTTTCTGATTAAGGAAGAGAGGATGAGGATGAGGATTGTAGTTAGAAATTGAATATTGACAAACAACAAACAATTTTTAATTATTTTAGATGTTTTGTTATTTCTCAGCGAAAGAAAAGAAAGAAAGAAAGAAAAAAAGATAATAAAGAAAAAGAAAAAAGTGTTACGTAACACTATATCCATCGTATTTGCCATTTTGTTTTTGTTTATTTCATTTAGGTTGTTTTTATTAAAAATATTAATTAATTAATTAATTAATTAATATATTAATATTAATATTGTTGCGATATAGGATTCCTAATTAGTCTATGGGTAAATCTTATCTAAAACGATACCTTAGCTTAGCCACAGCAGTATAACAATTGGGGGATTTACAGCAACCAAGTTGTTTTTTATTATTATTATATTTATATGGTTTTCTTTTATATATATATACTCTATATACATATATAAAAGAAAGGCCACAATTAAAAGAATGGTAAAAAGACTTACCAAGTGACCTCCATCCGAATCATTCTTCTTTCCGCTATCATCGCTAAAGTCTTCCGCTTTTGAAGTCTTTGACGCAAAAAATGGCTTCAATTTTGGCTTAGGAGTCGATACCACTGATATATTATCTTGTTCAGCTGGCGAATCGCTCAATTCATCATCCAATTCGTCAATCAATTCCTCCAATTCTCTCTGGTTCTCTTCGTCCGGATCAATTTCTAGAGCGTCGTCACCTGAAGAAAAATAGGTGAAGAAAATTATTTAATATTTATCATTCCATGCTTGATGAACATTGGATTTTGTCGGCTTAACCTTAGGGAATATTAAAAAGGCATAGATTTTTTTAGCGAAAAGTCTAAGCCAAGGTCAAAGCTATTTGGAAGATCCCAAGTGCTCCTTACGTTTATTAAGGATTCTTACGAACCGACGTCAGATGGGTGACGGTTGCATTTTATCGGTTTGCAACAAATTTTCCTATGAACAATTTCCTGGAAGCGTTGAAAAAAGCCAGTTTTCTTAAGATAATAGTTATACGGATGTCTGGTTATTTTTATTAGTTTGTACAGTAATCATTGGGGCGATAATGGATTCCCCCTGGCCTAATGACTACCTCTAAGTCATCGAAGGCCAGAGCCTAATTTAGGTCAGATTTTTTTCCTCTTCCTCCCCCTTTTCCCATCTCACACCCACACACGCATTCACGCACTTTCTCCCTCTGTCTACCAGGTCAAGGCGGTAGTGTCACATTTGACAAAATTTAGATTAAATGCGGGTCTTAAATCAATTTCTTTTTAAATGGATATAAAATTCACTTTAATGCGTCAAGCTGATGACGCCTAGAAACTAAGACTGGGTCAGTAACCTTCTGCCAACTTTTCAGACAAACGTCGTTAATCTCATTGATACATTACAGTCTTCTGCAATCAGTCATAACTTGGGCATGTGTAAACTAATTGCCTTGCTTGCTATCATAGGATTAATAGACAAAGACTATAAAGAGAGAGAGAGAGAATGAAAAAAAGAGATAAAATGTTGTTAGACAAACAAGAAAGAAAAAGAGAAAAAGCAACAAGTCGTAAATTTCTCTTGTAAATTTTCCAAACCAATTTTGTTACAATATTACAAAATGAGTCGAGTTTATTCTGAGCTTCTCCTCATCTCCCTCGCCTTTACAAACATCACTTGACATTCAGATTTGTTGAGGCGGTAAATTCATCAACAATCAAAAATTTACTAATTCTTCCTTTTCAAAAAAGAAAACAAACTGTTTTTTTTTAATCAATTTCTCTATTAGAGTTCAAAGTACAAAGACAAAGAGTTAGGTGAGAGAGATATTCCTTTCTCGTCAAGATTTTCTTTATCAATCGTATATATTGTATTATATATACTGTATATATCTTCTTTTGTTCTCTTCTCGTCTCCTTCCCAAATTTATTCGACTACTCAACCTTTAATAATAAAATTTCAATGATCCGCCGGCTAGCTAATACTGTGCTTAACAATAACATTCATCTTCAATTTGGTCCCAACTTAAATATTCCTTAGTCTAAATATATTACACATACACAATGTACTCTGCTTTTCTTTGGGAGAGGCCTCTCTTTCACTTTGTTTGCATTTCTTCCATTCTCCTTCATTAAAAAATTGGTCAACTATACCATTAAAATGCATTTTTACAGATTTAACGTCTGAGATTGGGGTTGGGGGGATTGAAATATTCTTTTTCTTTACCGAATATCGGCATACTGCTTTGTATTTATAGAGCCCTTTTAGGATCTCCCGGGGCCAGTATTCCTGCTAGAGGAGATAAAGCCTTAAACCATCAGCCTTTCACCACCCATGGGCTTTTTTTTTTGGTTTTTTAGTTTTTAGCATGATGCTATGACAAAAAGCTGTTGGGCTATTTAGGGGCCTTGCTAAATTTGAATTGATTTTCCCAAACAGAAAATAACAAGCTATTTGATACCAAAATAGGACTTGATACTAGAATAATACAATATACAACAAAATACAATATATAATACAATACAATACTAGATATTTGTACAAATATATGCCATTGAAGAATGTAATGGAAAGAAGTCTTTGCTGTTTTTTTTTTTTATCAATATATTCCTTTTAATTTGAATGCATTTGCCGACTCCCTCATTAAGTAGAGAGACGTGGCAGGGGGAAAATAGCTCCAGAGAAGAACTAGAATTTTTAGAAGCAAATAAAAAAGATAGTTACCCCTTTTAAAATTCTTTAAGAACGCCCTTAGCTTCTCTTTAATATTACTGTGGCGGAATCTTGTTGGCATCTTCCTCCTTCGAGGCACTCTAGGTATTCTATCCAACCTATCTTCGTCTTCGGTTAAGTCTTCTTCGTAGGAGTCATCTTCGAGATCGTCTTCGGAGAGTTCCCCCTCAGGAGAACGTTCCGCTTCGGAATTTTGGGAGAAAAATACTCGCTCCTTAGCGCGACTAGCCCCACCGTTTTGTTCCTCATTCACTGGCAGTGTAGTCAAATTTTGAACGACAATAAAGCCAACGGAATTACGGCACGATTCTTTATTAGCATTATATAATTCTAACTGTCTGTCTTGACTTTTTTGTAGTACTTGTGTAAGATTCACTTCTCCTCTTGCTAATGTCTTGTATCCTAGAATAGTACGATTTCGGTAGCGTTTTCGACGTTGCAGCATAACAACTAGTTTGTTGGCGTGGGAATTATTCGGTTTGATATGATGAGGATACTGTTTAAAAAGAGAGAAAAAGGGAAATTAATGAGAAAAAAGAAGAAGGAGAAGATGGAGAAAGTGAAAAAGGTGTTTTCAAAAGAGATAGAAAGAGAGAGAGAGAGAGTGTGCGTGTATGTGTGTGTATGTGTGAAGAAAAGAATGGCATGGAGTATTTAACTAATTTACAAACGTAAAAAAAAGAGTTAGGCAAAGGAAGCGTTTTAATAAAAAGAAGAAATATCTAGCATCTTTAAGTAGTAAGAAAAAAGTGTTTTTTATCTTTTTTCCTTCAACCTTTTTTATGTTTGTTCACAGAAATGTGAAACCGTGTAACAACACTTTCGTTTCCTTTACCTGTTATTTTTTGGGTACCAATAGAGTATTTCAACCTTTTAAAAACAACTAATAGCCTATCGGCCTCTCTGATCTAAAACAAGGACATAAATTATATCTTCTATTGAGAAAAATTCTTATTGTCTTTTTTTTGTTTGTTTTCAAGGAGGTATGATGAAGCAGCGGATTATAAAAATAGCCTAAAGAGCGAGAGAGCGAGAGAGAGAGAGACAGACAGACAGACAGAAACAAAGATTGTTTTTAGATTCGCTCTTCAACTTTAAATTTTAATTATTAATTGCACAGATTTAATTTTCTCACTTTTTTACTCTTAACCAAGTAAAAATTGATTAAAAGCGTTCTATTTTATTTATTTAGTTGGCTAGTTTAGCTGCAAGAAAACCGCTGGTATTTTTATTTGTAAAGGTGGTTTAGGTAAACATTTTCATCTTTTTCCTACTAATTCTTAGATAACCTTGACACGTTGGGAAAGATGAAACCTAGAAAAGCGTCCATTCACGAAGCAGAGACTTTCGCTCTTGTTTTTTTCCTTTTTGCCTTCTTTCTTATATAAAGTATAAATAAACTATTTAAAGGGTGCCAAATCAAATGAGAATGATTTTAAAGGTTTCTTTTAAATCCCAATGCAAAGCATCACGTTTTATAGTTAGTACTAGCGCCGAGGCAAAAGATCGATATTTCTCACGGCGTTAGACAATAAGAACAAATGCCACGCGTAGCTTCTTCCGTAGCATTTATATAAATTTATATATATATATATATATATATATATATATATATATATATGTTCCTTTTTATAAACACGACACTATCGTAGCAATAATTAAGACTACATATATATTTTTTTATATTACTATATCACCAATCAAGGTCAACTTGTAACGTTTTCTAGTTGTTCTTACGGCTTTGACATACATCAATGACCTTGGAATAAATTAAATGCTCTTTTAGTTTTACTCTTCTAATTCTTTTTGAGGAAAACCTCTTAAAAGGTAAAAAATAACTGAGAAACTGAGAGGATGAAAGATTTTGATGATGGCGAAGGGTAAAAGAAAGGGAATACTTAAAAAGAGAGGGAGAGAGAGAGAGAGCGAGAGACTATAGATTTTGGTTTTAAGCGGGAAAGGGAAAAAAAATAAAAAGCCTTCAATGATAATTCCCAAATGAATTGAATTCTGGGAAGTTGTATTTTCTCCTCTAGGTAATACCTGAAGTGAGCAACCAAGTTCGATTTCTGTATCGACCACTCCTCCTGGGCCTAACGGAATCTCTTCAGATCTTAAAGCTCTCTTGTAATCCTGAAATGACAACGAATCGTTAACTTTTGTTTGTTTTTTTTTATGCAAAAGACATCTATCAATATCTCATCAACGTAAATCTGTTCAATTATCAACGAGAGTAAACACTAAAAGACAAAAACATAATATTTGAAATTAGCAACTTCTCAAAACCCGGCGGCAGACTTCCCACCCCTTCGGTGATTCTTAGTGGTCAGTTCCGTCTGATTTGTGGCGTTAAGTTAAGTGGAGAAATTATTAAAAGACAAATTCCTTTCGACAACGCTCGATTGGATAAAAGAAATTATCTTGTACAATATATTAGATTGAGCGCTCAGAATAAAAGAAAGGGTAAAAGAGAAAGGGTGAGAAACAGAGAAAATGGAAGACTGGAGGGGAAGACCGAGGAGAAAGAGATAGATAGATAAAGAATGAATGAATGAATGAAAGATAGAAGAGAAATGAAAAGAGAGAAAAAAAAAACATTGATAGAGAAAACTGATCACTTATTTCTATTTCTTTCTTGGCAAAGTAAACATGACGACTGGTTGTACTACCATCAAAGATAAGAAGACAAACTAATTTAGCAGAATTTTACTGTTTTATTTTCTTGTTTTTCTTTTTTATATTATTTTACTGTCATTTTCATTCCAACGAAAACGTTAATCAATATTTGTAAAAGAAATAAATAAGGGATAATAGGAAAATGGATGTAATTATACATTTATGTGGTTTAACTACTATTAGTCGAGTGTTGATATGAAATATAGCATATACTCTATATAGTACGTTGTGCATATTTCCTTCTCTCTTCTATTTCGTCTTAATACTGCCTTTTAGCACGATTCAATTAGAAAGGTTTAAGCTAAACGTATTGAAAATAAAAATAGCTTCTCCTTTAATAATCTATTGTTAGTAATAAAGACAGTACACACAGTAATGTTTACGCCGTTTTCCAATATATTCAGTTGTTTGGAAGAAATTATTCAAAACATAGAAAAGAAAGAAAAGATTTATCGAAAGAGAGGAATTTCGCTCATAACTGAATAGTGTCCTTAGCAAAATAATACAATTAATAGGAATAATTATATTATAGCCTTTAGTTAGAATGTTTTTACGTATTGTACTTTATTCTCTCCTACTGTTTCTGACTTGCTATTCCAGGTGGGCAGGATCTATAACAAATGCCAAAAAACGAAAAATGTAAACAAAAATACTCTTCAGCTTTGAGCAAGAGATATATTGGTAGGCGTGGAGAGAAAACGAGCGGGAAAATAGAAAGAGAAATTGTGAGGGGTGAAAGACCGATAAATAGGCAAAGAGGAAGAAGGATGGGAGGGGGGAATATAGGAAGGGGCAGGACGAATAGAAGAAAGAGAGATCAAAAGGGGATGATAAAGTTAAAGCTATCTAAATGACCTTTTATAATAAAAAAACAACTAAAGCTTTCAAAGCCATAAGTTGTATTATGAATAATTGGCAAAGCCAGATAAAAAGGTCGTCTTATTATCTTTAATTAGGCATACAAATTGCAGAGGAACTTTTCAACTACACAACTAACCCAGTATAAAACCAGATGGAAAGAGAGGATCTAGATAAAATGGTACAAACTATTGGAAAGCATATGGCACGATAATTACAAAAACTTTTGCACCTGTTTCCAGACGTTTTCACTTTTATTTTTTCAAATATTTCGAATAAAAATCTTTAACGAACACTTTTCTTTCTTTTTATTTTATTCTTTAATCATTATTCATAAAATTTCCACTCACCTGAATCTTTACAGCAACTATAACGGAAGAGAGGTCGGCTTCTGGCGGTTTTTTAACAACTAATCTTGTGACGTTCATACTGCATATTCTGGAAAGAGGCAAAAAAAAAGGGCAAAAATTATTGAATGGGAATAATAAAGTTATAATTTGAATAATAAAGAAAGAAAGAGAGAGAGAAAGAAGGATAAAAGAATATAATTGTTAAATTTATTCATTAATAATCAATCAGTTATAACACTTAAATTCTTTTTAGCTGAGTCATTAATTTGCAAGTGATAAAAATAATAATTTGTTTTTAAAATGTTGTTTTATATATATATATATATGTTTATAAATAGAATATATAATTGTATTGTATTGTATGAGATGTACGGAAATTACACGGGCAAATTCTGACTATTTAAGCAAATTTTTTTAGGGTTAATACATAGGCCTAAATGGGAAAAAATGTAGATACTGTATATCTATCTGTATGAGAGAGAGAGAATATAGAGATTTTCATTGAATAGAATTATATATATTTAAGCTTACATAAGTATATGTAAAAAGTCTTATCTGCAAAGTTTATAATATTGAATCGATGTACAGATAAAATGATTAGATTAGAGACTGCAATGTTTACGAATTTCTGCTTATATCATTCTTCAAAGGGAGAAATATTTAAAACATTTTATTCATTCATTTAGTATACAAATGTTATTGTATTGTTTTTGTTTGTACACATATGTGTACCTATATGTATACATGTTTATAATTCATAAAATGTGTATTAAAAAAACAAAAACCCCTCACAAAACTGACCAATCTTTTTTAAATCGTTATCGTTTTAACCTTGAAATATCCTTTGCAACAGCAATATAACAGCATTCGTTTATTCATTCATTAATAAATAAAACGTTCTAATTTTTTTTCTAATCGTATAATAGAAAATTATAATATAAAATATTTAATGTGAAAAGCAAGATTGACTTTTTTTTTATTTTTTTTTTTGTCTTTTTGATATTTTTATCTTTTCTGTTAATCGAATAGTTGCCTGAGGCCCATTGGGCCTTTCCAGCACTACTACCTCGTCAAAATTAGGCGACGGACGATATAACAGGCCGTTTGATTATTCTAATTAGTGCAACATTAAGGAGCTGTAGGAAATTTAATGTTGGCCTTTGAGAACAGTGCTACGTGCTGGTCTTTTCTCTCTAGTAAAAATATACATAGTATCCCACCGCTTAAATAATAAACTATAGATAACAAACGTTTAATAGTCATTGGCGAATTGGCCATGCGAAACACTCTATATTAAAAGGAGGGGGAGAGTAAAAGCACCAAAGTGTAAGTATATAAGGTTCAAAAGATTGTTTACATATACTAATTATTAACTAACGCGTTATCGATTGCGTGTACGCGATACTTTGTCAAAGTTTACAGTTACTGTATAGGCTTTTTAGTCCTCAATACGTTCAATAGTTTGAAAAAAATTAACAATACGATACTTTAAATATCATTAATTAAATAGGAAAGTTTTGTTTTTCTTCAACCTTGTTTAATAGATTGATATGATATACAATATATATATATGAATGCGTCTCTTCAATCCGAAAAGCATATTGTACATATATACCAATATTAAATAAATAATCAACTGCATATAATCTCCAGCTTATTCGATTTCTTGAAAGAAAAAAAAATACTCAGACTACGCACATCTCGCTTAATTACCGTCTAAAAAACGTCTACGACATGCCGCACACCAATGTCTTCGTTTTAGTCATTGGCCTGAGGGTCTGCTCCCTCCGTCTGTATAGACAGACAACGAGAGAGAACTAGCGAACAAAACAAAAAGAAATTATATATATACAGTATATAGACTGTATATGTACTTACATATTGTATACTCAGTTGGCCTATTTTAGGGAACCAATCTACTGTAATGCAGAGAAAGGGAAAGAGTGTATTGTTTCGACTATTTATCAATCAGGGCTAGCGTTCATCTTACTTGATTAGCGTTGAAAGAATTATAAATGGGGGGCGAGCACCTTACAAATGAGTGTATACTAATGGTACCGGAATCTGCAATTGGTGTATTGATCCCCTAAAAAGCACTATTTAACAAAGATTTAAGCGTAAAAGAATGGTAAGGAAAAAGGCTATTTCGCTCCTCTTCTCCCTACTAAGCTAAGCTGTCAACAAAACTAACTATTAGATATCAATTATCAACTAAATCAACAATTCGTAGTTTTACTTGTATATATTCATATATTGTACATAAATGGATATTAAAAAAAATTCTAAAATTGAAATAGGGTTCTAAGAAATTACGATCTCTCCTAATTATTATTTGACGTTTAAAATATTACATTTGCTTTTCGTAAATAGGTTAGTACTGTGATGTGAATAAGCCAAAAGTCAAATTAGATGTATTTTAAGAAAAACCTTAAAATGTTAAGAGTATAAAAACTAAGGGAGCATAAGAGCGAGTGAGCAAGGGAGAGTGAGAGAGAGAGAGAGAGAGAGAGAGAGACAGAGAAGGAGAGAGGGGGTGTGGCATTTATGGTAAAGTGTTAATAACTCCCTATTTTTCTAAGAAGAATTTAATGAGAAAAAACAAGTTGATAATGTTTATATACAAATGAGCATACGTATACGCGTGCTTTTACAATTTTTTCTATTATTCGTATTATTTTCAAGGATAAAATAGTAACTGTTTTTTTTTTTTGATAAAGGAGACTATTTATTTGAAAAACAGGATTCTCTAATTATAAAGATAAAGTTTTTTGTTGTTTTTTCTTTTTTCCTTTCTTTCTCTCTCTCTCTCTCTCTCTGATAAAAGGCAATTGTTATCATTTTTTCGTTTGTTGTACATTAAAACGAGATATATATATATATATATATATATATATATATATATATATACAATATATATATGCGTGCTTCTGTGTATATAAACAACTTTCAATAAGAAGAGTATACCATCTATTATGACGAATAAGGGAAAATGCAAGTTTTTGTTCATATTTTGTAAATACACTATCTTTCTTTGCGTTCTTGGAAAAACGATGTACCATAGTATAAAGGAGTCTCTAAGCTTTTCGAATAATAGAGAAGAGAGCAGAAATCGGATATATGAAGAACAATATTTTGCTTTTTAAAGACTTTAAATGAGGAGAAATTCGATTTTTGCTGTAATGTTCTTACTCTCCAAAAGGTAGTTATTTAGTTAAAAAAGAAAAGTCTTATTATAATATTTGATAGAGAGAACGTACGATACAATCCGTAATTCCCTCTCTCTCTCTCCTGCTATAAATTAAACTATAATTTCTATTTGAAATATTGATTACAATAAGAAAAAAAGATGATAGACAGATAGATTTATAGATAAATAAATAGGCTAATACTTAAATAATTCTCTTTACTATAGTATGTTTTTTATTCATTTCTTTTCCTCCTTCCCCTCCCCTTTTCCCCTCATCTTGTTTTTTCTTTCATTCAAGCGAAAATTTACATTTCAGAATGATTCATATTGAATTTAACTCTTTTTTATTGCGATTTACCTATAATTTTTGCGCCACATTTAGTCTATATTATGGCTTTTAATATATATTACTGCAATGCAATATAAAATATCATTTTATAAGTCTATCATTTAAGGATTTCAAGTAATTCACCTGAGAAGGATTATCCCTTACCTATTTATCTCCCTCACTAACAGTCTTATTTAGTTATTTGTTTTTACCTAATTATTTATCTCTCTTACCCTCTCTTTCTTTGTTTCTTTGTTTCTTTTTTCTAATCCCCTCAATCTCCTCTTCCATACCCTCCCTTACACTCTCTATCTGTTTATCTATCTATTGATGCTCAGATTTGAGGAACAAAAACAATTTTGATTTTTTACCAAAAAAACGATCGAAAATGCAACAATCATTGACTTACCTAGGCATACAATTTGATGTATTTTTGTCTATATCAAAATTAGCAAAGAGCTTCATCCGTACTGGTTTCATGCCTGTAAAATCCGTTCTGCCGCTTTTCTCCGCCATGTTAATTTTTTTCTAACGCGCACGCGCACCGAATTTGACCTTAACATTGTAAATAACTTTTTATCAATTTATCCTAGATAACAGCCAAAGAAAAAAATTATATATTATTTCTCATATAAGATCTACTTGCAGATGTTAAATGTTATCTTTTTTGAAAAAACTAGCGACATCTGTTTCTTGTTGAAAGTATCATTAACTTAAAACGAGTATCTCTAACCGCTTAGTGGTAGAAGAGTTTATTCTTAGTTATCTCCCCCTTTAGTTTAATTAACTACCAAATTTATTCAATACATGACGACTATTTATTTAAATATCGTTTTTAACATTTTTTATTGGAAATTTAAAAAATAAACTTTAAACAGTTTTGTAATCACCTACGCGAAAGTTCAATTTATTATCGTATAAACTTCGTAGAGGACGTACGTATTTTCTAAGAATATTTTATAATAAAAAATATAATTTACTCTTTAATAAATGATTCGTTGAAGCCTTCAAATTATTAGCGGAATTTATCTACTTTTATAATCATTTTCACGGTGATTGATCAATTTTCGTTAAAATAGAAACCAAAGCGCATAGGCGTAACCCCAACTCGTATTTAGTTCTACCCGTAAAAACGTCGCCATATTCAAGGAAGAACGGACGGGCTACGGAAAGTTTACCGTACCAGCGTTAGACTACATTTTTTCATATCGAATTTTCGTTAAAGTCAATTGTCAAGAATGATTTCATGACATGGCTGATTCAGGAAGTCAACCACCTAGATGTCCTTGCGGATTTTGGGGGTAAAAATCTTGTTCATAAATTCTTATCCTACTTCGATAGGCCTAAACTATTTAATGTTTCAGTTCTGAGGCGACGGCCGGCCTTTGTTCGAAATGTTTTAAAGGTAAATTTTGTGCGGCAGCTGTACTTTTTGTATAATGGGCTTTTAAATAGTCATTTGTTGCATTTCGTTGATTTTTATTATGTTTTGTGCATAGTGTGAATATCAGGTCGCGCATGCGCTGTGAATATCAATACGGAAAATACTTCTTATTAAATTATTTCAAAAGCCTGAATTATCATGGAATTATAAGCATTGTATTATATATAAAGGGAGAGAAAAAAAATTAGTCTTTAAAAAAAGGGTAATAGTATAATTAGTGATGGAGTATCAAGAGGAATTCAACTAAACATTCTATAAAGAAAGCTTTTAATTCGTAACGAAAAAACAAATTTCAAATACTAAAAAATTAGCATTCGCTTTGTTCCTTAATTCGTTCGCATATTTTTTAATCAAAGGATACTAAAAAATGCCACGCAAATAAAGTTCGTTTAAGTACTTTTAACCTATAAAATATGAACACTTGTTCTACTTTTAAATGTATATTTATACTTAGAGGCAAATTATAATTCTTTTTCCTCTTTTCCTCAACCGCCTAAAAAAACCAGCAACCTAATTTTCTTTTTAGAAAGTACTGGATTTAACTCTTACCCGAATACTTTGAGTGTTTCTATTACACAAAGAGGGCAATTATGGTTTTTCTACTTTATTCTCTTTCTTTTAATGTAATAAAACATTTTCTTCATTATTTATACATTTAAAACAAGCATTTATGTTAAGGATATTAAAGTTTTGGCTATTAAGATTTATCGTCTTTTCAAAGTATTTTTGATGAAATGCTTTCGCGCTGCAACAATATGATAAAACGATAGATTTTCTTTAAACGATATAAATGTTTAATATTTTGCATTTTTTTAATCAGGATAGAAGAATAGATCTTTAAAAATATCTGATTTAGAGAGGAAGCAATATGTAGACTATATGCTTTATATACATATATATGTATAAGTACATTCGTAGATAGACAAATAGATAGATAGAAAAAAGTTTTAATTAAAAGGCGTATTATTAAAAATTATTTCATTTTTCTTTGTCTAATAGAACGACAGGAAACCTCAGAACCAGCTCAAACGCCTAGAACATGCAGCGAAGACGCTCTTCGCCCAACTTCTTCCGATGTAGGAAAACGCCATATGGAATCACCTCTAGGGGGTCAAATGAACCCCGAAAAAAGAATAAAACTAGACTGTAATGTGTCCAAAGAAGAAATTAATAATACCAAAGAAAAAGAAGAAGAGAAAGAAGAAAATGATAAACAAACCACTCAACAAAAAGATGAAACAGGCGAGAAGGATAATAACGTAGAAAATAAATCTCTGGATGATTCAAAAATTGGTGCTAGTGAAAGGTATTTAACACTACCATAGCACAATTAACCAAATATTTTAAAGTATATCACAAAATTCGTAATAAGAGTACTGCATATATTTGATATATTTGTGACTTATAGTTAGGATATATATATAATTATATTATACTGTATTTGCATAAACATAAGAGATATGTATTTATTTTTTTCTACAGTATACCAAGCACAACATCAACAAATCAGAAAGAAAGTGTATTAAAAAAGCGTTGTAACGAATGCCGTATCAAACTGAACCCGGCCCTTCGAGAAATTGGTAGATGTAAATGTGGGAAAGTATTTTGTCAATTACATCGCCTCCCCGAACAGCACATATGCGAGTTTGACCATAAAGAAGAGGGACGTAGGGAAGCTCGCCAAAAGATGGTGAATCCAGAAAAACAGATGGGAAATAACATGGAGAGGCTCCAATAATTAAACTGATTTTAGACATTTTTCATCTGCTCCAAACCGAACAATTGGTTCACAGCCATTCTTGCATATTGATCCTTAATTTTGTAAATTATCTTGTATATGACTTACGAGGAGAGGTATAATAACCTAGTAGTTACAGAAAAAAAAATTTGCTATAAAAAAAAAAGAAACTTTTAGGATCATTCATTTTTGTAAATTGTACAGATATCGTGTTTTCGGTAATGTTAAAAAAATTTTCAATTTTCAGAAAAATTCTATGTAAATTTGTTTATTTATGATCTATAAGCACAAGGTTTGCCTTTGGTCTCAAAATTTTTGTTAGTTCATTAAATGTGTTGTGTGCGGCAGGTTACAACAAGATTAACACACTATGTAAATTTATAACCATCTTGCTGTATATATATCTAATTATATATACACCCTATATTGTTGTACTTTTTGTTCTCATTTTCAAAACTATCAATATCTTTCTTCTTGATATATACAAAAGGATTGGTTAGATAAATTAAATGGGAAAGGAAGAGAAAATATTCAACATTGAAAGTTAAGGATTTTCCAATCGAAAAATGTGCGTATATAAGAAGTATACATGTTAGTTGTAAGCATAGGTCTTTCGAGATGTATAAAAGTATATTTTATATATATATATATATATAATATATAACATATATATATATATATATATAGAATTTCTATAGAGTATTCTAAATACTTTTTCTTTAAAACTAGACTTATCATTTGAGTTATCTTTAAGAAAAGTTAATTTTTTTGCCTTTTTTTTCTTTCTCTTTGAACTATAAATTAAAATCTATTTTAACCTGCTGTAAATGAGATAAATATCGAAAAAAGTTTATTCAAATACTATGTATATTTTTTTTGTGATACGAGAAGTGATAAAGAGAATCTTTAGATAAAATAATACTTAAAAAAAAAAAAAGAGGAGAAACTTAACAATAGAACATCAAATTGGTTAGATAGTATTATTTTTTTTTTCCTCAATGAATTTACAAAGTTATTGTTTTTCTTTTTCATTGATAATATCAGTTTAGTTTTTGTTTTCTCTCCATTTCCTGGGAGAGAAGAGCGTTTGGAAATTGTCAATTTTTTGGTTGTTTATTATCAATACGACGTGCATTTTAATCAATTTTGTCGTTCTAGTTTTGTAACTCGTTATAATATAAATGATTATAATTCTTGTTTTTCCTTGTAGAAAGAGAAAGAGAAAGAGAGGAGTCAACATTTTTTTTTATTATTTGTTTCTTTTTTAAATCTTGTATATTCTTTTTTTTTGTATTTCTCTTTTTTTTGATGTGACGGTGTTGGGAGTTGTCTGAATGGGACCAAGTAAAAAATATATTTTACTTGCCCAAGGCTCTTTAGAGACAAAAAGGTAATAAAAACAATACTAAAAAAAGAGTTATTTTATATATCTTGTTCTGCACTTTGCGGGACAATAATATTGAATTCCAAAGTATATTTACTCTCTTATTTTTCCATTTATTCATGTACCTGACAAAACGATTTTTACACTCGAATTTATAGCCATTCTCTTTATTTAATCTCTTTTTAACAACATTAAAAGCAAAAAAGATACAATTCTCTAATAAGATACATTCTATAGTCTTTTCTCCTCTTTCTCACTCTTTCTCTCTCTCTCTCTCTCTCTCTTTCGCCTCTTTAGAGTCATTGAATGCTCAAATAGTATCATTACTACGATTATTATTTCTCTCATGTTTAGTGTATTTCTAACGATTCATTCATTCATTCATTCATTCATTCATTCGTTTATTCATTTAAACATCCAGTCGCTTCGCCAGTTTTCTGCCCATCCTTCCATTGTTTAGTGGGTCAATAAATCGGCGTTATGTTGAGCATATTCGCCCTAAAACGCCAACTGCCAGGGTGAGTATGCACAGGTAATTACCTACAATGGTTGTCGCGTCCGAGTGTGCGCTCGAACTGCTTCTTTGTTGGCCGTATTGTAACCCTTTACATTCTAGTGCTTCTGGATTGTCGACGCAAAGCATATACTTAATAAATGGAGGATTAACTATGCATTCGTATTTAATTCCTTTTTTCTCGACTGCCTTCTTTATTTGGTACAGAGATTTTTTACCTGTGCAATCTTCGCTATAGGGAAGAGAAGAAGAGGAAGTGCATAAATACTTTATTACATTATTTCCATATTAGGAGTATGGATAGAATAAATAAATACAAATAGGAATAAAATATTTTTATATATTAACGAAAAGAGACGCTCCCTTACGTTATGTCCATCCCTGGTTTTTGGACGAGTATCACTTGTAGTACGGTTACTTCACGCTCATTCAGCGCGTGTAATTCTACTCTGCCAAAGGTTCTGCAGACACGAATTTGTTGGCGATAGCTCAAGTAATTCACTAGACGTATTACATGCAAATTATTTTACTTACGTCCCGCTATAGTACGGATAAAGAGGCCGCAGTTTGCCATTTACGGTTCTCCAGTTAGTATTGTTCAAAAGAACGCTAACACGACCAGTTAACGAGCTGGCAAACTAGTAAAGAGTACAAAAAGAAAACGAGGATCAAACTGAGTATTCATTCGAAATGGAGAAGGATAACGGTTGCACAAACGCTTAAAAATTAATTACCAATTTTGAAGCCTGGTCCCAGAAACTACCCATACTTTTGCTCATACCACAATATTTGATATTTCTCATTGAAAATGGTAAAGCATCGCAGTCGTTACATTTCTGAGAACAAGGCGAGCTTCGTCCTTTGTTTTCGCTACACCAGAAAACTGCATCCAAAGGATAGCCTATATATAAAAAAAAGAGAGAAATAAGCAACTCAACAATTGATAAAGTGTTTACAAGCCTATCAAAGAGTTGGCGATTGAATGGAGTCTGTATCCTTGAAATGTAATCTTCGAAACAAACTCTCCGGTCTGACTCCATAGTACACCCTTATCTTTCGGTATATCGAGCTTAATCATATTAGTTAACGGCTCATAATCATCCATACTCCAAGCGCATTTATCTTGATTTTGAATGGAGTAAAACTGATTCCAATAGGAACTACAATCGACGAGTTGTCTGTATTGTTAAATATGAAAATGTTAAAAATGGGAAAACAATATGAAAGACAAGAAAAAAGATTAATTTGATAGGAGAATTGTTAATATTAAATGAAATGAAATCCCCATATACTTTACAATACATACTATATGTACATCATATAGAGATAAAAGGACAGACAGACGGACGACTAGTAGGATGCATAGAAATATCCATAAGTCTACATTAGTACATTCACTGTATATATTACAATAAGAATATAAATACGACCCGTATATAAACCTTATAGGTTATAACCTCATTAAAATACACTATACATAAAGCTATAACAGGAATAGAAAAAGATGAACCGACCTCTCAAACGAACGTCTATGTAGCACCCTTTGATAATATTCGCATCTCCCAATAAACATTTCCTTCATAAAGCTAATGGGCCGGGAAGCGCTGGAAATGGATGATATTGAGAAAATCAGGAGGAGAAGGGATGTTCCAAAAGCAGCTTCCATCTCTCTAGTAGAATGCTAAATGAAGAATCGATTGACCAGCAGCAAGAAGAAATAAATTGTTAATACTGGCCGAAAAGCCAGTTTTTATACATCTATAGTGGGCCTAGACTCATTATTTTATCAGTTAGGCTATAATAAGCTCGTCTGCTGAACCATATACGCAAAGACGTACAGGAAAAGAGGCCCCTATTCAAACCTACCCCTTTAGCACTCTGTAAACATATCCTTAAATCGTATCTTTGCATGACGATTTCCATGTTGGCTGAGACAAAGAGACATTAGTCTTGGCAAGAAGAGAAGAAGAGGAAAAAGAATAAGAAGTAGAGGAAGAAAAAGAAGAAGAAGAAGAAGAGGAGGACGAGGAAGAAACAAAGAAAGAACGAAAGCTTTATAAAGAGAAGAAAGAAGAAGAAAACTAAGAAAAACTTTAAGCTTAAAAAACAATAGAAGAGAACTTTTAATCAACTAGACACTTTATTTACATACTAACGCCAGCTTTTTTGGCCTAAAGTACGAAAGTTTGGCCACAATATGCACATGCTATTTAGATAATTAACAGTTTATATTTATAAATACTCTATTTGCCATTGTCCTCCTTAATCGACATATAAATATTCAATTGTCATCGTGGTAGGCAGTATACTCAACATTAGGCTTAATTATGTCTATTTATCATTATTAATTAAGAAAAAGCATGAGAACAGAAACAAACAACAAAAAAAACAAATGAAAGAATGCTTGAACGTTGAATAAACGAGCTTTTAAACAAACTGCTGAAAGAAAAGCGTTTGTAATATAAATAAGATTTTACAAACATAAACTTAAACTCTAACGGGAGAATAAAAAAAATGCTAAATCATCATTAGGTTTGTCTCTCTCTCTCTCTCTCTCTGAACTTTTGTAAAAGTCAGCAGTTTTTATCTGGTACAATAGTTCAAAAACTTATGTAAAAGTAGTGAGTTAATATTGTTCAAAGTTCATTGAACTTTTATAATAGTTCCTAGGAAGAATAGATGATTATTAGTAACTAAATTTTTGCTGATAAATAGCAAATCTTCTCTTTTCCTGGAATGGGGAAATTATTCATATCCTTCCAAGTAGAAATAATAGTAATACAGTTTTGTTTCTCTTTGGTAAAAATCTTTTTCAGAACTCGGTGAGAGGAAGAGAGAGAGAGAGAGAGAGAGAAAGGGAGAGAAGGACGTAAGGAAAAAGAGAACTTTAACTCATTAAAGGCTTTGACTAATTTATGTAGTCGTCACAAGGACTAGATGCTTTTCATAGACGACCATTTGCAGAGGACAAATTCAATAATGAATATCCTCCTATTGACAATCCATCAACTTGAACAGTTTTTGATCTCATTTGAGGAGCATTGTCATAGTAAGAGCTCGCCGTACTTGATTGATCGTTTTCATAATTTTCCATTTCTCCTTTATCCGTATTCGTTTCTTCTAACTTTGCATTTTTATTACCTTCTTCAACGTCCGAAATGGATATGTAGGACTGTCGATTCGATGTAACTTTCGAGTCATTAACCTTTTTCTCAACGTCTATTGTTGATATATAATCGTGCTTTCCAACAGCATCGTAATAGTTTGTCAAAGGCGATTTGGGCGTTTGATCATTTTTCATTTTCCTAATCTTGCGTCGCATTGAACAATAGTATAAAATGAATAGAAGGATGGTGATTGTTGGTAGAAAAATTCCAATACAAAGGAGTGCAATATTAGGAATATCCCATAGTTCTTTCGTTTGTGGCAAAGTTATTTTGTCAGGTAAATCGTCATATTTTATAAGGGTTACGCTGCTCGAAACTTGCATAAAATCACCGCCTGTTTGACGAAAAGGATATGTAAATTACTTGTGGCAACTAATGCAGTGCCACTTATGGTAAGAAACGGGAAAGGACGAATATAGTGGGTTATGTAGGGGAAGTAAGAAGAACTACAAGATTGATAGGGAGAAAGAGAGAGAGACAGAGAGACAGAGAAAGAAAGATAGATATACTGACAAAAAGACAGGCACAGAGGACGAGAAGAGTTAAGAAAAAGGAAAAAAATAAAAGGATTGGTGTAGTAGTGTACGAGATGAGAATATATTCAGAAATCGTATGCTAAGACTAACCGTAAAGAATTTGAAGGGAATAGGAATTCGTTGTCAAACAACTAATGTTGAGATAAACTTCCATAACAAAGTTACGAGATGATATACTTGAGCAGTAAGTTTTCGATAAAGTAGTTATTGGATACCGAGTTTCATCAATATCCTCTCTAGATTGAATTTTTACACTTGAATTGTGTAAACATTTAAAAAATTCTGGATGAAAGTAGATCGAAAGATTCTGTAACGTTTGCGATCGAATATGAAATTGATATTTTATAGTTCTATTCCTCCAACAATCTTCTAATCCACATATTTTCATCGATTCATTAGTTTCAATAGAGAAATTTTCGCATATTGAATAGTTTGGCTGTAGACACTCGAACGGAGGACAGGCTGGTTTCATTGCAGTACTGCTTAAATATTTATTAAAGATAAGAAGAGATAAGAGAAATATACGAAAGAGTGTCATATCCTTTTCTCCCATCTCTCCTAATAGACTTTACAGTTGGAAAGCTGAACAAGAAGTGAATTTTAAAAAAGATTCTTTAAATACTCTGTATTGATATACGCTTTACTTTTATTGGTTTTTGGGGTTGGTGTGGATATTTTTGTTTACGTAAGCCTAACTGAAACTTATAAACTCTTCCCCATCTATTATAAGTTTTTATATAACGTATAAAAGTCTCTCCGAACACATAAATACGTTTTTATGTGTGTGTATGTGTGTATGTGTGTGTATATACAGTATATATATGTATCCCATACCCACACGGATACGGACGTATAGTCTCTCTCTCTCTCTCTCTCTCTCTTTTTAGGTTATTCCTCCTTTTTTACCTGGGTAATTTATCGATTTCGTTCGTTTTTGGTTGTTTGCCTATGATTCTTTCGACAGATGGAAAACGTTTAAATAGCCAAAACTGTTTACGAATAAGTCACTTTGGTAAAAGCTTAACAATAAGGAAAATGTTTGAAATTGTATTATTCTACTCTATTCTGTTTATTAGTAAGTGACGCTGCTTGTTTTTATTTAGTATGTTCAAGTTAATTTAAAAAACTTATTCGTAGCTATTGGTGACGCCTTGTCGTTTGATTGCCGAAGGTGTAGAAGGGTCCTCGATCCAGTTTGCGACACGAACGGAATCACTCATAATAACTCGTGCGTGGCAGAGTGTGAAGGAGTCGTTCCTAGATACAAAGGGCAATGTTTCAGAACGTGTTCTTGTCCCAACTCAACTGAGCCGGTTTGCGGAGAAAATGAGAGAACTTATAGAAACATTTGCGAGGCTAAATGCAACGGAATACTTGTCAAATCGATGAAGAAATGTCCACCATGCATAGCCAATCATTACTTTAGCCCAGTTTGCTCATACGAAGGCTTTACCTATTTAAATAAAGAATTTGCCGATTGCGATTTCGCTCCAATCAAAAGCCAAGGAATTTGTTTTAATAATCGATGGAAAAAGATTAAAACCGAAATAAAAAACAACATTTTTTCATTATAAACAACGCTTTCTATAGTAAAAAAAAAACCATATTTGGAGTATCAATCGACGAATAGTGCATATATTAAATGTAGTATTTATACACAGGGATGTAGGGGACAAAGAACGAGAGAGAGAGAGAGAGAGAGAGAAAAAATGAGTGGGTTAAAAGGTATACTTGTACATACTCTCTTCTCTGCTTAATGAATATTCATGCTTTATCTAATTTATCGCTTCAACAATCTTACAGTTAATTTAATAATACAAAATAAACAACAAAAATTCACTACAATGGCAAGTGTTTTATACTATTTTCTAATTTGAACTTTCCTTTCTTTTTATCATCTTTTGGGCCTTTTTCACTATTGGTTGTAGCCCAAGATCTGGATTGTCTCCGAGGAACAGTGTGAAGTATATTTTACCTATCAAAGCAAAAAATGATAGGCCTATTAGAGTTGGCCCGATAATCTTCAGCATAAATGATCTGGAGCTAAGTGCCGTTAAAACGATGCCAACGGCTAGTCCTAGAAGAAGTAGGGCCAGAGTGACGGTACTCGCTCTAACTCTTTTTCGTGTTATTTCTCTAAAAGGAGCTCTAGTCTGTTCTCCTTCGGCTGCAAAGCCAGTGTCCAAAGGTGCTTCTTCCGGTCTATTTATGATTACCTATAGGAAAAATTGACGTTAAACTCTCTTCCGCAATCCACTTGTCCTCTATTGTTTTTTATGTATTTTTATATAGTTTTACCGGTTGGGGAAAATTCTGACCCTCCTCTGCTCCCCTCGCATCAACGCTCGCTCCTCTTTGGAGTAGCGGTTGGCCAGGAGACCAAGAATCTTGCTCCGGAGGAGTTAACCTTTGACTTTGCTGAGGCATCGGCTCAGGTTCGGACTCGTTCAAGTTTTCTTGCGGAATGACGTCCAACTGCAATATGTCGTTTGTTGTTTATATTAATAATATAGTTGATAGATTTCAACTCCTCTTTTATGATTATATTTACCTGTAAAACATTATCTTGCTTCTTCTTTTTAAAAAATGGCATCTTTGGTAATTTTGGCTTTTTTGCCTTGTTAAAAAATCCTTTAATCTTATCCATTTTCCCTTCATCGGTCTCTTTTTGTACGCTGACTAACGGTACGGGTACAGAATCGTCTATTTGCTGCTCTTCTTCATATCTAGCTACGTTGAAATTTCCTTCTGCACTGAGGGGTGGAGGAGGAGGGGGAAATTCTCTTTCATCCATAGCCAACAAGCGCTTTTTAACGTTTCCCCGAAAAAAATCAATTTAACGTCTGCTACAGGTAAAAAGATTTAAAAGAAAAACATGTATACAGGTAAATTATCCTTTGCTCTTATCGGTGAAGATAACAAAATGGAATATAGATGGCGCCATATTCCCGGCGAGACAAATTCGTTTCGATTGAGTTTGAAGAGCCTACTTGTGACTTGATTGGGATCAATCGAAGAATAATGGTTTTGTGGTTGTGTAGTTGGCGAAAAGCCTATAGAATATATTTAATGTAAGCGATTTGTGAAGAAAGAAAGTTGTAATAAAGTAAAGATACGCTTAAGGAGGTAGATTAAGAGAAGAAAGAGTCGAAGAAGAACAAGAAGAGAAGAACGAAAGAGAGAATAGGAGGGGTGAAAGGAGGGAGGGAGGGAGGGAGAGAGGAAGCAATAGAGGAGAGAGAATTGATAGATAATCAATAAATAAATAAACCAATATATAGAAAGAAAAATGTATTAAATAATCAATTTGAAAGAAAAAACCTCTCCCTTTCTACAAAGCAAACAGAATAAAAAGCTCTTAATTTTTATACAAATTCGCTGTTTTTTTCTTATTTAAAATGGAACAAAACTGCACAAGAAGAAAAGAGAGAGAGAGAGAGAGAGAGAGAGAGAGAGAGAGAGAATACTTTTAAAAAAGTGGAAAATTGAAATTGATTTATCGCGTGCGTTGAAAGACTATGAAAGAACTACGTTTGACTAATTAATTTCGATAGTTTGTTGATCGTGTTATTCAAGTCAATAGTAATAATTCATAGGCTAATAAAAAATTCTGGATAAGATTAGGAAAAAAGTTGTCTTATCCTTCTTTACTGCTTTTTATATAGATACTTCAAAGGCGGTATTACGTTTAGGTAACAAATTTTAAAGCATAATGTGTACTTAGTAGAATTACTGTTTTCGACCGATTGAATAGCATTAGCGTTGGATAAACATTAAAATATTAAGTAAACTGTAAAGAGAACATTAATTTGCAGTCGAGATCAATAGGCTTAATCTCTACTAGCAACCAGTGTAAACAGTATTGCTTTTTTTCGTACGCCTTTTCACTAGCTTCACTATGTGTCAGAAGTTATGGAAGAAACGTTCGTATATAGATAAGAGTGTATAGGAAGAGCTTGATTAGGCGAGATGTCCGATAGAATAGTTTTTTGATAATCCGTATACTGTATAAAGTTTTTATTGTTCAGTATTGGTTTCTCATTGATATAAACAGTATAAAGAAAGAATATATCTATATGTAAAGTACACCTCTAAAAGTATTTAGAATGGCTTTTAGTCCACTTGCTCAAGGATTTGCCTCTTGGAACGGTCCCGGTGCCGTTGACTTTATTGATTCAGATAAAGTTAGTTGACATATACATATAGATGTATACTTTATATATTGACTTTTGTTGTTTTTCTTCCCCTCCTTCTTCTCTTTCCCCTCCTCCTCTTTTCCTCTTCAGAAAGTAGTCCCCAAGCCGAAAGATATGGGGTATTCAGTTCTCAACACTGTACCCAACTATCGATGCATGTCCGCCCCCGTTGACAGACAAAAACAAGAGGCTCTTATACCAAAAACGTACCTTACGAGGCGGGGTCGTCTACTATTATTCTCTGGACCTTCCGATAAAGAAATGGAAGAGATGAATGCTAGGGAAGGAGACAAACTTCGTAACAAGCTGAAGAAAATGTCTGATAGCGAATTACAAAAGAAATTCGGTAGTTTATCCCGTTTAGCTCAAAGTATTTTGAGTTTTGGAGACGGAGTAAGCCTATACATTTAACTAGTCTTGAAGCGACAATAAAGATCTTGTGCTATTTATTATTATTCTATAGGAGTATAATAAAGAACATTGCAGTATTTCCGATCCGGCTAATAAAACTTATCTTAATTTCCTGCACGATTTAAATTCAGCAGCGGATCATGAATTGAAGAGAGAGAGTACCGATGATTACCTGCAGCAATTACGAAGGCATTCAGCCAGGTAAGGATGAAATGTCCAATCCCTCTTCCTAATTGTATGTAAATATGTGTAAATGTGTGAGAAAAGGGAAGGGAGAGGGGGAAAACAGCTTAAATTTATTAACAATAAACAAACATAACACTTAAAATCACGCAGTTGGTTTAGAAGCTTAAGAAATAATCACAATTTATCGGAAGATGAAAAGCAACTTCAAGAAGCCTTACTCCTCTTAGCAAGGAATTCACCAGATACAGAATCTTGCACGTCTAGTACTGATAGTCGACCATCATCGGCACAAGCACAATTTAGGACTTTTCAGTTTGTCAATCAAAATTTAAGGCTTGTTTTAATTTTAATTCCCTTTTCTTTTTTCCTTCTCTTCTCCTCGCTTTGTCATTTTGACGAATAGCTTATCTTCGAGGTCTCCTAAAACTGTGCAGAGATTATCTAGCGAAGAGCTTAAGAAATCTCTAAGGACAAGATCTTCGTTAATGTTTGAAGGTAGATATTATTTCTTTTATTTCTTTAGTGTGCATCGCTTTGCTGTTCTATAGAAAATCCTATGGAGACTGTTGAAGAGTTAACTTTTACAAATTCTTCGAGGCCATCTACAAGACCATCTTCAGAAATTCTCTACCAGAGGCCTCCTTCTTCCAGGTCAACAAAAACTCCGGAGGATATTGCGGGTAAGCCTCGTACAAACACACCAAATTACGATACAACCGACGAGAGTCGATTATGGAGTCCAAATCTCGCTCCACCTACTAAAAAAGTATTCGAAAAGCGTCGAAGAGTCTTACCAAATCTTCCACCAGAGTCTAAATCAAAATTTAAAGGTAACAGTAGGGTCTTTCTCGGTCGAAACCGAAAAAGAACGTATAGAAGTTGTTTAACCACTCAACTGCAATATTATTGTTGTTTATTATCACCGAACAAAATCAGTCAAGTACAAACTGAGCGCACTTGAATATCTGGCACAAAAGCTATTATTACTATTATTATGATATTTATATATATATATATAATATATATATATATATCATTATTGTTTGTTTTTAATGTTGATTTTCAGCACAGTTTTGTATCCTAAGGAGCAAACAAACAAACAAATTGACAAACAAACAAAAACCATATTTTCCATTATTGATAAGAGAAAGAAAAGAAGAGAGAATAGAATATCCTAAAAGTTCCCGTCATATGCTCAATTCATATTTTATTTCTAGATAATAAAAGAAAGAAAGAAAGAAAGAAGAGAGGAATATTTTTTTTTATTCTCTAGTATTGTTTGTTTGTTTGTTTTGTTTTATTGTTGTTTTTGCTTTATATTAATAAGCACCATACAGTTTTAACTTGATAACTCTTATCTATTCAATTATACACTATATATAAGATATATAACTGTATAAATCTCTTTTATTAAGCAGAACAAATGCCGGTTCCTCCTTCGTCTCCTTCTGGATCTGAGAGTGAAATTTCCGTGCGAATAAGACGTAAACAGTAAGTAGACTTTGTACAATATCTCTCTATATACTATATATGTATATTGTATTTATATATCCATAAAATATATACAAGTTAATCAATCAATCAATCAATCAATCAGTCAGTTAGTCTCCATTTATTTCGTTTATTTTATTGTCTTATTGTGTTAATTGTTATTCGTTATTAATAGAGTTAATTGAAAGAAATTGCTTTTAAATAGATTGCCAGATCATCCTCGTTTGGAGGATGGTAAGGAAACAAAGCAAACTATGCCGATGAATAGCCCTAAGAGTCCTTCAACCCGTTCAAATAGTAAGTATTCATCTGGTGTAGATATATCTATATAAATAGGTCTATTTGATTTATTTTTCTGATCATAACTAATAAGGCTATTAAAAAGCTATTAATGATAAAAAGAAAAAAATCTATAATAATTTATTGACTAATCATTCATTTCATTCCCTTTTTCTCCTACCCCTTCCCGTTCCTTAACCTCCTCTCTCTCTCTCTCTCTTTGTCTTTCTCTCTCTCCCTTCCTCCCTCCCTGTATCGCTTTAATAATGCTACAAACAACAACAACAACAACAACAGCTATAGTGTATATGGTATGACGGGTTAAAAATTTATGTATTTAATATTTTCTTCTACGTTCTTTTCACCATCTGTTCAACACGTTTTGGATTGTTTTTTGTCAGTTTTTTTCCGAGTTTTTCAACACTCGTGCAGATCAATTTTTCTCTTTAATCCTTTTCAAAACACATATATATCGTATTATAGCTGCAAGTACTGGTGATTTTCGGCCACTTAGTGGTAGATATCTTCCTCCAACGCCTGTTTTGGCCTCCACCTCTCGTTGTGTAACTCCACCTTGGAGGAGAAGAAATGAGAGAAAATATTCATCTCACGATGAACAACACGCAATATTGAAAGACAAGGCATTTAGTGATGACGAACCAAAGACAGAAATAGTCGGAGAAGTAAATAACTCGAGAAAGAGTTCCATTAAATCGAATAGATCGGCAAGCACTGAAAATGAAGCTGCCATCGAAGATCCGTCCAGTTACGACGTTTTCAATAGAGATAAGCCACCGTCAATAGAAGAGAATAATGTAATTGTAGACCACCGAGAGATCGTTATAGATAAGCAGCAAGTCTCAGAACCTCAGCAAAGAGAAATGAAATCTGATTTAAGCAATCATTCGGCAACGTCGTCGAATAGAGAACGACCCGTTTCAGCGGCGTCGGTACGGTCAAGACTCTTGACACCCGATAGAATGTCTGCAAGATCGGATTCGATCGAAAAGCACGTTCAATTCGTCCAAAGTCCCCAAGCAGAAGGAGATGGAGAAGATGAGGAAAAATCAGTAGCTGAAAGCGAAGGGGAGAAACTATTGAAAAAACGACCAACCTCTTCTAAGAGGCCAATTAGCGCTAGACAACCTTCAATAGAGATAAATAGGGATGAAAATGAATCGGAGAATTTAATTCAAAGTGATAATAAGAAAAACGTAATATTTACATAATAATTTAACTGTTTATTAATGGGAAAATGATAATAAACTCTCTATTTTCATAGCGAAACCTTCCTGAACTACCGAAAGAAGACGGAAGTGCGGCGAAAAAGGAAAAACTTCGATCAAATTCTCCTCCTCTTTTAAGCGTCTCTCCTTATGATAATCAAGGAATATCTTCTAGTAAGAAGGATGTTTCTAGTTCAGCTCCCATTAAAAAAATATTAAAATCGAGCGAAAAACAATCTAAAACACCTCCAAAAAGCTCATCGCCCACTCATAAGAAGCCACCTTTAAGTGTGAAATTTTCGGAAAATCAGATCAAAGAGTTTAAAAGAAGTCAGAGCGTTCTCTCTTCAATTGATAAGAAAATGGAAGAGGAGAAAAAATTAGAGAAGGAAATGGGTAATAAATCACAAATTGATTATTCTCTCTCTTCGATAAAACATAGATTTTATTGCCTTTCTTACCTTCTTACAGATCAAATTTTATCGAATACATTTTCAATCGAAGAGGGTTTGTCGGCTGAAGAACTTGCACTTGAAGCTGAGATTATTAAGGTTCCAAAAAAAGAAATTCCTCTCTCTCTCTCTCTCTCTCTCTCTCTATTTATCTATTTATTTTTTCTTCAGAATAAACTCAAATCTGCTGCTGAAAATGTCGTTGGTGGCGAGAAAAAAGGGGAAACAAAATCAAAGGCTAGGCCTAAGTCAAAAAGTCCTAAAATGAAACGGAAGCAGAAACAAGAGGACGGCGATGAATTAGAAAAGAAACGTCAAAGTTTAAGGGAAGCTAAACGACTGGAGAGACAAAAACGTCTTGAAGAAGCTCAAGCCCTCGAAGCCAAAATAAAAGAGATTGAACATCAAAATGAGCTAAAGAAACAGGAAGTGGAGGGCAATAAAAAGATTGTCGAAGCAGAAATACAAGCAGCCACCAACGAAGTTATGGAGGCTGAAAGGGCGGAGGAGGATGCCAGAAATTTAATAGCCGAACAAAGAAAACAGTACAAAGAACAAAGAGAAGCGAAGAGAAGAGCCGAGCAAGAAAAGAAAAGGGAAAAAGAAAGGTTAAAGAGAGAAGAGGAAAAAGCTAGACTCGAGGCGGCCAGAAAGAGAGAATTACAAATGTTGGAGACGCTAGCTTCTGCCGAAGAGAAACGTAAATTACGAGAAGAGGAGAGGAAGAGAAAAGAAGAACAAGAGAGGGAAGAGCAAGAGCGATTAGCCGAAGAAGAAGAAGAGGAAAGGAAGCAAAGACAACTGGAGGATGAAGAGATGGAAGAGATGGAAAGAGCAATGGAAGAAGAAGCTCTTAAGAAGATAGTTCAGGCTAGAGAAGAAGCTGAAGAAAGACAAAGAGCATTATATCTAGAAAAGCTTCAGATGGAAGAGGAGAGTGAAAGAATAAGGTATTTTCTATTATTGCTACTATTGTTGTTATTAAATATAGACAAACTGTATATATTCGATATAATATATAAAACTAAAATATAGACTAAAGATGGAAGAAGAGGAAATGCAAATCGAAATGGAAAGATTAGAGAAAGAAAGACAAGAAAGGGAACGCCTAGAGCAAGAGCGCCAAAAGTTGATAGAGGTATGTCCATATCTCTTATATATTGTCTATTTATATATATATATAAATATACTGTATATCGCTGGATATAAGTTTTCACCTACTAGAAAAATTGAAGCAACTTTCTCATTTTTCCTTAGATTCAAAGGTTGGAAGAAGAAGCTAGGGAAAGAATGAGACTTGAATTAGAGCAGAGGCGTCAAATTCTTCTCAGAAGAAGAGATATCAATTTAGAAAGACATTCTCAATTAGATAAAATTAGAAAAGCTCAAGGTGTTACAAAGTCATGGATATTTTCGTATTTCGTACGATGGCCAAGGGAAAATTACGAAAAGTATAATATCATTTCACTAACTAACTATTTAAGTGTATCGTATTGCGTCATTAATAAACTAATTTGTCTGTTATTCGTTTATTTTCCCACAGACCAATTGGAGGAGAGCCAAAGAATAAAAAGGGAGGATTCCGCAATAGGAAACCTCAGCAAAGACCAAAAACTGTTTCCTAACAATAAAGAAGACAAACATTAATAAATAGGCGTATAGTTTTGAGTTATTTCTTTGTTTTATATTTTGCTAATAAGAAGATGAAAAAGAAGGAAATGAATAATAGGGCGAATAAACTAGATACATAAATGATAGTTTGTAAAAACAATGTATATATATATAATACATAAAGAAGGAAATATGCAGTATTTATACACAGTACGTCTCTATATATATCACTGTAACTCATCTCTTTTCCCTTTCCCGTCTTCGCTATAAGAATAAGGCTCTCATTTCTAGAAGACACTCGTTTATGCAGTCGGCGAACTCTTTGGAATTTGTTTTATTGTTATCTTTCCAACTTGATATTGAAAAGTTTACTGAAAAGGATAAAAAAATTGATAATTAATAATCATTCGCCTTATCTATCTATCTTTCTTTCTTTCTACTAACTTAAATTCTCTCCGTAGATAACGTAAGATATTCCGTAACCATCGTCGCATTGTGGTCCGAAACCTCCTATTCCATCCTCAAATATTGACCCTTTACCCTTCATTAGACTATAGATAATGGTTGGAGTCTGAGATGTTGATAGTTTAAAGTCTTTCATCCAAGCCTAATCCGAGAACAAGAGTACAACCATTAGTTAATTCTGTAAATAAAAGGAAAATCTACAGCTCTATTGTTACTTACAGAGTCGGGAAATATCATTGGAGGATCCATTCCCAATTCTCTGGAAGCGCAGTACAGAGCAAACAAATGTCTATCACATCCATTACCCATAGTAGCGTCTAGACGGAATTGCGTTTGATTTTTAACGGCTTTCGAGAGTAGTGTTCTCTTCTCTTCTGAGTCAGTGTGATCTTTATTGGTCATACATTCAACCCATTTCTTTGAGTATTCCGACACTGGGTGAACGGTATCCGTTCTACCCAAAAGAAATAGTCTACCAGTTGCTGGTTCATACGTTTTGGCAATTTCTTGACGCTTTTTATAGAATGCTAATTGGAGTGCCATTTGAATAAATCCATCAGGACTAAGGCGACATTTTTTCATTATTCCTTTGCCGAAAGGCGCCGATTGAACGATTAAATCTAATCTATCATTCTACGAATGGGAAGAAACAGTTAAGAATTAATAAATAACACGAATCTTTTCTATTATTACCAGTTTTTCATAATTCTCCGTTGATATTTTCAACATATCAGTTAATTTTTCGTCAGTGTTCCATTCTAATCTCTCAGCGTCCGGTAGGTTCCTTAACGAACCAACCTGAGCGATGTCTAGAAGACAGTATTGTTCACGTATCATAACATATTCTATAACGTTTGCGAATACCTTTTTAGGACAAAGAATAATCCGTTAAGAATTGTCTATAGAGTAACGAATGGATGGAAAATACTAACCATAGCGTCAAGAGTTGAATGTTCAACATTACAGCCCATTGACCCATCTTCATAAAAAACTGCCGTAAAGCCAACATCGAACCATCTATCCCAACCTTTACCAAGAGTTAAATCGCGAGATCTCGCCGAAATATCTTCGTGTATCGTATCGTCCAAAACAATATGGAATAGGGAAGTTTCAATAGTATTTAATAGTTTTTCATTAGTCTTTTTCACGTATTCTCTATTCTAGAAAGGCAAAATAGAAAGGTTCGTTTCAGTTTAGAGTAGAAAGAAACGTTTATATTAGTATAATATAATTAATTTACATTAGCCCAAGAACTTCTATTATCGCACGTTAAACTGGCAAAATTTTCTCTGCACGGTTCCCTTCCTGTAAGAAAATATAGATTGAACTTTTATCGAGTTATATATTTGCATAAATTCCATTTCGATATATATGTCAATCGATTTTTTGATAGCGTATATATTTAACTGATTAAGTAATCAACCAACATACCATCAGCATCTTTACGTATCTTTTGAAGCTGATTCTTTAGTTCGCCTGGACTCAGTATTAATCCATTCACTTTCACTTGTAATTTATAGTAGTGCCCTCGTCTATATAATTAATTAATTATTAAATAAATCGCTCGTTTTCACCTTAATTATCATTTACCTTAATACAACGATATGTTGAGATTCTTTACTCATAGATATACTATCCATATGTAGACCAGGGATGCGACAAGTACCAAATAGAGTTTTGTAGCCGCTCATGCACAGTGGAACTAAATCTTGAAGAAGAACTGGCTCGATAAGTTCATTTTTAATATCTTCATTCATTTGCAATAGATGATGAACAATGTTAGCTGCTCTTGGTAAACCGGAATCAACTCTATCCTTAGTCAAGTGATTCGAAACGAAATAGTTACTATAAACTAAAGATTGAAAGAAAGAAAGAGAGAAAGAAATGAAAGAGACGATAAAAGAAAATTAAATTGATTGAATTTGATTACCGGCTAGAGGTTTTCTACTAGCTAAATAAGCGCCCTGAAGCCAATAATCGTTGAGCCAGCTATCTGATTTCTTGGCTCTGGAAGGGAGATAAATAAATATATAAATATCAATATATATATATATAAGTATAAATGCTTACTTCTCTATTAAATAAGCGTGAAGTTTAGGACCTTGGTTCTTCCTGAAATGTTCTACATGCTTTTCGGTTTGTAAGAATTCTTCTTCAGTTACAAATTGCCTGCTGACCTTGAGCCATCTGCGAACAAAACGGTCAATTTTTATAAACCACTATTGTGTGCCTTCGTTATACATAGATACTAGATTATTACAGTTATCGCTATCATTAAAGCGGTTAACTTGTTATTATTATTGTTATTATTATTATTGCTAATACAATTAGGATTTCTATAGGAAAAGGGAAGAAAAATAGGGAAAATATATGATATTTACTTGTCCAGTGTTGCATTCAGTTCTGGTAACGGTTGTTTCGGTATTAGATTTTGGAAGGAGAACGTTTTAAATGGTCTTGGACCCCGTAGTACTTTAATCATTATCGCCCATATCTTTTAAACAAAATATACAAAAGTTTAGATAAAGCATTCATCCGGATGTGGAGTGATAGAAAATGATATTGAAAGAGATAAGAGAGGGGAGAAAATACATGACAGTTGAATTAATTGTTCACTTCTCTTTCTATTCTCTATTGTTATTACCTTTGCTTTCAGTGATTTTGGTTGGATCATCCATCCAGTGTAGGAGAATAGGGATATGAGAAGTCTCTTTCTAGTCCACATTAAAGCTTTGACGGAGAAGTAACTAACTAGAAATCCACCCATGATATAGCATAGTTTAAGGGCTATGGCTTCTGTCCATTGAACCCTCTCCGATCCAGCCGGATACAATGCCAGCATAGCGGCTGTAATACTTCCAATGGATGATGGTGAAACAAATTTGAGCCATTTCGAAGATTTCATATTTCTTTATTTTCAATTGATGAAACTCCTTTAAAAACTATTACAGAACTAAAATTTAATAGATATGGTTAGTCTATATTTATAGCAGCAACATAGATTGATAAGAAAGTGGACCGTTGGACATTGCTCTCATGAGTACTAATGTTTTGAGGTGTCAAAGTTTTCGATATGCTAATTTTCTCATTTTTATTATTATCAGGATTATTGTTCTCTGCTTACGCACTTGATATGTTTCTTTATATAATCCTATAGTTATTCATAATAGGTATATGCTATTAACCATTGAGATATCTGGCTATTTAAATACGAGATGATAGTTAATTCTCTCCAAGCTCAGCCAGTATATATTTCTCTCTTTGTTGATAGGTCACTGGACAGGTGAAGATACTAGGAATTAAAGAGCGAGAGAGAGAGAGAGAGAGAGAGAGAAAGGACGAAAGGAAGAAAGTGAATAGAAAGTGATTAAACTTAAAGCTTTATCCGATTAGATAATTAAATAAAAAAATTGAAAGGAAACTTTTCTTTTTTAACAGATATACTTTCATTATGAGTCGTGAGCTTTATATATTTATGTATATACTGTTTTACATGTATCTCTATTAAATAAAAACAACGTATAAACACTCTCCATAAACTATAAACAAGTAAAGTTTTTATGTAGATAGCTTAATTGATAAAGGAAAATTTTTTTAACTGACGATCAACCATTTCACTCATATCTTTTGTTTTATGTACATAATTAACTAAACTTTAATTCATTAAACATTATCTCATCTTTATAAACTCTTACTCAAATTCAACACTTTCTTTTTTTTCAACTTTTCAACATTTCTTCTTACGACTAAAGAAATATAGATAACTTTAGCAACGGTTGATTAACCTTTGTCAAGGACGAAAAGGTTTAAAATTTTCTAATCTACTTTTCACTATAAGATAAAACGTAATCGTATCGCCTGAGGAGCTGATGACGACATAAAAGAAATTAAAAGTTAAGTAGGATGTAAAGATTTATTGAACTTGGACTGATGATTAAAGAAAGAGCTATGAGCGAAGAGAGTTGTGATGTATATAGTAACAATAAGAATAGAGAATTTTAACCTTTCCAAGTATATTTATCGTTACATAAACAAACCAATATACTGTATATTAACAGTGTACCGTATGTATAAATATATAGATATGAGAAAATTTATCACCTTCTCTAATAAAAAAATGCCTCCGAAACTTTCATTTTGAAGTGTAAAAATGAAAGTTTGTTATGATAAGAAACGAACGGATTTTTGCTTTTTTTCCCCTTTAGATTGAGCAAAAGAGATAGAGAGAGAGAGAGAGAGAGAGAGAATATATATACATATACTGTATATATACTGTATATATAGAATACACCTTATTGTCATATAATTACAAATAAAAGTTTGCTCTAAATGACTACTTTATTACGACAAAGGTGCCTCAAGAGAGAATACTTTGATTAAATATAATTAAGAACTTTTATCATTTCTAGCTTTGAATTTTTATATAATTTCTTCTTCTTCGCGTCTAAACGCTTTTGAAAGTAAAGGAGGTTCGTTTTCAACGCCTCAGTGCAATGTCTAATAGAATCGAAGGGATCATTTACGCTTAAGAGAAAATTATATTTAATTGCATATATTTGCATACTATAGAGGAGAACGTCCAAGTAAGAAGAGAAATGAAATATTAGGATATAATTTGCTTATAATAAAAAATGAACTATTAGATCATTTTACAAGGAACATGTAAAGTAGAAAAAGGCGATTTCATCAATTCATCTTCATTTAGTATCTTCATCATGCCGAAAAGAATAAACTTTTTACTTGCTTCTTTTGTTCTCCTCTCTTTCCCCTTTGCTGTTTGTTTAGAGGATAGGACAATTGAATGGAATGATTCGAATAATGCAACTAACTACCTATTAACAACTAATCAACCATTAAATACTACTAGCTCAACGAACAAGACTCAAAGTGCCTGGGAGGAAAATGCTTTCATCTCGAAAACCCAAGTAAAGAATATAGCGCTTATCTTTGGCAGTTTCGGTATATTTGGAAATTGTTTAGTAATCGCTGCAATGTATCAAAAAGATATGAAAATTCATGAAATATTAATAATCAATCAATCAGTAATAGACGCCCTATGCTCTGTAGCGATGATAGCGCATTTCCTCTGGATTATTGGCCACCAAATATCTTACGAGAATCTCAGTTGGAGTTTAATAACATTCTACTGTTATATGTTCCAGAGTACGATTGTACTATGGGGTCTCTTTAACGCCTCCACCTTTAATTTATGTATCATAACAATTGAACGTTATATAGCGATTACTCTACCATTTTTCCATCATATTCACGTAACGAAATTTAAAATTAAAGTAGCAATGGTAGTCTCGGCAATATTTGGACTCTTAGTTCAAATAATACCAGTCGTCATTTTTAATGATATAGAGGATAATAATTGTAAATTTTGGGGGAAGTTGCCGATGCCCCATGGGGCAAAAATTCTCGGAACGTTTCTATTCGTTCTTGAATGGTTAGGACCGGCGACCTTATTAATAACTTGTAATGCTCATATGGCTTTCAAAATTCATCGTAGTCGAAAAGATAGTAAAGATAAAAAGAGAAATGCGGCTAGGAATAATTTATTCGCAACTATGCTGTTAGTTGCATTGGGATTTCTTATATGTAATAGTTGGAATGCATTCTTTTTCTTTCTTAATAATATTGGATTAGACTTTTTTAAATATACAGCAAATAATTACAGAATGACTGTAATTGTTTATCTCGCCAACGCAATGATTAATCCATTTGTATATACACTGCAATATCAGCTTTTCAGAGATAGACTATTGCTGATGTTTTGTTGTAGGAAGCCACAAAAGAAGACGGAGGAAAATTCTACAAATATGTCTTTTCAGGAGACGGAGAATGCTAAGAGCGTAATATAGCATAAACAGAGATAGAGATAGGGCTAGAGAGAGAGAGAGAGAGAGAGACTGTCAGGGAAATTAAAAACTTTTTAAATATTAATATGTTGTACGCTTCTTTAAATTTATTTTCCCCTTCATCTCTTTTTCTTCTTCATCATCATCTTCATCTTCTTACCCTTTTCGCTGTTGTCTTTCTAACTTGAAAATACTGTACGTAAATAAACAAACAATTAACAATATGTCCATGTTCTATTATTTGTTTTCTGTTTCTAGGCCAAGTCCTGTCATTACGTCTATCCAATTCTTTTTTTTTTATATTACGTCATTCGTGTTCTAAAGTACAACCGAGTTTCTTGGTAATTCGAATAGGAAACACTCAAAAAAGCCGAAGCATAATAATAATAGTAGAGAGAGAAAAAAAACCAACAATTTTCTAAGATAAACGCATTATTTATCGATTTTATCGATTACTTTTAAAGAATAGTACATACTCTATAACACTATATATACTGTATAACGTATAGTTTTGTATGTATATCAAGATTGAACTTTAATATAATTTAGGCCTATAGTAGTATTACGAATCTGTAAGAATCTGTTTAATATGAATATAATTAATTTATTCAAGAAAAGAGTGATTTGTATCAAAGATAATAATAATATAAAAAGAAGAATTTCGGCTATCAGTTCATTGAACTTTGCTATTTGTTAAAATGACCCAAGCTCGTAATGAAGGACAGGAGGCTACTTTAAAGAATGGAAACGATTATGGCGAAATCATTTTAAACAATGGATTGGATAAAAAAAATAGTTCATCCGCATTTTGATCAATCAATTTTGCTAAGCCTTGGATAAAGTTCTAGAGCAAGAAATCCTTATTTTATACAATATACGCTATTAAGTATATGTATATACAGTATATACATATATACTGAAACCATGAAAAAGATTGAAAGAGTCCAATCCTCTCTTCTTTCACTTAAAAAATTGAGAAAACACTTAAATAGTTAATTACTGCTGGAAGAGGAAGATTTTCTTTTTGTAACGGTCTCTGCAATTAACAGGCGCCTGCATTGCCAAAAAGGAGAATCGATACCAATTAAACCTTCTCTTAGCACATCTAACACTTTTCTCTATTTATTAACTGTCGGCCTTATTAATGGTTTGTAGTATAGGAGAGAAATTTAAAAAATAGGAAAGAAACTCCGCTCTTCATCTTAGGAGTGTAACAGTGAATTTTTTCTCTTTTTTGAGTCCAATTTGAGGACACGTTTTCGCCAGCTGAGCTCTATTAGTTTTGGCACACCATTACAGAAATGTAAATAACAGTACTAGAGGATAGTTCGCCCTAAATAAACTATTAATAGGACATCAATTTTCTTATTCTTCTTAAATTCTAATTAATCTGTTCAAAAGTACATTTATAATTACGTAATTCAAGAATTAATTTTTCAGCGCACAACGTCTAACGTCTAACGTCTATAGTGTGTAATTAAAAGAATAATCTACAGCAAAATTAAAACATTAACCTAACGGGAGAGGAGTGGCTGGAGCAAAGAGTGCAAATTTTAAATATGGATTATCAATGGATAATTCATTGGCTAGAATTTGATTTACGCCTTAATCTTGTAAAAAAGGGATAAAGAAAGTAGATTATATCGAAGTAAATAGAATTCCGTAAAGTAAATTATAAACAAATAAATAAATAATAAGTATAAAACTGCATATGTACATAAAAAACAACAGATATATTGTATAACAGTGGAGAAAGGAGAGAGATGAAGAGAGAGACAGAGAGACAAACACCCAAACACCCAAACTCATACGTACACCCACATAATCTCTAACTGTCTATATCAATCTATATACAGTTATACATGTAGATATCAATACACAGAGATAACATATTACTAACTGTACAGTTAAATTGTCGAGAGGTTAGAATTTGTATCGTAAGACAACGAATAGGTCAATATAAATAGAATAAACAAAAATAAAAACAAGATAAAGATACTCGTGTTCCGATTAGAAAACAATAAAGAATAAGAAGAAAATTCATAAGAAAAGACAGGGGAAATAGTTAATAATGTTTAGTTATCGAGTCCTTTGTACTTGAATAGAGGGTATAGACGTTCGTAGTAGGCTTATGTCTGAATTTTGTAGTTTTATTACCAAATTGAAACATTAAATATAATTGCTTTCTAAACTTTGTGCCAGTAATACAATAGATATAAAAGTTTGCGGCATTATTAGTAAAGCCTAGTGTCATTGTAACCTGTGTTGCTATCATATATATTCTAACTTGAACATTCTCTAGATCTTCATAATCTCCTTTATATAAATAATACAATGATACCAATGGACTCGGAAGAGTTACAGCAATAAAATAGAAAGATATAGCCAGCAACGTAAAAGTTAACTGGTACATTTTCTTATTTATATTTGCATTGTTGGAAATTGCTATATTCTTCCTATTATCTCTTGTTCTTATGAGACGGATGATAATTGCCACATTCGCGATCATCGATACGATTGATGGAATAAGGGAATATAGTAAAGCGTCCATTGGTACAATAACGTCGTAAAGAAATTTGTGAACATCGCCATTGCTCGAACTGCAAAATAATAGCGTCTCCCACTTATTATCTTTCTCAACTGTAATACTGGTAGACGTCATGGTATAGTAGTAGTGATGGTAGAGAAGGAAAAAGATAATCACTAATAAAGAGCATACAGCTTTTGACTTCCTCTTCGTACATATGGACTTGGCTTTGGTTGGTGAAAAGATAAAGATGCTCCTATCGATTGTCATAGCCGCAATCAGCCAAGAACCCATTTGACTGAAAGATAGCATTCCGTGGAACATGAAAGCGCAGAAAAAGTACTTGAGAACATTATTGGAAACATTTAAAAAGCCTAGATAGTATCTTGATGGTACTAGAATAAATTCAAATATTAATGCTATAGAATCGACAATGGCTAAGAAACGTAAATAGATCGAAGTTGATGTTTCATTCATTGACTGCCTACTAAAAACCAGAAAGCTTAGCAAATTGCCAACAAAACCAAAGCAAAATAGAATTCCGGAGATGATGCTAATCGACAAAACCAAATATTTTGCCTCTTCGAATGATAATATTGTAGAGTTTAACGAAGACACCATAGCCATCTGTCTATCAAGAAGAAGAAGAAGAAGAAGAAGAAGAAAGGAAAAAGATAGCAGAGAGACGGGACAGAAGTTGTAGAAGAGAGTGAGCTGAAGAAAAGAGAATATATGTATATGTACATTTGATATAAAAGGCTTCTGTTATAATGATCTTTATTACCTTTTCCTAGTCGAGAAGCATTAATACATATTTCTCACCTTACACCACGAAAAGGGAAAAACTCTGCTCATCTCTCTCGGCGTCATTCCCCTTGTTCAGGCATACTTCAATTATATCCAAGAATCGAACAATGATATTTCCTAAATATCTATACTTGGTATGTTTTTTTTTACTTTGAGAAAAAAACTTCACATGAAAGTAGGAAGAATAGGAAGAAAGGGAAAGAGAAGAATACGGCAAGAGAGAAACGAATAGTATACAAAAAACTAAAACTTCTTTTCCATATTTTAAGACAAATTAAAGTATTGAGTCTCTTCTAGGAGAAGATTGATTATTTTCCAAGAGTTCGGCTTCGTATGACACTATACCACGTAAAGAGATTGTACGTATACTGTATCGTAATTTCTCTTACTGTGTCTCCCAGAAATTTTGTCTTTCGCTCTTTCCTTATAAGATATTGTACACGCAAGTATTTTCATGGTTTCAAATGAAAAGCATTATAAAGATAATTGTTTATCTCCAAATTGCTTTCTTGATATATTTCTTATTTGTTTGATATCTCTCTCTCTCTCTCTCTTCAATAGCTGCTACCATGGCAGTAATACCATGCCAGAATTCTTCGTAGCTTAATTTGATTTCTTCTCTAGGTGGATCAAGTCCTTCACCTCCTAGTTCAGTTGTAAAAAAATACTTAATATCAACAGAGTAGGTAAAATCTATTGTTAATCCAGATGCGGGGTCTATAAAATACATAAAATTTCTAATTGATACAATTATATTACATCTATATATAACTTACAGATTACTGCGCAGGTTGAACCATAATTCCGAGAGGAACCTTGTATATTCATAATTGGGGATTGTAATCTTTTCCCAGACGTAGAGATAGAGTATAATTACTATTTTAGATACATTCTGTATAGGAGAGCGTTTCTTGAAGTATATTATAAACCATATCTTACTATATCGCTATAATCAGGGGGTGTTGCGCATCTACAGGACTCTGATAAATGATCGTATGGGGTAACCCATATCTTGGTAAAAGTATGGATCAACATCCACGTAATTATTCTGCCACTCAAAGAGTTTGCTTTGTTTTAAACTGCAATAACCTCAGCTTCAGTTGCCTCTCTTGATCCAGCGAAACTCTGAATATGGAACTATGCTAGCACCGCCACCTTTTTTTGGCATAATAAAAAGATTATAGTTGGTAAAAGGATAGTAATTTGATCTTATCTACTTACTTAACCATTTGTAAGCAAAAGTTCTATTAAGGTCAGTTCCTAAACAAGGACTTCCAACTTTGGCACTTTTAGACTTTCTCCAAAATCTATCTCCTAGCCAGGTATGTTTATACCCATCGGGATTAGCGACAAACAAAAAGTACCAATCGTATTTATTCAAAAGTCTCTCGGCATCTTCGTTTGTATTTTCAAAGCTTTAAAGGGGGAGAAGGAAGAAGGAATAAAGGAACTAGATTAGCCAACTAGAAAGAAAGAGAGAGAAGAAATAATTTACTGTCTAAGGCACCCTGAGATTAGTGACGGGAGCAAGTCACTCTCTTGAGTGTATAGCTGAATCGAACCAAAGTATCTTACGAATCTCTCTGGGTTGTTCAATCTGTTAAACGTACTGATGGAAAAATGAAAAAATATTAATAAACTTTAGGCTAAAAGAAAGAAAGAAAGAAAGAAAGAAAGAATAAATGAATGGATGAATGAATGAATGAATGAAAGATGATAGATGTAGTATTAATGATATACTTTAAGAAGTTTTAAAGGCCTTCCTTTATACGAATTTCCAATCACTTCAATTTCGCATTGAAAACCTTCAACAAAACTCGATTGGCATTCATCGATTTTTCCTTCAATTTGTTCTTAAGTATTAAAATCGTCATAGAAAAAAGTCTTTTTTTGCATCTGTCAAGTTTTATCCAATTGTCTGTTTATTCTCTATTTAGAGAGACCTTCATGTAATTGCTAGGTACTAAAACATTTACTCTTGAATATTGTAGTCTTCGATAAAATATTCGATAGAATTATCTACGAGAAGAGAGATAAGGTATTCCATTTCCCCTTTAGGGACTAGAATCGACGTTTGACTTCCAGCTCTCTTTGGTTCTTTAAAAAACTTTACTCACATTTTCAACTTGGAAGAGATTATATAGACCAATAAATTGGATATCGTCAATAAGGGTAGCGGTTAGTAGATGATATCTTAAACGTAGAAAGTGATAAATGATACCGTTTGAGGAAAAAGGATCATTTAAACTCTCACCCATCATATCTGACTCTTTGGCAAGATATCAGGATAACTGGGAGAGACGTTCCCTTTTGAACAAATGCCGTATATTTGATTATTCATGAAAAATAATATACATCTCTAATTGGTAACGTATTCAATTTCATACTGAATTTTGTAAGTTTTCCACTGAAATGAAGCGAATATCGGCTATTGGACGTTTTTAGGCGTCTCTTTCATATGGATTAAAAGAGACAATTTTATCCTCAAATTATTCTATAAAACACTAGAAAAATCCACAAAATCCAGAAGATAACTACAAAAAAAAAGAGAGAGAGAGAGAAAAAACAACAGACAATCTAAATAAAAGGAGCAAATGTTAATTCCCTTGTCCTAATTATTTCATCTCTTCGCTTCCTTTCTACGTTGTTTTAATGATAATAAAAGGAAGAAGCAGAAGTTAAGAAAACTTGTTTACATAACATTTTTATTAATAATTTATTTTTAAAGGCAAAAAGAAAACTTTCTGAATAAAAAGAAGAGCGCATTTTATTTGTTATTCTCGATTTCTTCTATCTTTCTTATCATAGCCACGATTCCATTCCATACTTCTTGATAACTTGGAGTAATGGCGTTTGGTCCTGGATTGAAACCTGGTCCTCTCAATTCTGGGGTATATGAATATTTGATGCCAGCAGCTCCGTATGTATAGTCAACGGTAATTCCTGATGCGGGATCTTAAAAATGACAGAGAATTATTCGTTAATCCTAGAGTTGCATAAAGAGAGAAATATCAAATGGCTTTTAAATACTTACAAATGGTTGTACAGGCAGAACCATAAGTCCAAGTAGTACCGAATGTGTCCATAACTGCTTCAGCGGTTGCTTCGGCGACGGAGTACTAACATAATTAATATTAGCTTAAATTAGTTAAAGGCAATTTCAGATTATAGTACTTACAATATCATTGTAGTCGGTTGGCTCTCCGCAAACTCCGCTGGGCTCTAAATAACCGAAGGCTGATAACCACATGTTGCCTGATGTATGGACTGAAACCCAAGAAAGGACTCTAGATCCGATGGCGAGGGCCTTGGTTTGAACGGCTTTGGTTTCTGGTTCTGAACCGGCACTGGTGCCTCTATAGGTCGTAGAGCAGGGATTGGTGCTTGATCCTCCGACTATGTATAAAAAATTAATCGTCAAATATTTTCAAGTTACAAAAGTAAATCAATAAAAAGTAATCGCGTACAGCCCCATCTATAGTCGTAATTTCTGTTCAAATCTGTTCCAATGCAAGACGATCCAGCGTTTGGATTTCTTGACTTTCTCCAAAATCTATCGCCGTCCCAAGTGTAAACGTATCCATCGGGATTCATAACAAATACAAAGTACCAATCATAAGTATTCAACAATCTAGTAGCATCGGCATTCTCACCGGTAAAAATCTATAAATAAATGAACGATCTATGAAGCGTTTCTCCCTCTTTCTTTCTATCAAACTTACGGCGTTGGCGATCTTCAAAACTGTTGCTGGTGCAAGCCATTCTCTGGCGTGGATAGTGGAATCCATCCACATAATTTTGCGGTTTTCTCCAGCTTTTTCAATCTATTTATTTAGTTAATTGGTATTAAGTAAACGTTTATAATGCTACTTTAACGTTAGTTTATGAACCTTCAATAGTTTGATTGGTCTGCCTTCGTATGAATTTCCCAAGTTTTCAATTGAACATTCAAATCCAGATACGCAAGCATTATTCCAAACATCTATTTGAGCCTCGATATCCTCCAGTCTATTGTAGTCGTTGATATCAAACGCCTTCTGACTGTCCAACCTTTCCCACATGGAGTCTAAATCTCTACAAAATGAATAGGAAACGAAATTTGAAAAGTGGTAGGCTGAAATAGGGAGAAGAATAAGATTTAATAGTCTCTTACTGTTGAATATCGGGATTTTCCAAAACTCTTTGAATTTTGTATGCAGATATGTAGGAGACGAAAACGGAAACTTCATCCGGATGAACAATTACGTAAATGTCACTGTTAATGTTGCCGATATCGCTCAAGAAGATGAACTATAGGAAAGAGAGTAGAAGAATACGAAGAAGATGATAATTATGATGATGATAATGATGATGATGACGACAATGAAAAAGTGAATATAAATAGAGAAATGGTATAGATAGTATATACTGTATATTCACTTTGTCAGAATCTTCAAATTGGCGAATAACGTCCAATTGTTGTTTAGTGGTAGGTGTTAATTTAATTAATTGATATCTAAGAAAAATCGGAAATTAAAATGAAAACTGGTAAAAAAAGAAAACAATTTCCGTAGTAATAACAATAAAGTTAATGATTGAAATTAATAAAACTTTCTTACCCGTCATAACGCTTCCTCTCACCTCCCAAGGCCAAGGCCAAACATACCAACAAACTAGCTATTACCAACTTCATGTTTCTGATACCGAAAGTCGAAAAAATTCTCTTTTAAATAGAGAAAATTTGGCCTATATTTCGACATTCTCTTATCTATTTGGAAATGTTAGAAATCATTTAAAAATTAGGTAAACGAACGCTTCCGATTAGTGAATAGAGGTTAATCGATAAAAATAAAAGTCTATTAAAGAATATAGACTGAAGGAAGGGCTAGAAAGGGTTATTAACCCCGGTAGAAGTAAACGTAAAGAATCATGAGAACATGCATGTTTTTTTTTTGATGAAAAGTTAATAAGCATCTGCCGATTCGCATCTCTTGCGAACTAGGCGTAAAAGAATAATAGACTGTTCATATAATATTTACTAATTTCTATATAAATAAATCAACAAGTTCAATATAACAGTTCGTTTCTTTATTATCGAATAAATATACTTAAGCATCCTTTCATTTAACATTGTCACGGTCACTTTTACATTTTTAATACTTCTTTATTTTAGTTATTTATAGATATTTATATCTTTATTACCTTCTTCTTCTTCTTCTCGTTTATCTCGTCGAAGTCTTCTTCTCTACTTCTCTTCTCCTCCTCCACTCTACTTCACATTAGTTTTATACACTTAATTCGCTCAAAGGTTATTGTACTCAATATACTACTCTTCCTATGACATAGGGGGAAGAGGAGGGAGGGGTGTGTGTGTGTGCGTGTGTGTGTGTGTGTGTGTGGGCGTTGGAGGCGTTTTACTTGTGTGGAATAGTAAAAACAGTTAATTATGTCATTTTTTTAATTTCTCAGTAGGGCAATATATTCAAGAAATCGTATCTTGTTTGAATACAAATAAACGAATAAGAGACTAATAAACGAAACACGTAATATTTGCCGTTGCAAAAATCCTATATAAATTTTATACAGAAGGCAGTAAAAACATGTTGATATTTTGTTTTTATTTAATAGTCACCAGGCTACAATTACGACCTACTCTAAAATAAGATAAGGATAAGAAGAATTAGTTGAGAGACTTTTTTTTTTCCTACGATATTAGGCCTATGTACATTCTATATATTTGTATATGCCTATGTTGGGTTCTTTTTGTGACAAAATGTGACGTTATCTGGAATTTTATTACGCTAATATTTGGGGAGAATTTGCGTCCGAAAATTAGATTTTGATTGGAGGAAGCGTCGAGAAAAAAATTGCTATCCTTATCAGATAGAAACCGACTGGCCTTCGTACGAAAAAAAGGGAATTTCCACTGAAAATTTGTGTTCCTTTTAGACGAAATAGGCGAAACCCTTAGTTTTCGTAATGAGACTCTGTTGATGATTAGAAGCGAGAGACGCCTACCGGTAGACGAAATAGTCGTTAAAGCCTATCAGGCTTACACAAATCTGACGAATAGTCAGATTGTTACAGCTAGCTCTCTTAGTGCAGTGCTGCTGTTGCTGCTTAGTCTTGGTGTGTATTTATAACGGCCCAACTCACGGTAAATGAGGAAAATTAGAGTAGAACAAGAGACGCTCAATACAAAGTGACAAATATTTTTTACATAGAAAAGGATAAAATACCAGATCCTGAAAGAATAAGTTGAGGACAAGGCGTTTATTCATTTGGATGCTATTTAGAATTCTCGGTAAGTATCTATAGACGCCTTATATTTCTCCTCTCATTTTTCTCTCTATCTCACCCTCCACCCCCCTTCAATCTAACTTCTCGCTCATTCTCACTAACGTAATAGCAAAGAGTGCCATCTGTATTCCTTTTTCTCCTCTCCACCATCCTTTCAACTCATCTCTACCGTTTTCCTTTTGCTGAGGATTTATCGGTGACGACGAATATTTCGTCTACATTTTAAAGATCCTCTTTAGGGAGGCACTCTATATAGCTTCAGAACTCCTTCTAGCTAATCATTTAGAAGCGTCTTTCTCCCCTTCTCATTTTGTTTCTTGCCACACTACCTCTTTTTAACATACTCTACATTCATCATCAATACTTTTCCGAATACGTCATCTTCTTATGACAGGTATGCGAAAATTAGCAAGTATCTCAATTGCGGAATTGTCTACTTTTTAAGGATTAAAGGGTAAGTTGTATGAGAAGACAGTAGGGAGCACTAGACCTGTGTATGTGTTGGTGAATAGGAAACAGAATACATATGTATATATATACTGTATGTATAGTATACTGTATGTATGACGCTATATCGTCTATATGTCGTAAAATACATACATATTAATTGTCTGTGTTACATTAATGTATTTATGAAAATATATTAGAGACACAGATTGATAAAACATTAAAAAAAATGGCAGGTTTAGCTTGTGATAGGAGAGATCTTACAATAAAAAAAGAACATTGCATAGCAGCCTTTCAGAAGAAAGCACAATGATTATTGATTTGTCAATTGCCAGGATGATTCAGAACAGACCGAAAAGAGGAGCAGTCTACAGCGTGTCTTGTCTGTGTTTTTCAAATAAAGATATAGCTTATTTGGTATATTTACATAAATATGTGTATATGTACAGTGTATATATATGTATAAGGGAATTAACTACCAACAACGACTGTATATAAATAGTGAATAACAAGCATAATATATATATATATATATATAAATTCATATATATATACATATATATATATATTTGTTATATGCGCATATATATATATATATATATATATAAGCAAATATAGATTCTTTTTGTTATTTTTTATTCTGAATATATTTAAATAAATTATTTATATACAATATATTGAAATAATATTGAAAATCAAGCAACCAAAGTACTTTTCCTCTTATTTATTACATGGCTTTTTTTTTTTTTTTCACAGTTTAACTTGATAATCGTAAAGCCATCGATCGGAGCTAATTTTCACCTAGCGGGGTTCTTTCGTTCATTCTACAAATATTTCAAGACACGTGGTGAGTAGTTTCTGATCTTGGTTTTCCTTTCCTTTTTGTACTGGTTATTTAGTTGGTTATTCTATCCTCTTTATTCAGCTATTGCGGTTATTTTCGCTGTACGTTCAAACTGAGAAAATATTTAAAAAATATATATGATATTTAATCAATGTTGATTAGCATATGTCGTAAAATAGTCTAACCTGTTTCCTTTTTTCCCTTAATGGAGCTAATAGCAGATTTTGGAAGGGAATAGAAAGCTTATAAATGAAATAGAACGTATTAATAATGGCAATAAGTAGGCTAGTTGCATTATGAGTAAGATTAATACTGCTAGTAAAGTTCTACGACTGAGCAAATTCAAGACCTGGAAAAGTCACTCCTTTTTTTTTGTTTATCTTCTTTTATGTAATATAAGTCTGTCTGTCTCTCTCTCTCTCTCTCTTCTTCTTCTTCTTCTTCTCTCTATCTGTTATTGTTATTGCTATTAATATTACTTCTATTATTGAATTTCTACCTTATTTTTCAGTTCAAATACTTGACAGAAAATTGAATAACAATCAAATCGTATAAAAATGGAGAAGGAAAAATCACCTACCAAGATCAAACAACGTCCTACTTGGAGTAGAAAGCTCGACTTTCTACTAGCCTGTGTAGGCTTTTCAGTTGGATTAGGAAACGTATGGAGATTTCCATATTTATGCTACAAAAATGGAGGAGGAGCATTCCTTATACCCTACATGTGTTGCGTAGTTTTTATAGCAATTCCAATATTCTTTTTGGAAGTATCTCTGGGTCAATTTATGGGAGCTGCTGGAATGAAATGTTGGAAAATATGTCCTCTGCTCCAAGGTCTTGTAAAATTTTCAATTCATTTCAAACAGTTTAACTAAGCTAATTGAATAAATTGAATAAAGCATAGCATCAATTTATTTAAATAGAATGAATACTGTATATGTATGGTATATACAGTAACTAACTATATACAGTGTATCCTTGTATTTTTCTCCCACTCTGCCTCTTAATATATACAAGTATGGTATATAGGTTGACAAGGTGTTTTTTTTTTCTTCTCTGGTGCAGGAATTGGAGCTTCAACGATGATAATTATTTTTATTCAGAATATGAATTACAACGTTATTTTGGCATGGGCTTTTTACTATCTTTTCGCTTCGTTTACAAGTGTTTTACCTTGGACTCATTGCGATAACGCGTGGAACACTCCCAATTGCAGTGTTGTAAGAAATTCAACGAATGGAACATCGTCGCTAAACGTTACCACTACTACTACTACTACAGTCGATCCTGCAATGGAGTTTTGGGAGTGAGTTTAATAACAAAAACACCAAACTAACAAACAAAAAGTTATTAAAAAAAAAAAACCTTAAACTATAACACAAACAAAAGATGATAAAAAAAAAAAGCAACAACAAAGTTTGTGAGAGATGCGAGAGATATCGATATTATAAGAGAACACAAAAAAAAACAAAAAAAAAACAAAAACCATAAAAAAAAAGACTACAAAGATAAAGAATCTAAAATTTCCCCCCCGCTCGGTCCCCCTACAAATCTCGACCAAAACAAACCCAATCGAAATAATATGAAAACAATTAAAACCAAGTGAAACAACAAAGAGCATTACGTAAAAACAAAACCAAAAATACCAATAAATAAACAACTGTATAATAGAAAGGAATGTATTACATATAGTAATATATATACTTTATATACAGTATATATAAAACAAAAAGCCTTAAAGAGCATTTTAATTATTACAAGTGAGAGACAGAGACTGAGACAAAGGCGCTCTTTACTTCGCGTTCAAGCAGGGGTTTGTTTTTTATTTTAAATCTAAAAAATTCCAACAAAAACTATACAAAGTGGGGCTTTTAAAATTAAGGTAGAATGTCAACGATTTCGGTTTGCAGGAGAAAGGTTCTGAACATTTCGTCAGGCATCGACAATCCGGGGAATATTAAATGGGAGATGGCATTATGCCTCTTACTCGCATGGATAGTCGTTTACCTTTGTGTCTGCAAGGGGATCAAGTCGTCGGGAAAAGTCATGTACGTTACCGCCACCTCTCCGTATCTTTTGATGTTGGCCCTCCTGATAAGAGGCGTTACTCTGCCAGGATCGTCAAAAGGAATCGAATTCTATCTCTTACCGGACTGGTCGAAATTGTTAGACAGCCAAGTTTGGGTGGATGCCGGAACGCAAGTATTCTTCTCATATTCAATTGGTTTGGGTACTTTAACAGCTCTCGGGTCGTACAACAAATTCCATCATAATGTCCTCAAGGACAGTCTACTATTCGCTTTGACCAATTCTGGTACATCATTTTTCAGCGGTTTCATTATCTTTTCGATATTGGGCTTTATGGCGGAAACTCACGGTACAACTGTAGACAAGGTAGCCGAAAGCGGACCCGGTTTAGCATTTATAGCCTATCCGAAGACTGTAGGCGAAATGCCCGGGTCAATTCTATGGAGTATATGCTTCTTTCTTATGTTGATTCTACTCGGTATGGACAGTCAATTCGGAGGTGTTGAAGGGGTAGTTACGGCTGTGGTCGATCAGTTCCCCCACCTCTTAAGAGTAGGAAGAAGAAAGGAGATTTTTATCGCCGTAATATGTTTTTTTTCCTATCTAGTTGGTTTATCTATGGTGACGAGAGTAAGTAGTGATAGTACTAGTACTATACACTAAAATACAAATAAAATAGATAGAGGTGTTTATTTATTTTTCTCCTTCTTTCTATCATTCTAGGGAGGAATATACGTTTTTCAAATATTCGACTATTATTCAACTAGTCGTATAGTATTGTTTATTGGCTTTTTAGAATGCGTGACCGTTGGCTACCTTTACGGAGCTGGTCGATTTTGGAAGAATGTTGAATATATGCTGGGTAGAAAGGTACTTCCTTTAATAAAATATTCTTGGATGACTGTTACGCCGTCGTTGGCTTTGGTAAGTTATCTTTTATTGTACTATTACGAGTAGTAATATGCTATAAACATATATATATATGTTTTTCTTCTTTTTGTCTTCTCTTCCATCCTCTTCCTCCACTATATCTTCTCTTCACTTTCTCCAGGTTATATTTGTGTTCTCTTGTATACAATATAAGGAGTTAAGATACAACAAGACCTACGTATATCCCAGATGGGCAATTGCTTTAGGATGGATAATAGCCTGTTGCTCGTTAATTCTTATACCAATAGTAGCCGTTGTAAAAATAATGAGAGCCGAAGGAAGTTTAACAAAGGTTTTTGTATTCGATTTTTTAAGTATTTCAAGTGAAATCAATCTTTTATCTAATTAATTTTAAAATAGAGATTTTCAACATTATTAAAACCGAAATTGAAGGTTCATCAGCTAAAAACACTGGAACTTGATGCCGTCAATGAAGGACAAGAAAGAGCGGAACTTAATTCCGCTTAAGCTAAATTCTTTTATGGTTTCAGGTGTTGTTGAATAGTTTCTTCTAAATTTTCTTTTCCCAATAGGTTTTATTTTCTTTCATTTTTAAAGAAACAAACCTATAATTGATCATTTTTCTGTTCTTTATATATTTATATTATATTATCTATTGTCACCTCTGAAACCCAGATTAATTAAAAAGCTTCTCTTTAGTTCATTTTTTTTGTTAGAAAACTTTCAGTGTGTTTTTTCAAAAAAAAAAAAACAATTATATAATACCAGTTTACAGTTTTGTATGTATATATATATATATGTATATATATATATATATGTGCGATGTATATATATATGTATACAGTATATATGTATATAGTTATATTTCATTATTTTTGCTGCTTCCAAGCTAAAACCTAGCGGGGAAAAAACACAACAAACATTCTTTATTAACAACTAAACTGGTAATTGTAATCAATAAAGTTGAAAATGGTAATAATTTAATCAGCCAATTAGAGAGAGACACAGAGATATATATATATATATATATATATATGGATAGAGAGAGAGAGATAGAGGAATAAAAAAACATAGACCAAATTACATAATATATAAAAAATATATATAAGAGTAAATTAATGGGAAAGGCGAAAAATTGAATAATTTATTATATAATTGCCATTGAAACTGGTAGGGGAAAAATACTTGGTATATATTTTTAATAGGTTATGAATATATTAACTAACTTACATATGATATAAAATATTAATAATAAAAGATAAATCTTATTGAATTTGGAGCAAATAGAAATAATGAAAGTTTACTGTTTTTTTTTTTGAAGAATCTTCCTCTTCTTTTTTCTCTTTCTTTGTTCTGTTTATTGGTTTTCATCGGCAGAATTAGTATGTGGTCTAGTGAATGAGATAAGATAAGAATAACACTTTTCCACGTATTATCTTCCCTTATTTATTCCCTTTTTTTGTCTATGTCTATTTCTCTCCGATTGTCCTTTCCTCATACTCCCCTCCTCCTCTTCCTCCTCTCTATCGTTGAACACATTCACTTTATATAAAAAGAATTCTCAATGTGGATAAATAGACTTATATACATTAACAGTAATATATTGTCAAGACTGCATATAAACTCTATCTATCTATCTAAAATCCCTAGTTTTCTCAATCTTTCTAGTGTTTGCTCCCGCCAAGAAAGTGATGTTAATTTTCGTCCTCTTTTACATTGACGACTATTTACTAGTTGACATTTATTTATTGCACATTCTAGGACAAATAATATAATGTATACTATATATTATAGTACATAATATAATATAAACAGTATATACGTATAGGGAAAGTAATCAAGAAGTAAAAATTAAGCAAGAATATCAAATCTGTACGTATATGCGAACGTATGTATGTATCTATGTTCGTATGTTTGTACGTAAATAGATGTATATAAATATATATACATCTATATTTATATACAAACAAACGCGACAGAAATTTTTGTTAGTACTATCAATTGTTTACGTATATAGATGATTATTATAATTATAGCGACGTGTATCATGCCGCATAGTTTAAAGGAAAACAAAACAAATTTATATATACAGTATATATATCTATATAAAATATATAAACTATGAATGTCTTTATCCTTTTATGTGATTGTTTTCAGTCGATAAAAAAAACGTAATATAAAGAGAATAACAATATTAAAACTAGAAAAGAAATGAAGGAAAGAAAGAAAGCAAAAAGAAATAAATAAAGAAAGAAAGAAAGAAAAATAGAAAAATGAATATATAATATTTAATATATATAAATTATATTAAAAGTATATAGATATTATATCTATAGCTTTTCTCTTTTTTTGTTTTATTCTCTTTTCTCTCAAATTTAGATAAATATTCGAAAATATCTATTCGAAGAGAAATATCCATCTTTTTTTTGTCTTTTTCCCTTCTAATACAACCTATTCATCACTTACAATTTTTTTTTTGCTTAGATAATGATATTATTAACTATTTTATGACTTGTAAAGTGTAAAATGATACATTATTTATAGACAGACACAGACAGATAGACAGTACATATATGTATATACAGCATATACAGTATATATATGTACTATCTGTCTAAACCAAAGCAATATATATATATATATATATATATATATATATATCTTAAAACATGCATTCATTCATTCATTCATTCATTCATTTGCCGCCATTCCTTCATTCATACATTCATTCATTCAATCCTTCATTCAATCATCTATTCATTCATTCATTCTTTCATTTCTACACCCAGATATTCATTTAATCAGTTGTTCTTCATACCCTCCATTCAACCACAGTACTTATATAAACTATATTCTAGATATCTTCTGTTTTAATTTAAGAAAGAAACCATTAAAGAAGCGTTTGCACTCTTCTTTTTTAATTAAGAAATCAATACCAGTTTGACATTTATAAAAAAAAATGTATGAAGAAAACAAATAGAGTGCAGCTAGGATTTATATTGCGAAAAACGAAGAAGAGGAAGAAGATGATGATGATGATAATGAAGAAGAAGAATTTAGGGGGAAAACTCATTTATATCAAAAAAGATTTCATGTATAACTTATAATAATAAAAAAAATAAAATATTGTTGTCTTATCTTGAACTGAAAGACTCTGAAAAAAAGAGGATTAAGACGTTTCGCATAAACTACGAGAGAGAGAGAGAGACTACAAATTACTGACAATTGACAAATTTTTATTCAAAAGGGTTTTATAACAAAGAAAAGAAATATATCGTCATTTTTCTCTTTTGTCTCTCAATTTGTAGTTATCACAGATATATAGGAGACAGCTTCTAATCATCCCCAACCGTAACTATTAGTCCATCTTTGTCCATTTCCGTTCTGTGAACCGACACGTCCGTAAGACCCTGGAAATAAAGAAAAAAAGAAACCATATAGAAATAGATGGTACTCATTAATAAAAATAGAATGCACTTGTTTACATTGTCGGGGCTAAAAATCAAAAAAAAACAACAAAAATCATCCAAAGCTATAACAATAAAAATAGATAATGTTAATAGTAGTAATAAAACATTTATAGCCCAGACAAATTTTATACACTCTTCAGATATCACTCAAGTGTCAAAAGTATTAAACTATTAATAGAAATGGTTGTGTGAAAATAAAAACGAAACCACAACAACAACAACAACAACACTATCAAAAACAACAATTAAAAGCAAGAAAATGATTAGCGTTTAAGGAGGAGAAAGAAAACACATCGTCTTTCTCTTATTACTATTGAAAGAAAGAAAGAAAGAAGCGTCCATTTCAATAGTTATCGTATAAAAATAGAGTAGATTCATCTGCTGCTCTATCACTCTAGTATGACGATAGAGTTGGACAAATCGGGGTTAAAGATGAATTGAAAAATTATTACTTACTTCAAGATTTATCAACATGTTGTTGACCATTTCATGCATATCGGGATCTATCATGAGAACGTAAAGGAAACCACCACCACCCGCTCCAGCCATACACATCCCGTGAGCCAATGGACTAAGAGCTTCCAGCATCTCGTTAATCCAAATAGTAGTGCATCCGGGAGCGACGAACTGCTTCATTTGCCAGTATTTCTGAAATGATAATAAAAATACTACAATAACGAATATGAACTAACGAACAAACGAACGAATAATCAAATATTAATACTGTATATTCTAACAAATTAGTATACTAATGCAAGCATTATTAGTAATACCGTATTCTACAATGCATACTATACCTTTAAACATTCGCCAATACCAGCCAAATCTCCTTTTTCGAAACATTCTGCGCATTTTTCAGCCGTTGCAACCAACTCCTGGAGAGTTTGAACAATATTCGGATTTCTAGCAAACCAATTTCTTATGACGTTCTGAAGTAAATTTTTGGCCAATCTAGTCTTTCCAGTATAAACAAGAAGAAGTCGTTCGTTTAATTCCGCTTCAGTTCGTTCGCTTATCTTTAATTGCTTTGATTTTATTTCTACTGGAAAACCTTTTTTTGTTGAACCAATCTTTACACCAGGGCATAAACCTCCCACTTGATCTTGCCATCCTCCTCCAGTTGTTAGCATCTGCTCTAAATAGAGAATAGTATGGTGTATATCTTTGACCGTGTATTTGAAACCAGCCGCCGTCCATAGAGCAGCCAGGATAGCTCCAGCAAGAATTGAACTCGTTCCCAAACCTGATCCACGAGGTAAATCACTCCACGAAACTATTTCATAGCCACCATTGGTTAATTGATCCTCTAAAGGAGTCTCTAAATTTAGAATTTCGCTGCAAATCAACGCCGCTTTTATTAAAGCTCCAGGAGCGTGCGGTTGATTATAATCCTTCAACTGATTAACGTCATCAATAACTATTTCAACTGCGTCCTTGTCCAAACTACGAAATATAATCTTACATTCGGCTATTCTTCTAGCTTTCGCTCCGATTGGCCTCTTTCCGTCCACTTTTATTGCCATATTTGTGACTTTTCCTCCGTTTTCGTAGGAGATTGGAGGAGTATCGGACCAACCTCCGCTAAAGTCTATTCTGGCTGGACATGTTGCTTTTATCCAGGTATCAACCGGAGGTGCTGTTGCCTGCGATAGTCTAATAAACTCTTTTCCAGTCTCAACGGCTTTTCGAATAAGAATCTGAGCAGCGCCTTCGTAATGCCTTGCCGTTCTTACTAATAAATCTACGCGTCCAATCCATTTATTCCTCTCTTCGGTTAAGGCCATAACGCCTTCGGGAATCTTACCTTTTTCGAGATAATTAAATGCTTTAGCCCACTGCCTATTTCCAGCTGGTCCACTCCTTAAACCACCTCTAGATTCGACCATAAAACCGAGAACGTCAGCAATGTTAGCCAGAGATCTAGCAGCCATACCAGGATCGTTTGAGTTAATTGCCACAGAATCGAGAACATTTAAAATTTGACCTTCGTATCCGTCGATACAAGCCGAAATGTATAGATTGCCAAGTCCGTTGTCGAACTTTCCTGAAAGCGTCTTTTCAACTTTATATTCGGTTACTTTAGAGAAAACTTGCCGTCTCCAAGCGAATTCCGAGGATACATCGACAAACATAAGGATATCTTTTAACGATAATCTCCACGATTGTCTCCATTTTTCAACGTTACTTTCGATATTGGTGGCAAACCACAGTACGTCCGACGCTGTAATAGGGTGAAGAGGATGGAATACCGGAAATAGTCTAGCATTTAATAAGCAACAATTCTGCAAATCGGAGACATTTTCCCATAAGTCTTCCTTTTTTATATCGGTTCTTTTAAAGAATTCACACCAAGGTATATTAACAAATGTACTTTCGGGAGAAGATATCGATAGCATCACGTCGTCCTGTAAACCAAGAATTGTTGTAACGACGTTCCCTCCGCAACCCATAGTTGGTAGCCGGATACGGAAGGAAGAAATTACAGAATTCGAAGGGATAGTTTGTTCAAAATTTGGTAAATCAACACCGTTAATAATGCAATTGTCACCGATAGTCATACCAGATCCTATATTCGAATGAGAAATAACGGTTTTTTTCGGTATGTCACAGGTAACAGTACTATTTATAACAACACTGTCTTCCGATTGAATTCCAGTAACTTTAGCGTGACATTGATTTAGCCAATTGTAAGATTTGGCTGATTGAAAAGGATTAGAGAGCATATGACGATGATGAACAAGAGCTAAATCGTTCATGTAGCTATGTTTTCCCTTGATAACTCCTAAAAAGCAGAAAAGAATTATTTATAGTTTAAAAGAAAACAATAATGCAAACTGGCAACGGCGACAGTTCCGTGAAGTTGTTGCCAAAGAACGCCTCTAGCCGATCTCAGTAATCTCGCTTTTTCAGGTGTCATCCTTCTCCTCGATTTACCGTAAGGAACAGACCTTTCACCAGATACAAACGATTCTTGTGTTACGTTAAGACACATTGCGATCATAAAGTCGAAGAATATCGACAACTAAAATTGAAAATAGAACAATTTTGTAATAATAATAAAGGCTTTTTCATCCTATTCCAAAAGATATAAAAATTAGAAAATTCGCTTAATACTTCAATTGGCGTCGATCCGGTGTCCAAGCCCATATATGTACAGGCGTCTAGAGGCGGCATTGTATGGAAGGATATCATTTTCTCTGCCATTTTTGTGTTGAAAAACATTACACCAGATATAACAGGAACTGTATCTTTTCCCAACGATACTTGTCTTAACTTTTCGTCCGACCCTTGATAAATCATATCCAAAAGACGTCCCTTTTTATCAACTTCAAAGACGCCGTGACATTTGGCATAGTCAATAGGAGCGGGTACAATTATAGCACAAACATCTTCAGTTCCGACTTTAATACTCTCTTCAATGTCCAGAAAGAGATCCAAACTACCAACCCAAACACCTGGTGGTGAGTCGATGGCCAACTATTTTCAAAAAGAGAAAAGAAATGGGAAATTAGAAAATTGTAAAAATTACGATCTTTTCTTTTTCTCTTATCTTTTCATTGAAATAAAGAAAAAAGTCGTTTTACCATTGAACTTATATTTTCGATAAGAACGTCCAAATTCGATACAAGACCAATTGGCTTTGAAGAATCTTTTAAAGCGAGTGGCAAAGTTGCAAATGCTCTTCCTAAAGGATCAAAAGCAAAATCTCGACCCATATGTAAAACTAATATATGAGCATTATGTAGCACATCCGGATTAACTACAGTAAATCCTCTTTTAGCACTTAAATGCTCTGCAATAACGAGAAGAGCATTGAGAGTTGCCCCACCACTGCCAACATGATCTTTTGGGTCCTCAACCGTAAGAACAAGAGTTGAACGAGGAAAGTAGCCTTTTCTCTGTCTCGTCTCCAATTCTATAAAAATATACTACAATTAGAGAATTAGTATTTAAAAACAACAAAGAAAACTAAAACCTATTTGAAATTGATGAGCATTGTCTTTGCTCTGGCATGTTAGAACTACCGCTGTCCAATCAACTTTCTTATTGTTCTTCTGTTAGTGATAAAAGTAAAGGAAGAAGATGAAAGAGAGAATATATTTCATATATTTAATTGCAATAAAAAAAAAGAACTGTAACCTTGACAAAAGGCAATTGTTAACAATAATAGAAAAGAGTCTTCTCTTAAAATCGCTACATTCATTCTAATTCTATTTTTATCTTTTTAATAATTATAAAGACAAAGAAGAAGAAATCACGAAAATTACTGATAATTAGATATTTTAAATATTTATTTATAAGTTATAATGTCTTTTATGTAGGTCTGATGTAGGTTTAAAACTAAATCGTATTATTAATATTATATATATATATATATATATATATATATATATATATATATATATATATAAGTATGTATATGGACATATTTCTTAATCATCTTTCGACGTAAACCAATTTTACCTTGATGGCTGTAAGAACTAATCATAAATCCTGTAAAAGAATTTTTATATGATTTTTTAGAAAAAATATCTTCTTTAAATACATTCAATCTTTTTCAAATGTATGCAATATATATGAAATTACTTTGCGGGCCTTTTAAAGTCAGTTTAATATTAAATTTATCAACTAATAAAGTAGATTTAGTGTTGAATATATAGAAATTAGAAATCCTTCATGAAATAACTTTAGATTGAAAATTAGTCAATTATTTGTAAACTCACGTGATTCATCATTTAATCTTCCCTCTTGCCTTTGTGGCACTTGGAAAATTATTGTTTAAAATTTATCGACCGAAAATTAGTACAAGACTTGAGTGAGCGATAAATAAAATTCCAACATCACTTCCTGTTTCAAAATGACGTCCCATGTTCAGCGCGTGAAATTGTAATGTTGAAATATGAAAAGACCACTGAACCATACTAAACTTTGTAAAGAGTGGTAAATTCAAAGAGATGACTTTTATAAGCTTGTGACGAAGTAATATCAAGGTGAACTAAGTGAAATCTTTATCATTATTTTAATTAACAAAAAAAAACGATCATTAATGAGTACTTATTTGTTTTTTATTCTTCTAACAAAACACTTAGAAGATGTCTAAACCAAAAATATCACTGTACAACTAGACAGATCATAGAGGATGCTTAATGTATTAATAACTTAAAACTATTAGAGTTTATAGACGGTTAGATAAAATAGATAGATAGAGGGAAGGGAGAAAGAGAGAGATGGCATAGAAAAAAAAGGCAGTAGGATGAGTATACATGAGCTTTAAAATGGTTTTCTGTTTCTTTCGTAAAATATTGGAGATCTCTTGAGCTACCAGCATGAGAAGAACTCAGTAAGCTTCTAAATAGGATTCTATAAAAACCCCTATAACCGACTCTGTGGAGATAAGATAATATTTAATTTGTTGACTAATACTTCGTGTCCGCCTCAGGCACGCTTGGTCGTTTCGAGTCCATATATTGTCTGACAGCAACGATCAATCCGGCCCCGTAGGCAAAAAGACAAAAGAATCCAAAAGCCTGTAAATAAGCAACAGTCAGAGAACGTTGGAGGAGAATGAAAGATTATATATTGAACTTACGCAGGAAGCTTTGTCGGCTCCAAAGCAAGCTTGAACAGCTAGAACAATATCGGTGAAAAAGAAACAAACGCATATAACACCATGGAATCCTAAGAGAACTATGGACCAGTTACAACAGCGGAATATCCTTTTGTCGAGTTTTAATAAAAGTACTGCCCAAACGACTAGAGTTGCAACGAAAGATCCCAGCGTTAAGATTTTAAAGAATCCTTGTGTTATATGCGACCTACTGCAATCAATTGCCAATTCGCTTATTATGTATGCAATAAGTGTTAGGATCTGTACGTATGTATGTATATGCATTTAATAAGTGATTATTTGATATATTAACGATTTGCCGTTGTTGCTTTTTAATACTAACGCATTGTACAACTTTGAGAATTCCATGAATTCCTTTATGAGGTAAATATGTATGATCTATAACACCGCTTTCTTTTTCCTGTTGTACAGTTTGCGCTGCTGCTTGAATCGTTTCTCTTTGTTCGTATACTATAAATAAACAATTATTCAATTCCAATCAAATTAACGAATTTATAATCGAACAGCCTATTCGGCTTTTTACCTACCCGTTTGCGCCGTTTGAACTTGATTGTAGGTTGGAATTTGACTATAAGCTGACTGCGGAGGAGGAGGAGGAGCCTGCATAATTGAACTAATTAATTAAACACTAAGCTAAGAACGACGTCTTCTAGGTAGGAGATGAGAGGATAAGAGACGGAGAAGCCTGATTTGTTGGTGATTATTCTATACGGGAACTGAGACAGGCCGCAGGAACACCACGGACTGGCAAATCATAATATCATCTCCGAGCTGAGGGTCACGTGATAACCGCCATTTTCCCTTGTAACGGAAGTGTAACACCGGCTGTTATGTCAGGGGATGCGAGCAGAGAAATTTTCCACAACAAAATGTCTTTTTTGTTTTATTCACGCATTTTTTCTTCCTTCCGGTTCTACTTTCTTTTTAAATAGCTGTTAAATCGTAAACTAGATAGGATAACATAAATAAATTATGTTGATAATTGTTTGTTATTTTTTATTTGAAAATGTGCAATATTACACTTTAATTAAGGAGATAGGAAAGATTTCCTTTTACTTAAGTAAAATAGATAGAGAGATAAATAGAAAGCAGACATTTTATAAATGATTTATTTATCTCTTTCATCTTCTTCATATACTTTTATAAGTATTAGCTAAAAGAAATTTCTCTTCTTCTTCTTCTTCTTCTTCTTCTTCCTCTTCTTCCTCTCCCTTTTATTTTCCGGCCAAAATTTCATTAAAAACAAATTGACCTCGATTCATATATATTTTTTATATATGTATATATACAGTACATGTATTTAAAAAGTAATACCCATGTCTTCTTATTTCTTTTTATATGAATACGCATGCGTGTACTTTACTTATTATTTTCCCTTAAATAAAAAATTGTTTTGTAACTATAATTGCATATTAAAATAGTTGGATGAATTGATCGAATAACCGGCCACCCCTACCAACCGACATGTTATGTCACGTGATATTCTAGCTAAAAGGACAAATTAGAAACAATATTTAATAATCATTATTCACGTGGTGCCATCTGAAGTTGACGACTGAATTTAGTGCCGTTACGCTAAATGAATTTTAAAAAGGCGTTACATGTAAATTTTTAATATAATAATAAACTCTCAGAAAGGATGAGAAGGAGAAGGAGATATATAGAGGAGGGAAAAAATGATAGATAAATTTAGGATTCACGATATTAAAAAAGCGATTACTTCTATAGATTTCTTTGTAAAAAGATAATTAAAAAGTTAAAAAAAAAAATAATCCTGTTTTTTTAAAAGAAAACACTGGTTTACTATCTTCAAGGCCATATCTACCTCAGAAGAGAGAGAGAAAGAGAGGGAGAGATGGATAGATAAACGGATAAAAGTACACGCAGAGAGAAGGTAAAGATTATAAATATCATAATATTTCTTTGCTTAATAAGGACTTTAAAGGTTAATATAGACGCTGCCAACCTATTTTAACGTTAGGTGAAAATAATTATGTAGATATTATTGTATAGATTTGTATTTTTCTCCCTTTCTCTCTCTCATTTTACGCACCTGGAAGAACATTTTCTTGATAGGAAATTACTAACAAAAGTAGCTGCCCTACTTAACATTTAACCCCGCAAAATAATTAAAAACAGCCTACTTTTCAGTTTAATAAATTCTGCCCTAAAAGACGGATTTTCATTACTCTCGGTTTAAGGGCACTATTATGAGAATTGAGGGAAATTGGAGAAAAGTCATAGACATTTCCTCGATGCTCATTATTTTATTTCGAATTAACGACTCAAACTAAAAAAAAAGTAGAGAGAAGAGAGAAGAGAGAGAGAGAGAGAGAGGAAACGAGTAAAGGTAAATTTATAGGTTAAATTTTACGCTGTTGATCCTTATTAAGAATTCTTTCCGAAGGTCAAAAACAAGAATTCTTTACTATATATTTCGTAGATGACAGAGAAAATTGAGACATTAACAATTACTTATTACATAGGCTAACAACTCCTTTATCCCAGTTGACATGAAAGATAATTGATCAATGAATTTTTTTATTAGTCCATCTCATCCAGAATAAAACTAATAATAGCTAACTTACTAACAAAGTAAGTAAACAAAAGGATAAATCAATTATATACCGTATAAGTAGTATTTACATCTTTTCACCCTTCTCTTTATAATAGTTTCGATAACTTTTCATCTTCAATCGACAGTTGGCTTTTTGTACGATTAATGGTACTTTGTTTTTTTTTCATCAAATATAATCGTTTTCGTAGGAAACTATTGATTTTTTCAACATTCTAATACTTTTCTTTGTAATAACTATCCAACAACTTGTTAACCCATCTACCAAAGACACCATTCTCTCTCTCTCTGTTGCTGCTGCTGCTGCTATCTCCAATATTAATATTGTGTCATAAGACTATTGTTTCTCTTTCCTAACAATCCATCGAAAAAAATCTGTAATCCGACAAATGGATAGGCTTTTTTCACTATTTCTAATATACTGTAGAATATTATTTAATAATTACTAAGCGTACACTCTCACCTTTATATTCTTAGCGTTGATCAGGTAAAACTTCATTTAACAAATTGGATAACAATGTCGTAAGGAAACTATCTTGTTCTTAAAAATGCAAGTAGAGATTTTCAACTATAAGGGTTGGAAACTCTCTTTTCTATTTCATATAGACAACTAATCACACTGGCCTGACGGATTGAGAAAGAATAACGGTGGCCGAAGAGGGGAAGACAGGTGTAGCTGGATATTATCGCTTCTTAGACAATATGGCATATCGATATGAAAGGATGAAACGAAAACAATTCCAATAAGATTTATCACTTTCTCCTTGTTTATATTTCATTTATTTTTATGCTTCTTCTTCCTTTAAATTGTTCTAAATGCGAGAGAGAAGGAAAGAAGAAGAGTCCTTTATAGAATTAGTTGCTACAGCTAATATTGTTAACTTGTTAAAGTTTACTGACCTATTTATGAGAAAAAAAGTGAATATACTTTTTATGTTCGAATGCTTTTAATAAAGATAAAAATAAACGTTTTATTAACAATTATCCGACTGCAAATGACAGGAAACATGATTACTTTTGAGTGGGCTACAGAGAACAAAAATAAGTGTATAAGATTAATCGATCTTACATTCCCCTCATCTTACCTCCTCCGCTTCGTAGTCATTTATCTTGGTTTCTTCTTCTTTTTACTCTTTCTCTCTCCTCCTCCATATTTTTTTCTACTTTTCCTTCTTAAAATATAGCTACGGCGTTCTTAAGAATATGAAAGAGAGAATTCTAGTCTATCCACCTAAATTGCCTGATTATCCCTTCTAAATAATAAGAAATTAGGATGAAGCGTCACTAAATATTCCAAGAAATTACCAATAGTATATCGCGTATTTAGTATATTTAGCTTATAGCTTTGTGTGTTTTGCCTTTAAAGAAAGAAAACTATCTACTAACCGATAAAGATAAAAGGAGTTTAGCCGACCTTGAAAAATTCACTTTTCAAAGTTTTATGCGACGACAAAAAAAAAGGAATATAAAGAAACAAAACGTGTCTCTTTTTCCTAATAAAGTATAAAAAAAGGCTTTGGGAATTGTATTTATAGAAGAACGAGGGAGAGAGAGAGAGAGAGTGGAAGAATATAGAGGAGGATCTAGTTGGAGAAGAAAGAGAGAAAAAGAGTGAGATTCGCTCTCTTATCGCTAATATTTTGAATAATATAATATCTAGTAGACGACCTCCAGACAATATAACCAAAATCATAAATAGATATAATGACAAAAATGAAAAATATGCAAATTAGATGCAAAAATATTAGATAATGAAAACAATCATTATTTATCAATATTCACAATGATTTCTACATATTAAAAGGATTAAATCATTAAATAGATATTTAATAATAGACAAGTTAAAGGAAGAGGGGGAAACGGGGCGTAACTTTTCTCATAAATCACAGCATATAAAAGAGAGAGAGTTTTGAAAATATTCTCATTCATCCCTTTATTGATTGAGACAAGAAGAGAAAAAGAGTAAAACGACGAAATAAGAAATAATAAGAAAGATGAAGGCAATCCAGAACGTTCTCTTCTTTACTCTACTATCTTTCTGCACAATAAAAGTAAACATGAAATAATGAGATATTAATCTACCTTCGTTAGAGTCTAATAGTATAATTCTAATGAAAATGTTAATCTACAGGCTCAGGTTATCGACTTAACTGGCTGTGGTAAAACAAAAGGTTGCCTATTAGAACCAAATTCTTGTAACAGTGAAACATCTTGTAGAAAGATAATAACTTGGAAGGATAATGGTAACTTTATCAATTTTGAAATGATGGGTAAGAAACCCTACGTTGCCATCGGCTTTTCAAATGATAAATTAATGGTTGGTTTCAATTATTCCTATCATTTATTCTTTCGTTCATTCATTCAATCAATCTGAATTTTGTAATTACAATTCAAAAATAGGCAAAGACTTCAATTATCGCTTGCGTCTATCAAATTCCGGACTATCACAATGAAACTGTTCAAATGTACTACGCTATTGGAACTGGTAGGTTTAACGTAAAATCTAAGCCAATTATTGGTGCTGTTGTCTCGAGATACTTCGAAGGAACAAAAGACTTATATCGATGTCGATTTTCAAGAATTAAAACTCACAATGACGAAGAAATCTTTAATTTAAACAAAGGTAACGAATACTATCTACTAACGGCTGGAGGAAACACGAGATATAGAAGAATTAGAGATCATCATGAAGATAAATCGGCAACTGCAAAGAAATTCGATTTGACTAAGCACGAAAGAAATTCTGGAATGATTTTACAGGGTAGCGGTATCTTATCAGCTGTAATCAGTGCTTCAATAATTTCAATAATTCATAATTTATAAATAACATTAATACCTTTAATAAACAAATACAAAAAGCAAAAAAGATAAACAATTGCGCCACAATTAGTCTACTGTTTTTTAGACTTAGACATCATCTTCTTATTCAAAAGAACCTGACTACTACTTAACAGATAGTAGCTGGGCATAAGTGACCGACTGCCATAGGCTTATTATAGGCAATTAAGTATAGATATCCTTAGTATACTGTGTCTACAGCATATACTGTACATACTGTATATCAGTTAGTTAGTATAACCAAATGACTCATCATGGAATCAAAGTGATTCTTAAACTATCTTAACAATCTTTCTGAAGTATTATCTTTAAGCTTTAAATGATAAAATCTATTTGACATGGAGATTTCTTCAAGAACAGATTACTAATGATTCAAAACGATGACTAACCTACTTGAGATCGTTATTATCTCACATTGATTGCTTTTTGCATAAAAGGAGAAACAACTGCAATTCTGTCTTTCATATTAAAACGACACATAAAGAGGAGAAAAAGAAAGAAAGAAAGAAAGACTATGATAAAACTAAGATCTTTGCCTATAGTTCTTCTCTTTTCCATCTTCTCATCGGTCTGTATAAATAATTATATGTTACAACCTTTAAAAAACTATCTTCTACCCTCAGAACCACGCTAGTAATATTAACTTTACCGAATGTGGGGTCACTAAAGGATGCTACAAATGGCCTTCCAATTGTTTGAATGAACTTTCATGCCAACAGATCGTTACATGGAAAGATAAAGGAGATTCTGTTGAATTTGAAATGTTGGGACAAGACGACTATTTCGCTATTGGATTCTCACATGATAGAAAAATGGTAATATAATAGATCTCTGTCTATTCTATGTATTTATTGAAGTGTTTCTTTTCCAAAAAAAGACCAATACATCTATTATAGCTTGTGCAAGACATAGTAGAAGAGTTTACGTTGAACTCTATTTTGCTAAGGATAAGAAAGGTGTTCAAAAGAAACCATCTGCTGGATTAAGAATTCAACAAGTAATAAGTGTTGGAGGATCAGTAATATGTAAATTCACTAGATTAAAAGACTACTCAGATCCAGAGATTTTCAATATAAGCAACGGTAATAGATATCATTTACTTACCGCTTCGGGTTCAACTTCTAGTAAACAACTTCGACATCATGAAGATGATAAAACAGCTAGTTACGAGATGTTCGATTTTACTCAACCATCATTTTCCGAGAATCGTCAAATTAACCTGAATGAATGCGATAAATCCAAAAGATGCTTTCGACAACCTCATAGCTGCACTGATGAACTTACTTGTGATAAAATAATCACTTGGAAAGATCACGAAGACTCTGTTGAATTTGAATTGTTTGGTAAAAAAGAATTTATAGCTATTGGCTTCTCCAGAGATAGAATGATGACAGATTCTTCAATATTGGCATGTTCAAAGAGGAAAGGTCATGCTGAAATTCAAATGTACTATGCTAGTGGAACGTCTTTATGGGACATTGAATTTAAACCACTAAGAGGAGTGGAGGCTCTTCGTAAAGATGTCGAATCGAACATGATAAGATGTAAATTTCGAAGAAAAAAAACCTACGAAGATGATCAAGATATATTTGATTTAAGAGCTGGAAACAAATATTTTCTACTAGTTGCGGCTGGTTTCGTCAGCTATGACGGTCAGATAGATGATCATGAAAAGGACCGACTAGCGACTCTAACCAAATACGACTTTAGCGAGAAAATTCAAACTACTACTGCTACTACAGCTGTTGCTGATGCTACTACTACTACTACCACTACTACCACTACTACTACTACTATTACTACTAATGCCGGTGATGATGCTACTACCGCTACTACTACCGTTGATGATACTGAGACTACTGCAGCTTTTTCAACGAAACCTACTACTACTACTACTACAACTACTACTAGTTATACTACTGCTGCTTCTACTAATTGTAATTGTAATACTAATGCCATCACTACGATTCAATCTGAACAGAGTACTGAGGGTGAAACTTCTAGGAGGACGGATAGAGTTACAACTGCTAGCTCTTCCCCTTCTACAAGAACAACTAGTAAGCCCGGTATACCAATATCCCTAAACAACTGCAATATGGAAAAAGGTTGTTTTAGGAGTCCCACCTCTTGCCGAGACGAGTCGTCTTGTAGTAAGATAATCACTTGGAAGGAAAGAGGTGACGAAATTGAATTTGAAATGATGGGTAAAAAGAGCTACATTGCTGTTGGATTCTCATCAACTGGAAGAATGGTATGACAATTAATTAACTAATTATATATTAATTAATTAATTAATTAATTAATTGAATTTAAATATAAATCTATTTTTTCTTCCGAACAGAGAAATAGTTCTATAATATCTTGTACTAAGCTGTTAAATGGAAACGTAGAGGTTCAAATGTACTACAGTAACGGAAATAGAAGAGAAAATGTTAAACGGAAGCATAGTGGTGGTATAACCGTTGGAAGTCTTGAAAATGAAAATTCAGTTGTTCGTTGTCGTTTTTCGAGGAAGAAACAAATGGACGACGAAGAGATTTACGATTTAAGTTCTGGAAAATCTTACTATATATTATTGGCAGCTGGCCCTACAGCTAATAACGCTATAGACGATCATCGATACGATAAGCTAGCATCCACTCATAAAGTCGACTTAACACATCATATATCTGCAACCTCTTCTGCGTCAGCAATAAATATTCCCATAGATAATCGTATCGCGAAAATCTTGACGATTCTTCCGTTTATCTCTCTCTTCAATTCAGTCCTATAAACTAGATATAAATTATTAATTAACTAATTAATTAATTAATTAATTAATAAAAATCCTTTCTCTTTTTGATTTGCAGCATTTAAAAAAGACAGTTGTTATTCTTATTGTTATTTCTATTATTTCCTTTTAATTTATTCATTGTGAGTTAATTAACCCAGAAGGCGTTTTTATACTCTATAAAAAGTACAATATTCATTAAAACATTCACGTGGCAATTGTAAATATACTGGACATAATTAATCGATCATGATGATTTTAGGAATATTTTTAATTGATAAAATAGATAAAGAGAGATTGAATTTTTTATTCAATTTTTTTGTGGGCGTTTCTTCTCGTCATAGTTTTTCTCATCTTTTTTTTTTTGTTTAATAAAAGAAAATGGTACCGCAATTTATCGTTTTTCTTCTATTCTTTACATTTTCTATAGGAAAAGTATGTTTTATTTCTTCTTTTTCTTCTTCTTATTGTTATTTTTGTTTAAATAAAACAGCTAAAAGAAATTGATCTGATAGAGTGCGGTAGGGTTAAAGGATGCTATAGGAAACCTTATAATTGCTACAATGACAAGACTTGCGATATTGTTATTACTTGGAAGGATTTAAGAGAAAGAACTATGTTCGAAATGTCTGGCAGAAACGAATATGTAGCCTTTGGCCTCTCGTACGACCAGAATAAGGTAGTCGTCTTTTATTCTTTTTGTAATATACCCAGAGTCGTAATTTAGGACCATAGCTCAATGATTGCTTGCGTAAATCAACCGAATGGAAGACCTTGGGTTAGGATGTATTACGCTCAATCGGATATGGATAGGCCAAGATCAAAGAGGTTGTCTGGTATCAATGATATGGAAACAGCAAGGGAATCATTAACAGTCAGGTGTCGTTTCACTAGGAATAAAGAATATAAAGATAAAGAGGTATTTAATATTGGTCCCGGATTAAACTATTACCTTTTACTGGCTAGTGGAATGTCGAAAGAAGGAGATATAACGAATCACGGCGAAAACAAGACTTTTACAATTGAAAAAGTTGATTTTACGAAGCATTTAGATATAAGATACTACGAAAACAAGAATGCTTCTTCGAAAAGCTTCTTTCAAGCGTCGATTTTATGGGTAATCTTTTCCTTCGCTTTTGCGTTAATTATTTCCGGTTGAGCGAAAGGAAAGAAAGAGAGGTAGGGGGAGGGGAGGTGGGAGAGAGAAAGAGAGAGAGAGAGAGAGAGAGAAAGGAAGACTAAAGATAGACAGTTAAATGGGCCAGCAGGCTTGAAATTTTTATTGGAAAATATGTTATTTTATAGAAAATTGAATAAAATTACAACATTTATATGATTTCAAATACTTTATTCGTTACATTCGTTTAATTAGCTTAGATCATAAAGAAGAGAGATTTTTGGATAATTTCTCCGATTCTCGTTGAGAAAGGAGGTCATCCATGCTTTCTTGGAAACTGATTTGCAAACTGACCTCTCAAAGTAGACATTTTCCGCAATAACATCTGCAATAAATTCTAGCTCGCTATATTTCTTAGAATTACTATGAAAGATGGAAGAAGATCGCTTTTCTTCATTGCTATTGAATGAGAGTCGTTATTTTTCGACCAAAGTCTCTCTATATTCTAAGGCCAAGGAAGAAAGGATAAGCGTCTAATTATTAGTATATATACTGTATATATAAGTCCATAAGGATATTGAAAAGAAGAACAGTATGTTGGATTATTCGTTGACGTTGAAAAACTAAGGTTTATGAGAAATAAGCTTAAAAGCGTTTCTTATCAAAAGCATCTGCTTAACCTTGGTATTTGGAGGTGAAATCTTGATTAGGTTCGACATAAAATGCTCCCTTAAGTAATATCATGATATGCAAAATAATAATAATAATAAAACTTATTGAATTAAGTAGGATAATAAAATTTATTATGATTTTTAGATCAATCTAGTTTACAAAGAACTTTTCATCTATACGTTTGCTGTAGACAATATAGAAAATCCATTAAATCAGTCTCTTCCGTTAGGATTATTAATAATAGACAAAATGACTTTATTCCTATTCTTACAATTCCTCTGAACGTGATAAGGATTTGGTCAAGATAAAGGTTAACAACATATTTCGAATATATTATCTTTGTTGATAGTATCGATGGAAATCTTCTCTCTACAAGACACATTAAATGACCGTCATTGGCTACAAGAATTTCTTGTCTACTATCTATGACGAAGACTCTTCCGGAAGCCAAATTTTTCAGATAAGCTCATAGGAAATTCATTAATCTGTCATTATTTCTTTATGGATGTAGAAGATATTTGTCCATCAATCATTCAATATTGTTTCAATCATGTATTCATCAATATTTTGAATCACTGAATGAAGCAGGACGAAATTAGTTTAAATATCCATATTTAACTCTATTTCTCCAGTCTGTAATACAGTATATACTGTATATATTGAATACTCCAGTTTTAGGAAATAGAATTTTACTAAGAATAGCGCCCCCTAGAGAGTGAGTCACTAGGGACAATTTGATTTTTGACTTTGTTTTTAAGACTACAGCATCCTCTTCCAATGCATATATGCATACTAAACGTATATTAAATCAATGTATAGTAACGGTTCTAGCCATTTTTTCTCTAAAATATAAGTCCTAAAAGATGTGAACAGAAGGAGAGAATATGGTATTTAAAACGTTTTAATATGTAGCCAAAATGGCGATCAATCATTCAATCAATCAACGAGCCAATCAATCAAACAATCAATCAATCAATCACCCAATCAGTGTACAAGTAAGTATATATATACTGTATAAATATATAAACAAAGCTATATACAACACATACATATTACATTCATTCACCTAATTCTCAACGTATGACTAATTGATTAGAAATAAGGATTCATTAATAGGAAACAATCTATAAGTAATAAATTTTTCATGGAATATATTAGGAAAAAGGAAAAGATTTACTAAAATGAAACAAAAAAACAAGAAAGAAATAAAACCCTTTTGGTCGGGTGCAAACCTCTTTTATTTAATAAGTTCTTTCCCTCTGCCACCTCCCTCCCTCTTCTCTCTTAGCGAAAGAAAGGAGAGTGATGATTATTCACCGGAATTGAAGTAGAAACCTTCTCCTACAGGTAGTTAGTTAGCTTATGTGAAGATTTCTTTTTTTTAAATTATCCAATACAGTACTGTTATACAGTAGATCGCTTTTATGAAAAAAGAAAGAAAAGCGTAAAAGGAGATGAAGGAGAACTGAAGGACAAAGGTGATATTATACTGTAAAAATAACTGCAATTGGCGCAAATCTAATAGTAACTATATATAATATAAAAGGTGGATATATCGTTTAGTTGTTTGCACTTGTTTTCCCCTGATAAAAAGTACGATAGATTTTGTCAAACGTCCTTTTTTTTATATATATTTTATACTAAAAAAAAACAGGTTGACTCTCATTAAGACTCTTGAATTGTTCTATAATGTGAATCTTATTAAATTTGCAGTATAGAGTACTTTAAGTTCTACATCTTATGCTGCATATACTGTAATATAGACCCCTGTATAATACAGTATGTAGTGTATACAGTTACACGTATAGTAGTAGGAGCATTCAATGTATCTCCTATGAACAAATAAATGTATTAACTGTTTATTAAATACAATTAAAGGTGTATATTTAGCAACTGTAGTACCAGTATCTGTATAAACTATATATAGGTCGTCGTCTAATTTCAGCTGACTAAAAATTAACAATCTGTCTCCGTAGTGGCCGTCGTCTGTTTACTAAAAGGGAATGGTTAACCATTCTATGCAGTGTTTCTTTTGAAAGAGAATTGCAGATAACGTTTTTTATTAATCTTTCTAGGAGTTTGAAGAAGACTTTTATATTTATATATACAGTATTTTACTTTAACTTATAGCATAGTCGATCCTTGACTATTTCCATGCAAAATGATTTTTTTCCCTCCCTTTTTCACTGCATTTTCACTCATTCTTGTCAGAATTCACTTGAAAAATGTAATAGTTTTCCATTTCCATCTATTTATTTATTTATTGCATTTAAATACAACATTATCGGATGAAAAATATAAATTCAAGTATTATTATTCTGGTGGGTCTCTTTTTACTATTTTAAACGTTATTCATAAAGCTGGGGGAGAGACCCTTCGTATAATGAATTTACAGATTAAAACCTATTTACTATTTATATTTTTTTTATAATGTCCCGTTTTCTTTCGCGTATAAATCGTACATTGACGTTTATTGTAATTCAAGTTTTATAAAGTTTTTCCTTCTTCTTAAATATCTTATCTGTCTATTGTTGATTGTTGTATCCTCTTCATTTTTTGAATGCATAGCAAACAGGACAAACCAGAATCGTCGGGCTCTTGACTAACGTGTGTAACAACGCCATCGTCGATTAGAAGCGAATACCTAGTTAATATAAAATATCGTAAATCCTTTAAAAAGCAAATGATAGTTTGTATTATTTACCTTTTTGACCTGATATCTCCTAATAATGAAGTGCAATCCAACTCCATACCTATGGCTTTTGTAAACTCGGCCTTTGGATCTGACAACATTAAAAGCTGTAGAGGAAGAGGAAAGGGTTAAATACTAAGATCAATTGATTTCAAATATTAATGAAGAGTTGAAGAAAAAAAACCAACCTTACGATCTGGATCAACAGATTTTCCCCACGCAGTCATTACGTAAGGATCATTAACGGACAGACATGCGATAACAGTATACCCTTCGGTCTGTAAATATTATAAAGTATAACTAAATGAGCATACCATTCAAGTCTAACGAGTTGAATAAATCATTATTTGCTAATATGATTCTTCTCTTTTTCAATTGATTTATTAATAGTATTCTATTGTTGATCTTCCAAAAAAGATAGTAGAATTTATATATACTTAAACAAATATCAACTATAAGAGGTAAACATTACGATAAGATTAAAGTAATGGTTTTAGTAGTAGAATGAAGAGGGAAAACACTATACATATTAATAAATGAAATATAGTAAGTATATATAGTATTTTTTTTAAATGGAAAGTAACTCTGTAATAATAAGGAGAAAGATAGAAAAACACAAGTAAATCATTAAGTTTACATTATAATGATTATTATTTTTAATGTCCCTTTATGTCTATTTCTTCCCCTCTTTCTTTCTTTCTCCATTTTCCCCATTTTAACAAAAGAATTAATTAAATAAATAAAATAATTTTCTCTATATCATTTTGTGTTTTAGCGTTTTGTTTCCTTTGTTGCTTACCTTAAATCTTTCAACATTTTCTAAATATTCTGGTATATGCCCGTGGCTACAACCTGGTACAAAAGCCCCAGGAACGCTAAAGAGTACGGATTTTCTTTTAGAAAATAAATCTGCAGGCTTTATGACGTCTTTAGGTGAAGATGTATAGAGGTCCGTGTTCGGTAACCTAGTTCCAATTAGAAACTGTAGAATAAGTTTAAGATTACAAAAGAGATAGAAATACAAACAAGAGAGAAATTAAAAAATTAAAGTTATTATTAATTATTGAGCCATCTTTAATCCAGAACATATTTTGTTCAGTAAATAGTACGAGTTTTCGGATACAAAATACACGTAGATTTTGTATTTGCTATACGTTTTTTATTGTTTATGTAAATAATATCATTTGTTTTAAATAAGAGTTTTATTTATTCATGTTATAGTAAGCGAATCTAAAGAGATAATTACTTAAAGTGAGAAAGAGAGAGAGAGAGAGAGAAAGCGACAGAGAGAAAGTGAGAAGGTACTGAACAAGGAAGAGATAGAGAAAGATGAGAATAAAAAACAAAAGAATAATAACAGATCCTCTATAAAAGTGAGAGAATAATTACACTTAATAAATATATTTAATAAATGTATTTTAGTATTGTAATAAATCCATTGCAGTTGGAAAATTTCTTTTTATTAGAAATTATAAAGTTGATTGGAAACATTTGTCTTCTCTCATTAAATTTCACTTAAGATATTAAAGGAAAAAGTAAAAAGGAAGATTTTAACTAAGAGATAAAGATACATTTATAACATTCAATCGTTCTAAGTGCTATTTAACTATAAGTCTGTGCTTTTTTTTTATTTTCTTTTTTATTTAGACGCCTATTTTTATAGTCTTTTAATAGTATTGTTACCACTGCTATTGTACCTTCTTAAAATTTATATTCTTTACATTTAAGTTTATTATTGATACTGTAGAGAGGAACAAAAAGGTATTAGAGGTAGGTGAGTAAAAAGGTTTTTGAGTATACTAAGTTTAAGAATGACGAACTATAAAGCATATATATATATATATATATATATATATATATATACATTATATTGGAATATAAAATATGTTGATAAAGCTATTTCTCTTCCAACATAAATAACTAGTCCAATTTTATAAATAACATGTCTCTATAATTATTATAGATAAGTTTTTTTCTTTTTTTCCTTTTAAAAGAGATGTTCCTTGGACCATGAAATAGGCAACAATTTATATATTAAATATAGAATATTCTGACCATCTTCGTCTCTCGATCCAAGTACTATATAGCATTTATACTGTATATATGTATAAATTTATATACTAATACATATATATATATACTAATATATATACTAATATATATATAAAGAGAGGAAATCAACACTTTAACAGATTCTATTCAAATAATTCTTAATGATTTATTAACTCCTGTCAATTTTACTCCGTTTTTACATTATCTTTTAACTCTTCTCCTTACTTCTTAAGTTTGACAGCATCGTTTTTTATATATTTGCAATTTCTCATCAACCATCTAATTATATTATGTCAAAATAGTCCTATATTGTAAAAATTGGAAGCAGCACTGGTACTGAATGTTTTAAAGCAAATGGTAAAAGGTCTCTTGGAGCTTATATTAAATTTGGCCATTTTCAGCTACATAGCCACCTATCTGTATCTATGCCTAATATAAATTAGTAGAACTTAATTAGCACGTTCAAATTTCATTCATTTGTTAATTCGTTTCTTTCTTTATCTCAGCCGTTCGTTTTTCTTAGGTTAAGGTCTTTAAAAAAATAGCTACAATGAATATATATTCTGACAGCGAATTTCCGTAATGCACTATCGACTTAAATTCCGTTTCGATACTTTAAATATGGTAAAATAAGCAAAAACCGATTTTTTTTTCGCCTAAAAAACTCAAGAGGCGTTAAATGGAAAGCAATTTTACGACTATTAGCACTTTCATATTGAAAAATATACGATTTGTTCGCCTTCAAGCCCTGTAATTTATAATACCTACAAGTTAATCTATGAAGAGACGCTAAAGAGAAAGAAGGAAAGGTATACAACAAGCTGCCAACAAATAAAATCTATGCAATCTCATCGCCAGGTGTCGCTTAGTAAAATCAATAGAGAAACGCTCATAGACGGCTAGCGATGGTTCGAAAGCTTGCTGCTTTTTGTCAAATTTGCTACGAGACCCTCCTCGAAACTGCATTCAAATGTCCAAAATGCTCACAATCGTTTTGCGACTACTGTATAAAAACCTATTTGGATGAACAGTTGGAATCACGAGTAATAAAAATCGAATGTCCGGGTTGTAATTATAGGCTTACACCCGAAAATGTTTTACATATCAGTAGAAGACGATATGAGAAGTTTTGTGAAACACTAGAGAACTTTGGAGTCTCAACAGATAAGTTTAAGAACTTTTGCCCTAAATGTCAGAATATAGTAAAAATAACAAAAAAACAATGGAAAGCAGCAAAGAAGAAATCAAATGGTATAGAGGTAAGTTCTTTGCTTTTCCCCTTAAAGTTTTTCATTTCTTTTTTATTGAATTTAACAGTAGAAATAAAGGAATTAAGATATTTCTTTATTTCTTAATTTAACCATCTGTCTATCAATCGGTAAAATCTACCTAGTACTAGATGACAATTGAATCAGTTATTGAATCGGAAAATCATCCACGTTTTTCCACCAGATAGCAAACGTATTTAGTGCATATTTTAAAATGCTGTATGTAGGGAATATATATATACATATATATATTAATATATGCTATACCCAGTTGAAAGAAGGCAAAGAAAAAAGCCCATAAGGAATACTTTTAAGATTTTTTTTCCAATAAATCAAAAGTAGGAAAGAGGAAGAAGCGAGAGAATTCTATATTTAATAATTCCTTGTAAAAGTTAAAAAAAAATCTTCCTCCTTCTCTCTCTCTCTCTCTTCTTTTAAGCCAAGTTAAAAAGGTTAAAGAGTTGCAGTACATTCTTTTCTGTTCTCTCTCTCTCTCTCTTTCTTTCTTTCTTATTTGAATTTTATTTTAATTTACAATATATACAAACTATATGGCATAAGCTTTATATATAAGAGTCTAACAACAGAATATACTCAAAGGATTATCTAAATTTATATCGGATTAGGAAAGTTTGTTGTTGCATCTTTATACTTAAGAGATCCTAAAACGATCCTTGTTTTATCTTAATACTAAGCATATATACAATACGTATGCTATATATATATATGTATATATATGTATACACGATAGCTGCAACATCTACTAACGATAGTCTGCAAACTATCAAGAGAAAGAAAAAAATAAATATACTTAGGGTACTTACGAAAAAAAACGCACAGAATAGAAAAAATTGTCCATAAATCAGTTCACTGTCCTGGTTCCTAATATGGAAAGACTGGACTGTCATTATGGGTAATTTATTAAGTCTACTGCACAAAATTTTTTTTGCAGTTTTTATCAAACGAATTACTAAGAGTAGTATTTGTTTTTTTATTTTCTTGCATTCTTTATTCAATTATTTTAGTTGATGATTTTTGTTTTACATATATTTTTGTATAGGTTGAATGCAAGGTATGCAAAAATCGATTTTGCTTCTTCTGCTCGAAACCACCTCATTTAAATGAGCCTTGCGATAGGAGCGGCGAGCTCCTTCTTCAGAATTGGGCAAGGACGATCAATTCAAAGCAAATTAATGCCCGAAAATGTCCTGGCTGTCACATTTACATAGAAAGATCATCCGGATGTCCTTTCATGAAGTGTAGGCAATGTAAAACAAGATTTTGTTACTTCTGCGGAGATGGAGTCCTTTTGTAAGTTTTCATCGACTTAAAATGTAAAAATGTTTCACGTGACTAATAAGTGATTTAGGACTATTTCAATTTCTTTTTTTCCTTTTCTCTCCTTTTATTTTTATTCAATTGACTAAATGAATTCCTAGGCAATAGACCCACGAGAAATGAACGCGTTTGTTGGCCGTCCACCTTTTAAACAGAGAGTAAAACATTTTTATAGATCGCAGCTGTTCTAATACCGCCTTCCTCCCTACCTTTACTTTTTCAGTTTAATTGATGTTTACTGACTTTTAAAGAGTAATTTACTTTCAAATTCCGACAAGGAATGTTCTATTCTTTCATTTAATCCTACAAAATCCCTGTAATGTTATCAACCAAAAAAAGGAGTTTAATCAGAGAACTCTGACTCTTCAAACCTATGATACATATAGAGGGGATGGAGGCGACGGGAGAGGGCAATTAATCTTAAGAAAAAATCTAGCCAGCTCAGCGAAAACAAAGCCATAGAATAAGTAATCGCTCGTAAAATATTGAAGAAAAAGTCAACTTTCTCATTTTCTAAGCGTTATTCCATATTTCTATCCTTTCCCTATTAGCCTTAAAGAGAATATAGCTGACGCCGGAATTTTCAAAGAATCTAATTAGGCTAGATAAAGAATATAAACAGGAAGCAAAAGGCGTACACGCAATATTTTGTTTTCTCAAATAACTAAGTGTTGTAAGACCCTTTTCTCTCTCCCTCTCTCTCTCTCGGCCTCAGAATAAAGCACAAGTCATTAGCTCTAATAATTTTGCAGCTCATTGATTTACTCCTATTTATCATACCGTGTCCCTGATCCCGATTTAAGAAAAAATAACTTACTATATATCTATACACAGGTTATATTTATAGATGTACAAAATTATATTTAGCATCATTTTAAAGCGTCTAACCTCTGTAATAGACAGCTGTAAGAATATTTAAAGCAATCACTCTTTCTTCCTTTTCTGTATTCTGTTTTTTTTTACTAGAATTATTAATTATCTTTGTTATCTATTTCCAATTTACGATTAATTCTACATCATATATCATCCAATATAAAGAACCCTTTAAACCGTTTTATTATATATATTCTATGATTTATTTTTCTTGTCTCTCGTTTATAAAGTCTTGTAAATATTTCGAAGTAATTATTTCCTACAAAATTAATAAACGCACTTTTTATAAAGGAAACAAGAAAAAAAAATTAACTTCCCCTTGTTGTTATTCTTCTTCAATATGATATTAAGCTTTGAATAAATTAATTGAGGCTTAAAATATAGAAAGAATAGACACAAAATGCAGACACAAAAAGGAAGCTTTTCGATGCAGAAGAAGAAGATAGTTTTCTTGCTCTTACATCCTCAATAATCTATTAGTCTAGACCTATTCTAGCATCATTAAGATAATTACATAATTATTATAATTATAAATAATATTATTATTGTCATTGTTTATTTTTCTAAAATAGAAATTAATTTATTGGTTTCGTTATGATTATCATCTAATTTTTTTATTGTGTATTACTTTCTTCATTGGGAAAACTAGGCACAGCGAATTACACTTCAAATGGTACAATCCGTTCGGCTGCCCAATGAAATTCCTTCCCAACAATCCAATTAAGAGAAAAATCATCAGGGGATTCGCTTTTGGTAAATTTCATCAAACTAATTTAATTTTTCTATTCTGAATTTTTTCATTATTTCTAATTGTTTCTTTTTCCATTTTTCGTCTTTTTTTGGTCATATTTAAGGAGCTGGAATAATAGTAGCACCTGCAATTATTGCTTCTGTACTCGTTGCTGGATGCTCCGTTTTAATAAGCTTTCCTATCACTCTTCCACCTCTGATAGTGCTCGAAATTGTTAAATACTACGAAAGGAAAGATGCGAGAACTCCTCGAGAGGTTAATTGAATGACTTGAATGGTAATTTATTAATTACCTCTCTTTGATTTGTTTTTTTTTTTTAATATTAACAGGCAGTTGTTAGCGATGGATTTAGTAGGGAAGAAACTTTCGTAAGATCAACATCGTCCAATACGGATCCGTTACTTGAATAAAATCAAGAAGCTATTAACCGTATTATAAATATAATGTTATCAGTATGTTTCTTTTGGAGAGGAAGGAGAAAGAGTTGGCGAAAATTAGGAGATTGAAAGGAAGAAACTATGAATAAATTAGTTATGGACAACGAAAATGAAAAACAGCTTCTCTCTTTTTTCTATAGCCTTATTTCCAAGAAAAAAAAGAAAAACAGTTGTTATTTTACTATTATTAATAATAACCATAAGTAAAATTCAATAAATCTCTCTCCATTTACTCCCCTCTTTCCTTACTTTGTTAACTTGTTCATGTATAAATAATAATAGTATGATAGTTCAAACAAACGACAAAAGAAATAAAACAAATAATAATAATAATAATACTAATAATTTCAATTAAATTAATCATTTGACTAATTGATCGATTATTAAACGAAACACATAAATACTGTATAATTAATAAGGTGTTCCGTTGGTATTTACAATGTAGAAATCTGGATATCAGACATTTTTAAATAGTAAAATAAATAGACAAAAAAAAATTTTAATAAAAGAAAAGAAGAATAAAAAGTTAAAAACAATATTGATTTAATTAGTCTTTCTATTATATTATATATAATATAATATAAGATTTCATATAATACTGTATTCTGTATATTCTATATATGTGCTTTCCAAGAATAGAAAATGTATTATATGAATCATATTTCATTGTCATATCAACTATACCATGGCAATATGTTGATGGTTTTTTTAAATAATAATGCTACCATCGGCAAACTACCTAAAATATGCTTTATAGCAGAAAAACCACAAACACATGGTTTATCCTACGGCCGACTCTAATAACTATCTTAACAAGTAATAATAATTCATGACTTACCTTTGCCTTTTTACTTGTCTTCTTTATAGAACCAAAGCATCTTGCCGAATTTATAGTTTTGAGCTGATTTGTATTTTTTAATGGGAAAAATCTGCCGAGCATTCTGATTGAGCGATAAAAGGAACAAAATTAAATAAAAACTACACTTGTGTTATTTTCGAATATTTTTAAAAAATTATCTTTTCTTAATTGTTAAACGTGTTTTACTTACTCTGCATAAATATTTATGTATAAAATTAATATAGATATTATAAAATATATCTTTAAGTATATATTTTGTACTAATATATAGAAAAATTCTACTAAAAAAAGAAGGAAAAACACCCGGAAACGGAAACGATGGGATGTGATCGGCCGTAAAGAGTAATTTTTTTTAAAAAAATTAGGGAAAAATATCAGCTATAGCTGTTGACAATGGTGGAATTACAAAAATATCAAAAATTAGCCACAGAGTATTCAAAAGTACGAATTTAATTTATTTTTTAGAGCATGATTTATATAAAAAAAAATTAATTTTCTCTTGTTTATCTTCTCGTTGATTAAAAAATTACACGCTTATATTGTTTTCAACAGTTAAAAGCTCAACTACCAGTTCTAAAAGAAGCTGTGAAAGATTTACAGATAACTGAAAAAAACCTTAAAGTTTGTATAATGATAAATATTTCAATGGAATTTCCTTTCCATTAATACTTTTACTGACTTTCCACTAAAGGAGGAAATAAGAGAGAAAGATTCGTCAATAAGGCGACTTGAACAAGAATTAGAAAGTACAACATTTAGGAATGAACAACTGTCGGCTAGAGTAGAATTTCTTCAAAATGAATTGACGTCAGTAGAACAAAGTTTTAAGAAAAAGAATAGGAAATTAAATCTATCAAATTCTGGTTCTTTGCAATCGTTGAACGATAGTCGCGACGTTTTTGACGAAGAATTAAAGCAAAAAATTAGCGAAAATGCAGCATTACATAAAAAGGTAAAGAATTAACCCTCTATTTCTTCTGCTTCTGCTTCTCTTCCCTCTCTTCCTTTTTTTCATGATTATTAAGTTATTCCTATCCCTTTTTAGCTCAACGAAGCTAGAGAGAAATATAACAACGAACTAGAGACTTTAAGGGTCGACTTAGAACAATATAAAAGAACCTCAGAGCAATGCGATGATAAGATAAAAACAATACAAACAAAGCATAAAGAAGAAATGGAAGTTTTAACTGAAAAAAAATTGAGATTAGAAGTAATATATCTTTTTCTTTTTTTCTTTTCCTTTCTTTATCTTTTCTCTCTCTCTCTCTCTCCATCCCATCCATCGCATCTCTCCTCCTTTAAGTATTAATTATTCTCTATTCTTTTTTATTATATAGATCCAGTTACAGAAGCAGACGAAAGAATTACACAAAGCTATTAGTTCCGGTCAAAGAGAGTAGGATTTCATATTATTTACAATTGAAAAAAATACATTCAATATAACTAACAATACGTATACCTTTTTTTAGATTAACTTTAAGAGAAAGCATCAGTCAGGACCTTGGAACGAAATTAAAATTAGCTGAGAATCTTATTAACAATAACGTGCTCTTCAACAATCGCAAGAATAACTTCTACACTTCTCTTGACCTACAACCTTTTTACCGAAAATCTCAATTACGAACTTCTGAATTAATCAATCAGTCATCAAAGCACATAAAGGATTTCTGCCTAGCTTTTTCTAATTTTCTAACTTATCTAGAGCAGAGATGTGATTGCTATCTCAATAACGGAGGTGTTCGAATGAGACTATGCGAGTTATTACATAAAAATGGAACATATACAAAAGCTGTTGCTAAATCATTCGGAGAATTCGAAGGTGAAAGCAACGGGTATTCAATGGAATTTATTCATAAACTCGTGGAACTATGTTCGTATATAAAGGTTTTGGTTCCATATCTAAAATTGAGCTTGGACGAAGAGAATATTCTTTCTTTTTGTACAACATCGCTTAGTCAAAAGAATAATGAACTACAAAGCTGCTTCGATTCATTGCAGGCATCTTTTCAAAAATTGTCCAATTATTTAAGCATTCTTATCGACGTAAAAGAATCTCGTGTTATACGAGAAGTACTACTGTCAGTTGATTGCATGCAAACTTCGTTAAACGATCTATCTGCAACGTTTAAGAACAAAATAATTCTAGAACAGCAACTACCAACAATTCCTAGTCAGCTAAGGGACACGAATGAATGTATACTGAAATCGCTTCATTCCTTAATAACTGTAATAAGCAAATTGGCCACATTCTGTAAAGCTAACAATGAAGCTTTCGAAGATTTGATAGTTGACAGTCATAAAACGCATCCGTATAGTACTGTGTTCAGGACGCAAACGAGCGGCTATTTAAAGAGTATAAATAGCCTACTCAAACATGATAGCGTTCCTTACGAAAAAGCCATTAAAGATGAGAAGATCTTAAAGAGTTCGGCAGAAACTAAGGAAGGATTGGCCGAACAAGTAAAAGATCTTAGCGTTAAATGTCTCAAATTGGAACAAGAAAAAGGACAGTTAATGCTTGATAATCAACTAGTTAACGGAAAACTTGATAAAATAATAAAAAAGAATAAGAATTTGGCAGAAGACAACAGAAAACTTGCTAGTGGAACTATTTCTGATAATGTTCTATCACCAAACGTTCAAGAAAAAGATGATATTGTTGACTTGGTCAGAGAAAATATGATAAAAAATCATTTTATGCAGAGGGTTAACAAGCTCACTGTAGATTTACAATATACAGAAAGTAAATGCTTAGATCTCGTTTCCGAGTGTAAATCTGCTCACCGAAGATTTAAATATAGCGAAGAAGTTCGACAAAGTTTGGAAAAGGAGGTTGATTTAGCAAAAAAGAATGTTTCCAGACTAAAGGTGAAAGGAAGATTTCTTAATTCACTGTTGTTATTCTATATAAAAATCTTTTCCTAACTTAGGATGAACTGGAAACTATTACCAAAAGCTACGAAGATCAGCTAGCTACAATGAGTGAACATTTGGCAAATATGAACGATAAGTTAGCTAAACAAACAGAGTATATAGGAGAACTAGAAGCCATTACCAATTCTCCAAAGGTAATTAATCAAATTCCTTTTGCTTTTTCGTAAATGCAAAATACCTTCTATGTTCTTTTTTTAACAGAACGACAGAAAGAAGAAAAGATAATCGCAATATCTAAGTATATATATAGCTGCTTAAAAAAAGAATCTTCCAATTAATAATAGGAATAAAGTTTTCAAAATAAATCTAAAATTCAAAAAGAAGCATTGCCTTTATAATAAATAAAGTTATATGTATATTCAAATAAATACGTAGTTTCTTTACTCAAAAGCTCTCCTTTCAATGCTAACAGATATAATAATAACAAGCGCAATACGTCACAATATTTTGTACGTAATAAATAGGCAACAATACCGATAACAAAGATAGTTGCTATCCATTTTTAGTTTTAAAACTAAAAAAAAAAACAAACAAGTTCATGTTGCACACTATAATAAATAAACTTAAGCAGGTTTAAAATAACGGAATAAATTAGCATTTGCTTTTTTATCGATAACAAAAAATATCTTAACCGAACAAATTGATTGTATGAAAGTTCCATAGTCGTCATTCTTTGAATTTTTCTAATCCTTATTTCGTACAATTTGAAATAGACAACTAAAAAATTCAACAAAATATCAGAAAGGAACGTAAGCTATAAAAAGTGATTAGCTATTACATAAATAACATAACGAGATGTAGAGGAGAAGTTCGCCTCTATGTTAAATAAACGACAATTGAAGTTTAAGAGCAATAAACTTAGTCTGCATCGTAAAGAGTCCAAATTATATTAAAATAACTCGAGGGATTAAATGTCAAAAAGATCCCCTCTTTGGACTTGGACAAAAATACTTCATTGCTTTAACCAGCTACCATCCAATGTAGATTGGCGATCCGCATTAGAATAATTGGTAACTTGTAATAATGGAATTATTCCGTCGCCTTCTATCTCCAATCCAATTTTTATTTTTGGATTCATATTCTCTGCGTTAGAAGTTTCGATTTTCTTTCCACTATCATTTTCAGTATCAGTAGTAATCTCTTGAGTTTCCAATAATTTCCATTGAATCTCATTCGCCTCTTCCTCAGAGGTTTTAAATTTCTTTACTTGCTCAAAAGCGTCAATTTCTTCATTTGCACTGGATAAAGGACGTTTTAGAGGATTGGATTTTTTTACCACCACATTTGGAGTCTTCACCACACGAACTGGTTGATTAGGAAATCCTGTAGTCGTGACTTCAAAACCACTTTTTATACTCTGTAGCAAGCAAAAGATGTTAAAAAAAAAACAAAAAATTTTTATTACTCTTACGAGCTTTGGTCTCTTCGTACTATCCAGCAGTTCTTCGTTTACGTTGCAAATTTCGTCACAATTCCATCTCTCAACACCTTCGTCATAGTCATATGAGTCGGGAATAATATGATCTTCAGGAGGAATATAAGATTCCAAAAATTCATCCCGTGGCAAGGTTATCGCATTAGGTCGACTTACAATCAGATCATCGAAATTTAAACATTTTCTGGCTTGTTTTCTTTTATAATTGTCCTTACTTTTAAATTTGCTTTGAACGTCCTCTGGAATATATTCAACTTTCTTCGGTGTAGTGTCCAACATTTCAAGAAAGTCAGCACCGTCAACTGAATTTTCAAGAATATTACTTATTCGTCCAACAATTTCATCGGACAGTTCCAAATTGTCTGAATCTTCTAATTTATCATATCCTTGTAGTGTATTTTTGGCAGGAAATTTACTCGTCTGGTATTTGTCATCTTCTTCAGCAAGGCCCATTTGAGGTACAATTTGCTCAGATTCTGCATCAATTAGTTTAGCATTCGGAATTTTTAAACCTTCGTAAACGGGTGACTTTAATGGTGATATACTCTCGACTACATGATATAATTTTTCCGGAGTTATTTCATTTTCTCGTCTTGCTACAGCATTATATTCTATTTTCTTAGAAGAAGGCATAGATGTCCACAATCTTGAGAGCGCACTCATGACGTTCTTTGTTTTCGGTAGAGCACCAGACCGCATGGCACTAAATAGAAAGGAATATATTTTAACATTTTTTTTAAAACCAATTATGTTTTTACATTGAATATGGCTTTCTATATTTGCTGGCAAAGAGCATAAATCCATTTTTCCAATAGCGTTTGTCATTTCCTTTTAAAATCTTTTTAGAAGAATCATGCCTGAAATAACAACGAAAATTTCTTGGAATTGTCAGTTCCCAGTATAAGATATGCTTTACTTTTTGTTTTGTCTACTACATTCTGGCCATTTGAAAATTTGTTTTTCAGTTACTTCGGTTAGTCCATCTACTTAAATAAGAATAAAAGTCAATGAAAAATAAATAGACATAGATATATATATTTTTATAAAAATAAAACAATATTATTTTCATAAATGAATATACCATTCTGAATAGTCTTAGTCAATTTACAATTTACTAATGGTTTTTTCCTTCGGTTCCCTACTTGTCTTTCATTGGATTCCTCATTTATCTAAAAAAAAGTCATAAAAATTTATACAATTAAGTAATAAGACAACTGATTACCGTAATTTGTTTAATTGATGTTAAACTCTTCGGTTCTAAAATTTATTGAGAAGCACAAATAAATGATAAGATATAAAGCTATTTATTTATAAATACCAGTTTTAACTCGAGCCATGCTTTTACGAGGGAAGTAGTTGTCAATGACAAGTCCGTTTTCTTTAATGATAAAATCAAGCTTTCTTATTATTTTTAACCCTAACTGATAAAGGAAAAGAATTAAAGCGAATATAGAGTAGTAGCTAGTAATCTCAACAGAAATATAATATATTCTTACTGAAGGAGCCATTTGATTAATGTTAAACTTTAGCGGACTCCCTACAACTATGTCATTAAGATGTTCGTTCATAAAATCGTCTAAGGTTACATCTCGAGCAATCGTTTCTGAAAAAACACATTGTTAAACTTTTTCATGATTTTTTCCAAAAGAAATAAACGATAGTTTCAAAAATAGTCAATTAAAAAAAATAGCTAAAATTTACCACTTATTTAAGAAAGGAAATCGGTGGATAAAGACAGCCTTTAGTTTAATTAGTAATTAGTTTATGTGATAAAATTATCTTTATACTGTGATAGAAGGATTTTACTCTTCTTGGACATCAAATTGGAAACTTTTTCCTAGAAAAATTTAAGCCTTCATAGTGTGGAAGATTAAAGCAATGTTATCCATGTAAAATTATTGAAATCCATTTTAAATGTTCTATAAGATTATAGGACTATCTAACGATAAAAGCACTAAAAACGCAATGGTCTAATAAGATGTTTAAGATGAAATGCTAAATTCTATTTTAACTTTTGAAAAAACTATTTTGCGGAAACTGTGAACAGTCACGTTGTCTTTTACTTACCTTGTAGAAAAACATATCTAAAAAAATTTCGATTTTCAAACATACTTATCGTTACACATACATTTTTATCGAATTAAAACAAGCAAGAACTTAGCTAATTACCTTTACGGTGTTGAGTTGTCTCGTTATGATAATTAATATCATTTGAGCTATCCATTCTGAAAAAAGAATAACACGTTGCATTAAAATGTTAAGAATTCTTAAAAGCTTCTTAATGTTTTATGGTAATACTTTTCATGGGTCAAAAGATGTATATGTGTAGAAGTAGTATCTAAAAAAATTAACAAACAGAAAATTACAATTGCAATCAAAAATATTTCCATGTAAGAAAGAATAGAATAAAAAAAACAAACTGTGCGACATGTTTGGATATGATGGTACCTCTCCATCTAAAATATTTTCATTAACATCTTTCGTGGAAAAGTTGAAAGATTCCGTAGTACTGATATAAAAATTACATATTAGTTTACACAAGTCGATTAATTAAAGATAGAATTTATGTTTGAAACCTTTCTTCCCAAGGCGTTTGTAGAACATTGTCTGAAATGAAAAACAAAAGTTGTTAAGAAATTTCGATATTATCAACTTACAATCTTACCGTCAATCCCGAAATTATCTTGCTCAATATTTCTGGGAGTTGAACCCAAGTCGAACTCGTCTTGTAGATTGTCAGAGCCGAGAATGCTACAGAGAACAGTAAAAAACATCAATTTATTTACCGAACCTAAAATGTCATAACCGAATTTCATTACCTCGTAACTCCATTAAAACACCAATCAATACAGCTGATGAAAATTATATTGGAATATTTAGAACATTAATTTGAAATTCTCTTTATTACCTTTCATTCGAAACAGTTTCGTCTAACGAGGAATCAATGCCGGTTATAGAAGAATTGATATGTTCAACTACGGTTAAAGAAAAAATAAAGTATTTACTTTACATTAAATTAGCAATGTATTTATCTTTAACCATTTTGAGAAGTTCCAACGTCAAATAAAGGAACAACATCCAGACTATCGTTAGAATCCGTAAATGATGTGATAGTATTAAGTCCCTGTGCATTTGCATCAATATTTTCGGTGTCCGAAGAAGTTTCTGGAAAAAAAGTTAATTTGTCAGTGATATATTTCCCATAGCTAAATTACGTACTGTTAAAACGATTGCTTGTGGAATTGTTCAAACCAAAAAAAGTAAGAGGCATGTCACTGAATAAAAGAAAATTTGAGACATTGACATAAAAGAGTTATAACAGAACTTACGTAGCGTAGGAAAGTAAGATGTCTTTACTGATAACAGAACCAGAAGTGTCATCATTTTGACTTGAATATCTATAGAACAAGTTAAGTAGATTGTACAATAGAACAGAAGAAATTTATACTAACCCATCGGCAAATGTTGCATCTTCGTTGAAGTAATTAAAATCTAAATAAGACAAAAGATCGTTTTGCAACGATATAGAAAGAGTATTTACTAGAGTTACATATTAACGAAATGGCCATATCAATAACTCAACAATACATATAATGCACGTCAATAAATTTCATTATTCTTTTCTGATAGATTAAGTATGTAATGAAAAACAGCGATTTATTGATAGACAAACTATCATGATTGGGCAAATATATTTTGACAGCACTTTGTAAGATCGACGGAATGGATACTACGAAAAATATTCCTGAGGCGAGACAGTTGAACAAAATCATGGAATGCGGTATGTAAATAGATTGAATTTCTTCTTTAGTAGTAATATTTACCTAAACGAGTTAGTGTAATATCTAAGTACAATTAATTATTATTTAATAAAAAAACACGAAAGTTTTTCCATAAAGATCGACGTCAATGAGGGTTTTCATTGCTGTTCGTAAACGAACATTTTACACATGTATATATATATATATATATATATATATATATATATATATATATATATTTGTTATATATTAAGTGTATCTTATTGTGTATATATATATATATATATGTGATAAACAATGCTTAATAATTCCCAAGAAACTCTATCCTTATAATAGGATTCCATTGACACAATAATACATAAGTTATACTAAACCCTGCAATTATATCAGAAAAGAAGTTGTCAAAAACGTTTTGTGAACCTATCTTATTTCATGTTTACAAGGGGTAGTCTAATCCCAAGTAATAAATTACTACGATAAAAACTTTCAAAGGAACCATAGCTCTGGAAAAATAAATAAACTTCCCTTGATTCGCAAAATAGTATTACTTTTAAATATAATGATAAATTAGATATAATCAGAAGTCTATAAGCAAGGTAAGAAGGGCTTGAAAATCAGCCAGACTGAGAAAAAACATACTTATTGAAATTTAATGATCGAAAAATTCAAAATGTCCGCTGACCGGTAAGATTCTATTAAAGAACTAAAATTATTCTTAAGAGTGTGTTTGACGATCATATTTATTTCTGCATTCGTAATAGAGCTTATTACGTTGCGTAAATCGTTGCGATCGTTACATTATAAGGTCTGTAAGGCCGTTGAGAGTAAATGCTAGAAAAACAAATAAATCACTTTTTAATATTAAAAAGGATTAACTGAACTGAAATTATATTCATTAATAAATAGTTTAATTGAGTTATATGGTGAAATATTGAATGGATTCGAGAAAATTATTTGAATGAAAATGTTCCATGATTCGAACATTGAAAGTAGATCCGGCCCTACACCCTAAGAACAAATCAACGTGGAAACTAGTTAATCGTAACTTAAAAGGCGTCCTATCAGAGATATCCGAGGTTAAATTGTTTAAAGAATATTACAAGAAAAAAAAATAGTCAAATTTGTGAAAGATTTGCTCGATTATGGAATAGTTCTGGAAGACTAGAATAACGGTCAAGTTTGATACCACCTAGAGAATATTGTGGTCGATTTTGCATTTAAAATAAAAAGAGATACAAATTTCTTTTAACTACTGAGAAGCTAAATAATCCTTATTTATTTTCAAGGGATAGATTATACAGAAAAGTTACTTTACCTTGATTTCCAGCGTTCATTCTTAAGCGGATGTCTTAAAGGTCTATCTATTCGCGCCAATCACGTGATCACTTTATTGTTTTCGTATCTGATGAATTTTATGAATCAGCTGTTCTGTGAACAAAAGATAATTTTTTAGTTAGTAATTTAGATAATGATGAACGAATAAATTAGAGAAAATCTTACGTTGAATTCTTCTTTTATATATTACTTTGGGTGGTTATTGTAAATAAATATGGCGGATAGACCTGCCAAATGTAAATATAAAGCGGAATTCTTGTCCAACACATGAGCATTCTGATTCTCGCCAACGGAGGGAAAATTTAATAATTTACAAAATAACACAAGATTTTTATTATGATCTAATTCGAAATATATGAGATATTTGCAAGATTTTCCTCCTATTTTCAACTCAATAGAGAATAACAAATTGAAAAACTTTAAAGGGCGACATTTAACTTCTAAAGAGCTATTTTTTGACCTAAAAGTCTACCATTAAATAGTTTATTAAGATTATCTTTAAAAAGAGAGGATCATTTAAAACGTTTTTAGTTTGATGACGTTGCAGCAGACCAGATGGACAGGATAGGTAATCATTTTTGTTTCCTTTAATAACATCTCTAATCAATTGTATTTAAGAAGTAGTCGTATTCAAGCAGAATTTGACAACCTAATGTATGTTGATTGAAGATAATTAATGATACTATCGTCACGATTAATAGTCATTCTTGTCTCTGAGAACGTACAGGTAGCTTAAAAAGGGTTAGAATCCGGAAATAAGGAAAGTGTAGATGGCAACTAAACGGTAATAGATTTAACAACGTTATCTTTTTTTATATAAAAAAAGGATAAAAGAATGAATGAATAAAAGAAAGAAAGAGTTATCCATATACTTATTTGTATAGTTATAAACATTGAATGATTATTTTACCGAGCGTAAAAAAGCATGATTAAAAGTCTATTAAATTTAAGAAGTATGTAAAATTCTTTATAGAAAGAGATAGGAGTAAAATAAAGAATTGAAAAGGAATGTTTCAGAAGTACATTCAAGTATATACAGTATACATATATCAAGTATACTTTAACTTACAACAACCTTGTGACTAGATGATGACTATTACACAAACATTTCTTGATTTATTTGTTTATTTGTTTGTTGTTATAGATGTTTTGTTTTTACTTGTTTTCCTTAATAGATAAAGAGGATGTACGTAATAATTCAAAAGACAGTCTAGATTCAGAACTAGACTGCAATGGTAAGTTGATAACGATTATCTTATTTAAAAGAAATCAACTACTATTCTGCATATACTGTGTATAAATATATATATATCTATATATCTATAATTTCTTTTACCAATATTTGCCAAGTTAAAGCTAATTAATTAAATTACCAAAGCAAAATAACTATAGAAACTTCTATATCATTCAAAGCAATTAAATATCCTCTTTAAGGCCACCCCTATTCTCTTTTTTTTTCTTATTTTCACCTATCTCTAGTATACATACAATGTTCTTGCTATCCTAATGAAAAAATAGGGCCAATGACTGTACCAGTAACTTTTCTTGTTTATCCTTTTACTATTGTTGCGCTTTTTACGCAGGTAGAGAGATAATAATCTACTGTATATTACATTACGCAGTAAGAAGGTATTTCCCACGCCTATTACCCTAGGTGGACGGAGTAGAGTAAAAGAATCAATTTGCCCCAGATAAGAATATGGAATTGAATTTCCTTTAATTAATCAATACACGAAGGCTATTTAATTCTACTCAACACTTGTAGTTGAATAGAAAAATGAAGAATAAGCAATTATATTTTATGTTCTATTAATTATTATTTTATTTTTAAATAATTTTACACAGAATTAAGATAGGATACGTTTAACTTTGATTTATAGAATAAAGAGCTATTCACCCGGATTACAGGTGTCATAGTATGTTTGATAAATAGTTAAAGCGAACAATGAACTTCTTGTTATGAAAAAACATTATGAAACCCACATGCAGAATATATATACTGTATATATTTATATATATATATGAGATTCTTATGTTTATATACAACATTCATTTACTGTATCTAATTACAATAGAAATTTAATAAATGATCAGCGGTATATAGGTTTTTTATGTCCCCATTACAGTGTAACATATTGCATTTACGCAATATATTCTATATAAACTATATACCTTCCTCTCCTTTTCAATACATTTCTATAGACCGTATATCTATTAGTATATATCTATATGCGGTATACAGTACGTGTTTATGTATATATGTTTTGCTTCTGCTTAAGTTTCTAACTGATCGGAAACTATTCAATTTTTGACACTTGATTGAATTCTGTTTAGTTTATACGCTTTTGTCTGTCTGTGTACTTAATAAAGCACTTTATTTTCGAGCCTTTTCACATTTAATTCTACCGAAAGGGTTATTTGCGTTTAGATAATCCTTCCTCCTATTACCTTCTATTGCACAGAAGAGCTTGCCGCCGTTACACAGGAAGCTATGATGGATAGGCTATCATCTGTTGAACGACTTCTTCAGCAGCAAGCCGACGACATTCTTTTACTTCGAAGTGCCTTATCCGATGCAATTAGACGCCTTACGAATGTCGAGCAACCCCTGCCGCAGACATCCAATCAAGTAAGCCAGCAAGTACCTCACCATTATCAACCTACCCCTACAAGAACAGCAAAGAGACAAGAAGGAAAACTATCTAGAAGAACTTTTAGTTCAGATGGTATACATAGAATGACATCATCTCCATCACCGTCTTCCGGTAGATTAACACCGGCAAAATTGACGAAAAAATGGCCATCATTTTCACCAAGCGACCATACACCAATGAATGGAGTTGGAGGAGGTTTGTCGAATTCAAGGTGAATATATAAGCAGAATTTTCAGTATAAACTAATATATATACTGTATATATAAATTCTAACATATATATTTATAGTATAGAGAATATGTATACAGAATTGGTCTATTCTATTGATAAAGTCAACTTTTCATAGATAAAAAATAGAAAAGAAAAAAAAAAAGAGACCAAAACCCTTAATAGAAAAGAATTCAACAAATTAATTAAAACGATATAGGAGAGAATAATAGAAAAATCCTTTTCACCGTTATAATAGAGCTATTAAAATGAAGATGTTAATTTGATTTAACTTGATAATTGTATTAAGCTCTTTTTAATGAGATTTACTTTGCTTTTGAAATACTGTTTAAGCCTTTAAGCTGTCTTAGCCAATTAACATATTTTTTATGATATTTAAAAGCAATGATTTTTTCCCTTGATAGTAAAGGAAACGTAATCCGTTAATTTCAAAGTTTTTCTTTATACTTAATGCATAGGTAAAAAATATAATGAAAGAAGAAAAGAGCTATATAGAGACGGTGTAACGGTATCCCTCAAAAGACCCTACTCTTATATTGAACCTATAAAAACTTGTTACAAATTCAATAAGATCACTTTTTTTTATTTTTCCTTAAATAATTTTACTGGCCTGAATGGAATAATTCAACTTTAATTACTCCGCCAACCACTTCGAAACGGTAAGGAATTTAATAAAGCCTTGGAAAAAGAGAGAAAAGAGAGGAAAACACCCTAATGTAACCTTTTATTACGCTCTAATTACCTGTTGCAAGAAAAATATTCATTTCTTAGAAATCTTATGTAAATAAAAGTAAAATGAAATAAAAAAAGTTATAAGGCAGAGCGGTATATAAGGTTCTAAATATAGATATTGTATTTACAGTATTTTTCTTTCTTAGACGTATATAGAGAGTATAATCTTCTCTATTATCTTTTGTCTTCCTTTATTTTCTTCCACCTCCCAATTCCCACCTGTGCTAGCCGATTTATTGCAAACAATTAAGATTAAAACTTTGCTTTATTTTTTCATTTGATAAAGGGACAAATCAAGAGGAAATTGTAGGAGTAGACAGCCACCGCCCATTCGGTAAATTTCAAAAGTGTTGTTTCGTATTGTTCAGTGAGGTGTTAATTTTACTATTATCAATAGACTACTCCAAATAGAGGGCTATAATTATTGGTTTACGCATATATCATCCTATATATCGCAATACGACCCCTTTTTTTTCTGCTATCCGTCAACCCTGTCCTGCACTTCAGTCGACCGTCGGACGGGTTTACTTTGTTACGATTACGGATAAATGGCATTTAGTTGTCCCTTCGATAAATGATATTTTTTCATATAATATTTGCTTCAAGCACGTCATAATCCTTTATTAAAAACATTTTTGAATGAAATAGGAGAGCATTCATGAAATGTTTTGTCTTGTGTTGGACAAAATAATTTGTTACTATAAGTGCTTCCTCCGTAATTGTAACTAACTTTTTATTCCCTTTTATTATTACTATTCTTATTATTAATATTATACCTCAATTCAATAAATAGTTTACTTTATAAGTAAATATTCTATAATTAAATTCAGGCTTAGTGACTCATTAGGCAGTTTATCGACACACTTTTCGACCGGAAGGACGTCAACACCAAAAAGAGGGTAAAACCTTTTAAAATGGGCTTTTATTAACTTTTCTTTTGTTCCTATAATCAAATTTGTTTACTTTATGATTTATAAGGAAAGTATTATTTTATTTAGAAAAGGAAAAAAGACTGCGCTAACTGTTGTTCAATTCTTTCTCTTTTATATATTATGTTCAAAAAGGAGTAGAGGAGAAGAAGAAGAAGAGGCTGTTCTATCTTTATTGTCTATTTATTTTCTTTTCGTATACTTATTTTCTATTTATTTTATCTTTCTTTTTTCTGGTAAAAAGAGTTCTCTTTCTTATTTCTTAAGCATTTCACAAAAAATGTTAATAGAGTTGAAAAAAAGTAGTATTATTTCTTATTATTCTTTGTTCTAATCTACTTTTCTTTTTGCTTTAAACAGGTTAAGAGAGGCCACCTATAGCGCTGGTAAACTTTCATATATACTGTTTAAGTTTTACTAAAATATTGCTCTACAGAGGAACGTCTACTTCGAATCTATTTAAGGGGAAGACCAATCAATATGCCAGTTCCTAGTTATATTCAAGATATTAATGTAGCAAAATCAGCACCTCCTCCAGTTGAAAAACTCAAATTGGAATGGGTCTACGGCTACAGAGGAAAAGATAGCCGAAACAATTTATTCATATTACCAACTGGCGAGCTAATCTACTTTATAGCTGCTGTCGTTGTCCTATACAATGTTGATGAACAAATTCAAAGACATTATACTGGGCACAATGACGATATTAAAAGTCTATCTATTCATCCGGATAAAATAACTGTTGCAACCGGTCAGGTTGCAGGACACGATCGAAGAGAAGAAAAAGTAAGTAGAGATTTCAATACTAGATAGTAAAATTTCCCAATTCCCACCCTTTTCTAACTGTACCTTGAAAAATAAGACTTTTAAAAAATATGATAGAAAAAGATCAAAGGAAGAGAGAAAATAGGAAAAGTTAGAAATGAAACTATTCCAAAAAAATTTTCTTTTTCTTCTGTTGATCAACTATTGTATCGTTGTTGAGAAAATATTATTTTATTTCTATTTCTTTATTATAGACAGTATATACTAATATATATATATATATATATATATTTATATACTGTAAATATATAGAGTATGCTGCATATTGTTATTAATTTTTATTCATCTATTTACTATCCCCTCCTTCTCCTTTTTTGTACAGCCTATATTTTCATTACTCAATAAACGAAGGTCGGATAATGACCTGATTGAACCAAGGGATAATTGGGTGAGAAGTTTAGGATTTGTAAAAATTTAGATTGACTAATTTTCAAAAGAAATGAAAAGATAACAAACTTTACCAATCTTTTTTCTTTTGCTCTTGTTTTTTGCTCCTTTCTTATATTGTTGTTAAAAATATAAAGCTATGCCTTTGAAAAGTAATGTTTATTCTTCCTCCCTTCCCTAAACTATTTGATAAACAGCCTCACATTAGAATATGGAACTCTCTCAGTCTACAAACTCTTCACGTCATTGGCCTAGGACATTTTGATAGGGCAATTTCCTGTATTGCCTTTTCAAAAGCTGACGGTGGTCAACATCTATGCGCGATTGACGAAGCAAATGAACATATAATGTCGATTTGGCAATGGCAAAGAGAATCAAAGCTTGTTGAAGTGAAAGTAAATAAGAATTGAGATGAATTGAAGACTATACAGTATAGTAAATATTAAAAATGGATATTTTTTCTCGCAGAGTTCAACCGATACAGTTTTGGCTTGTGAGTTCCATCCTAGTGAGAGGAATACTATTGTTTCTTGCGGAAAAGGACATATAAACTTTTGGATATGGGATAGAACCGGTATAACTAAAAAATCGGGCATTTACGAAGTAAGCTTTAATAATTTCTTAAATTTATATTAAGAACAATAATAAAATAATAATTATTCTTATTTCTCTTTTTATCGTCCTCTCTCTCCATTTCCTTCCCTCTCCTCCTCCTATTCTCTCTATAGAAATACGACAAACCCCGCTTTGTTAATTGTATAGCATTTGCCTCTAATGGCGACGTAATGTCGGGTGACTCGAATGGAAATATTGTGATCTGGGGACGAGGTTAGTTATCAAAATTTATCGACCTTTTAACTGTTTAGGTCAAATCTCTTGAAAATTCCGCTATAAAAGTCTAGTAAAATATTTGAATCGAGAGGTTAAGTAGTTTGTATTTATCAAACACATTTATAAATCAACAGTTTCTCGTTCAAAAGTCTCAGATTCTCAACATTTTTCTTCTATTGTAAAAGAAATTAAAGCTGTCATTCCTATCTAACGATATACTATTTATAATAATAGCTAAATTTCGAGTAGTAAAGCTAAAAAATTTAGGCCTAATTATTGAATGATTTCTTTCTTTTTTTTTGATTTTTCTAATAGAGAAGGTAAAGAAATACTTCTTCTTCGTCTTCTTCGTCTTCTTTAATAAACCCTATTCTTTTAAATACTAGCACATCTTCTCACTTTTATTCTATAGATCGCATTAAAAATCTATTTATTCTTTTCGTTTTCTCGCTGCTTGACCTTTTTCGGTCATAGAATCAATTACAAGTACTTATCCATTCGTTTTATGTTGTATATAAATGTACGTTATACAAACCATGACATCTCTATTTTTCTGTCTCTATCTCTCTCTGTCTCTCACTCTCTCTCTCTTTCTTTTTTTCTTACCTTTTTTCTATCCTTCTCGCGTAGTTGTCGCTAAAAGCACTTCCGGTTAACAGGCACGAACAAGATTGTGCACGTATTACCTAATGTCCACGAAGGTACGGTTTTTACGATATGCACATCCAACGATGGTGTCTTCTTGTCGGGTGGAAAAGATAGATGCGTTATTAAATGGGATGTTAATTATAGAAAATTAGCATCGGCTAAAATAGATGAAGTATTCGGCTCAATAAGAACTTTTGGTCGTGGACCAGGATCGCAAATTGTGATTGGTACAACAAAGAATAATATATTAACCGGCTCATTCGAAACTAAATGGACACCAATAGTTTATGGCCATGTAGAAGAATTGTGGGGTTTGGCTACACATCCTACTTTACACCAATTTATTACCGCTGGATTCGACAAAGTAAGAGAAAAAATAGTTTTAATTTATCGGCAATCTATCTATAACAAATCTCTCTTTCTTTCTATATCTTTTTTTCTCTAACTGTGTTGAAAGTTTGAATGACCTTGTAACATATTGTCTTTTTTGCTTTCAGAACATTTTCCTATGGGACGCCCTTGAGCACAGTGTTGTTTGGTTTAAATCTTTACCTGAAAGCGCCCACTCGGCTGCCTTTCACCCCAACGGAAAAATAGTTATTGTAGGTTTATGTAATGGCCGCTGGTTAGCCCTGGAGCTCTCTTCCCAGCAAATAGTCTCTTCGCATTCAGATGGTAATGAACAGGTTGAATGCCTAGCCTTCTCTCCTGACGGAAATTCTCTGGCTATTGGGAGTAGAGATAATATGATCTACGTCTACAGTGTAACTGAAGATGGTCAAAAATATTCTAGAATCGGGCGTTGTATTGTAAGTGCTCTATCGAAAAAACGAATTAAATAGAACCTTTTCATACGCCGCACTCCATCTAGCGGTTTTCTTTCATCTCTTTAGAATTTGTTTTCTCTTTTTCAGTCGTACTGAAAATTTTAACACAAAACTTGCTTATCCTTTCAAAACAGGGGCATTCAAGCTACATAACGCACGTTGATTGGTCAGCTGACGGGCAAGTTTTACAATCGAATTCGGGAGATTACGAAATACTATTTTGTAAATATAATAAACATTTTATTGAAAATATTTAAAATTTTTCTAAGAAAATAGCGATTATTTTAATTTAATCAATGAATAAAAAGCTGTTTTATTGTTACTTTTAAAGGGAATAAAGGTAATTGCAAGCAAATAGCAACAACGTCTCAACTAAGAGATATTGATTGGGCAACAAGTAATTGTACATTAGGATTTAATGTTTGCGGTTTGTGATATATTTTGCATTATTTCTCCAATAATATGTAACAAATAAAACAATACAAACAAAACAGGTATTTGGCCTGACGGAGCAGACGGAACTGATGTAAATGCTTGTTGTAGAGCGCCCAGAGCCCATAACCTCTTGGCTAGCGGAGATGATTTTGGAAATGTTAATTTATTCAAGTATCCTTGCTATCAACCAAGGGTACGTTATTAATTTCATTACCACTTATAAACAAAACACAAAACCTTAACTCTAATCTACAATACAGGCAAACTGTCACACTTTCGTTGGGCATAGTTCTCACGTGACAAATGTTCAATTCGTTAACGATGATTCAAAACTTTTATCGACTGGCGGAAAGGATACTTCAATCTTACAATGGAATGTTTCCATATAAACAGCGAATAGATGAGTTATTAAAAGGTTTTGAACAATTGAACAATGGAAATTGAATGAAGTACATACTTGATTTTGGAGCATTTTGTTTTTATTTTTTTGTTGGATTAGCAGACGAATCTCCTGAATGAACTTAATCTATTATTTGTTTGCTTGATTGTTTGTTTGTTTTGTTTATACTATTCTAAATATTTTTTTTTCATTCCTCAACTGTTAAAGGGTAAGAAAAAAGACGTTAAAGGAAAACAAATTCATTAGCACCGTTCAAAAGTTTTAGTCAAAGACTTAGTTCTTGAGGAACGAATGTTAAAAAAAAACCAAATTGTGGCCATCTTTTACAAAATTTATTATATTAGAATATAACGACATATAAATAATTGCTGAGCTGGAGATCAAACGTTTTTGATCGATGCTAAAAAATCGTTTTTATATGTATATACGGAGCTTAGATAAATTTTAACTCAACCATCATTAAACCTGTAATGTGTCTACCTCTCTTTCTAAATAAGGTGCAATGTGCTAATTCTTTATCTTTGTTTATTTGTTTGCATTTATTGAATTCTATTACAAATTCCATATAAACAAGATAAAAGAATTACTAATAATTCTTGTTTAACATATATACTAACACAATTAACATAAAATTCAACAAATAAACATTTCTCTATTATCAAAGTATTTAGAAGTCATTTGAACCAAAATGTTCAATATCAATAGTAGAATACGACCTTGAAGTATTTTTTATGATTTTCTATAAACCACAGATGCTACAAGCCTACTCTTCCATATATTAAATACTTTTTGAATTAAATAGCAGTATAGCTATATTTTTTAAAACATTATTCAAACAATATCTAAAACTTATAACCAATGAATTACTGATAAATTCCTTATGTTGTCATAAAACATTTCATAAATTATAGAACATCATTTTTTCAAAAGAAAGAAGGCGAGTTTAGCTAAACTTTGACTCTTCGTTAATATCTTTCTTCATTAGCATTTCTTGAATTCTATTACAAATTTCAATGAAGAAGATAATAGAATTTATAAAAATTCTTGTTCAACATATTTATACCAACACCATAAGCGTTAAATTCAACAAATTACAAATTTTATATAGTCGAAGCATCAATGATTCACATCAATAGAAAGGCTTATTTGCAATAGCAGAATATAGCTAAATACGGGTACTTATTAGATATACATTTCGATGTTTCTGCATATCTATCAAGTCTTGACATATGTTTAATTGTAATTGTTGGATTTATGTGATAAAATGACTTTTTCAAAGAAACAATAATCTTAAAAACCATATAAAATTTCTTCATTTTTATTACAAACTTATAAAATGGTTCTGTCTCCGAACTCTCAGACATGTAGAACTTCGTGCTCTTTTGCACTGACACTACTTTCATTATTTCTAACTTATGACAAACCTGTCTTAAATCAGATATCTTCTCATTCATTCTATCTTCAATTAAACTTGCCATTTTTAAAATCAATCTAGATTGTGTACTTATGCTTTCGTATCGAACACAAAGACAATATTCCGGTGGAATATTCGCTCCGCTACAAGTTCGTTCTGAAGGAATTTTCTCAAATAGGCTTAAAGCTTTTGTATGTCTAATTGGTCTAATACTATTTCCTGATAAAATTTCGACTAGCTGACCTAGAGTGGCGTGCATATCCAATGGCGTAATGAGTTTGTCTCTATTTGATTCAAGATTTGACACCAGCTGTGGATACTTCGTTCTAAAGGAATCTGGTATTAACATACCCCAATAAGGGTTCAAACCTTCGTATTCCATTTGAGCTTCTTCGGCAATTTTCATATATAATAAGCCGTGATCGGACATAAGAAGTACTAGAGTATCATCCAACTTACCTGAAGACTTTAGAGACAATAGCCAATCACTGTGAGCTTTGTCAATTAATTCCACATCAACATATTTACCGTGAGAAAATTCTTCAAGATTAACAAAAGATAATTTTGGATGACCTCTATACGCTTCCCAGAATTCTTCGATGTAGTTAAGTAAAATTTGATGCCTAGTTTCGTTACCAATACAATACTTTTTAGTGATTTCGTTGGGAAAAGTAAGAAACCAAGGACGAGCATAGTGATGAGACGGCGGTTTCTTAAATCCAAGAAATCTATAATGAAATGTATTTTTGTCCCCGTAGAGAAAGACATATTTCATCTTTTTGAAATCTTTCCAAATCCATGGAAAGTCGTCCAAGTGACTAGCACCTTTAACGCCCCTCTCTGCTTTGTGTAAATCCCACTCTCTCTTACCTGTAAACATAGGTAGAAGGGTTTTAATAGTACCCTTTCCTATATCATTTGCTTTTTCAAACCATATTCCTCCCAAGTGTTTGAATGTTTGAACAGTTTGATTAAGTCTTCTATACCATGACATCTTGGAGACGGAATCAATTTGAAAAATTAATATATTCAATTTATTCTCTAAATCTGTTTTATTCAATTTTTGTGGAATATCCAGTCTTCTTTTAATTGTTAATATCAATTTAGAGTAGTTTAACTCTGTTCCATTTGATAGTTTCGCTTTACAAGATACTTTAAACACATCAGATGGCACTGGCGAGTTATTGTAAACATTTATTGTCCTTCCGTTGTAAACTTTTGCGTATTTTCTTTCGTTTGTTTCTTCTGCATCTTTCGTATATTTAATAACAGCTTGACAAGTGATGTTATCATAAACTTTTCTAATGTATAGTTTTCCCTTTCTGGTGAAAACCCAGTCGTTGTTGAGTGGGTCACAAACAATTGGTTTAGGCTTATAATTATATTTTTCTAGCTGTGGAGGCCAAAGTGATAACTTTGGCATCACACATGCTACTGATTCCTTTAAAGTATTGTTTCCTGAGTTAAGACAAGTTGAAAATATTGATATCAACAACAATAAGAAGAATATTTTAGTCATAATTAGAAATTTCTTTAAAGTATTTAAAGAATAGATGCTTCTTGACACCTTAAACATATTCTCGACTAATGATGTTAACTTTGCGTTTTTAATAATATGGTTACCTATCCGAATTGTCGGATATACAATTCAAGGTTAATTATGAGGGAATACACTATATAAAAAATTGAAAAGCTAATGTTTAGTGCTAGAAGAACAGTATAGGTCAAGTATTACCTTAAATTTACAATTTAATCTGTGTTTGGGTAAAAGTTTCCCACCCCTTTGACTTTTAAATTGAATTCTCTGATTCCACAAATGTATCCTTGAAAATTTTTATGTGCGTCAGTTGAATTATAGTTTTTTAACTGTTCTCAATGATGAAATTGGATATTTTTGAACATAAATTGAAATCCATTGTTCCGCTTTCAAACTCTCAAATGAACAACTTAGGAAAAATGGACATGTTGCTGAAAAAACGACGATAATGAATATCCAATACCCGCTTTGTTGCTTCCCTTATATTCTTATTCTTCACCTACTTTTTCTACTTTTGATTCAATAAAAATGTTTCAAGTTCTAAAGAATTTTTTAATTGGCCGACCAGTCCTCATCACCAAATAATCAATGAATATATAAAAATAGAGTGAAAGAAAAAAGTTACCTCCTACTCTATTAAACACCAGATGTGCTTTTGGAAACGTGAATGGAAATTTCAAATTTTCGAAAAGGAACCTTCATCTAAGAATGGAACGTTTCCCTATACAACAATAGAGAAAACTAAAAAGGATTTCTCATGAGTGAAACATATCTTTGATTTTTAAGCTTTCTTTATATTTTTTTATTGCATCAACAAACGAATTTATGAATGAATTCGATCTATTAATTAATCATTTGATAGTTTGTTTCAATTTTCTTTTACTATTCAATATGTCTTATCACTTTCATATCTATTTAGGAAACTTGGAAAGATGTTCAATAATTATTAGCTGTAATGTATCTCCCTCCTTTTCTAAATAAGGTGCACTGTGCTAATTCTTTATCTTTGTCTATTTGTTTGCATTTATTGAATTCTATTACAAATTTCGATACAAAGAAGATAATAGCCTTTATAATAATTATTGCTCAACAATTGGCAATAGCAGAATATGGATAAACTTGGGTATTTATTAAATATTAAATAATACTGAAAGAATAAAGATAAAATTTAACAAATAACAATTATTTGTCGAAGTAGCAATGATTCATTTCAATAGAAATGCTTATTTGCAATAGCAGAATATAGCTAAATACGGGTACTTATTAGATATACATTTCGATGTTTCTGCGTATCTATCAAGTCTTGACATATGTTCAATTGATATTGTAGGATTTAGATGATAAAATGACATTTTGAACAGAACAATAGCATTGAAAACCATATTAAAATTCTTCATTTTTATTACAAACTTATAAACTGCTTTTGACTGGAAATGCTCAAGCATGAAAGACTTAGTGCTCTTTTGCACTGACACTACTTTCATTATTTCTAACTTATGACAAACCTGTCTTAAATCAGATATCTTCTCATTCATTCTATCTTCAATTAAACTTGCCATTTTTAAAATCAATCTAGATTGCGTACTTATGCTTTCGTATCGAACACAAAGACAATATTCCGGTGGAATATTCGCTCCGCTACAAGTTCGTTCTGAAGGAATTTTCTCAAATAGGCTTAAAGCTTTTGTATGTCTAATTGGTCTAATACTATTTCCTGATAAAATTTCGACTAGCTGACCTAGAGTGGCGTGCATATCCAATGGCGTAATGAGTTTGTCTCTATTTGATTCAAGATTTGACACCAGCTGTGGATACTTCGTTCTAAAGGAATCTGGTATTAACATACCCCAATAAGGGTTCAAACCTTCGTATTCCATTTGATTTTCTTCGGCAATTTTCATATATAATAAGCCGTGATCGGACATAAGAAGTACTAGAGTGTCTTCCAACTTACCTGAAGACTTTAGAGACAATAGCCAATCACTGTGAGCTTTGTCAATTAATTCTACATCAACATATTTACCGTGAGAAAATTCTTCAAGATTAACAAAAGATAATTTTGGATGACCTCTATACGCTTCCCAGAATTCTTCGATGTAGTTAAGTAAAATTTGATGCCTAGTTTCGTTACCAATACAATACTTTTTAGTGATTTCGTTGGGAAAAGTAAGAAACCAAGGACGAGCATAGTGATGAGACGGCGGTTTCTTAAATCCAAGAAATCTATAATGAAATGTATTTTTGTCCCCGTAGAGAAAGACATATTTCATCTTTTTGAAATCTTTCCAAATCCATGGAAAGTCGTCCAAGTGACTAGCACCTTTAACGCCCCTCTCTGCTTTGTGTAAATCCCACTCTCTCTTACCTGTAAACATAGGTAGAAGGGTTTTAATAGTACCCTTTCCTATATCATTTGCTTTTTCAAACCATATTCCTCCCAAGTGTTTGAATGTTTGAACAGTTTGATTAAGTCTTCTATACCATGACATCTTGGAGACGGAATCAATTTGAAAAATTAATATATTCAATTTATTCTCTAAATCTGTTTTATTCAATTTTTGTGGAATATCCAGTCTTCTTTTAATTGTTAATATCAATTTAGAGTAGTTTAACTCTGTTCCATTTGATAGTTTCGCTTTACAAGATACTTTAAATACATCAGATGGCACTGGCGAGTTATTGTAAACATTTATTGTCCTTCCGTTGTAAACCTTTGCGTATTTTCTTTCGTTTGTTTCTTCTGCATCTTTCGTATATTTAATAACAGCTTGACAAGTGATGTTATCATAAACTTTTCTAATGTATAGTTTTCCCTTTCTGGTGAAAACCCAGTCGTTGTTGAGTGGGTCACAAACAATTGGTTTAGGCTTATAATTATATTTTTCTAGCTGTGGAGGCCAAAGTGATAACTTTGGCATCACACATGCTACTGATTCCTTTAAATTATTGTTTTTTGAGTTAAGGTATGTAAACATAATTGATATAAATAATAATAATACGAATACTTGAAGAGTTTGTAGGAACTTCTTCAGAAAATTTGTAAAAGAACCGTATCTCACCAAAGTGCGAACCTGTTCCATAGTTTCCGTTACACAATTGATATTTTTAGTCTGGTTACCTATTCGAATTCAAAGAGACACAAAGGTAACCCAGAGTGTTGAACAAAGAATAGTTTTTTTTCTGAATGTTTTACCGAATTGGAAGTAAATTTATTGTAATATGAAAATAGACTACATTTATGGTATTTTACACTTTTTTGCTATCGACTCTTAATGATATATGTAGACAAGAATCGACTGAAGAAATATTAAGACAATAGCCATCTAGGTTATTTACTTCTTTCTATATCATCATCATCTTCTTCTTCTAGTTCTTTTTCTTCCTCTTCCTCTTCTTCTTCTTCTTTTTCCTCTTCTTCTTCTTCTTCTTCTTCTTCTTCCTTCTCTTTATTCAGTCGTAATGATATAAGCTTTAAAGGATTACTCAACTGACCACATGCTCCTTCTGGACCAGCTAAAGCACAAAGAGAGAGAAAGAAAAATGTAGCAAATATCCAACTAACAATCATTACTGTTACAAGGAATGTACCGAGCTTCTGAAAGACATCTACAGACGATGTTATAGCGCATAACCCCGTTAAAATTGTTGTTAGGGATGCTATTGTAACTGAACTACCAACCCTTTTTAGAGATTCTCTCATCCTATCCTCCCTTAACTCTAATTTAGACAGCTTATACGCCACGCCGTAGTGTATAGCAAAGTCAATGCTCATTCCAACAGCTAGTGAAATTGTAACGCTTTCTATTATATTCAACTGCCAACCGCAAAGAACGAGTATACCAGTTGTTGTAAAGATGGCAAAAGCTATCGAGATAATGGCAAATACAGTAATTAATATATTTAGAGTAGTAGCCAACATGACAAGAAAGGAGATGATTAAGGAAATTCCCATCGATTCGTAAGTATTCGACGATAGTAAGTTTTGTATTTCATACATTAAAAGATAAGTTGAATAGAAACCATGCTCCGTACCTTTAGGAGTGATAATCTTTTCATCATTCTTTATACTTTGCCAAAAATCGTCTAGATCGTTCTTCAATTCGTTCATAGGTTCGTATTTTGAGGTAAAACCTTGTTTTGTTAATAGGGTTATAAGAAAAAAACTTAATCTTCCAGTTTTCTTGTTAAATATGGGATAGTCCAGTAAATACCTTTGATTTGCGGAGCTATTACTTTGGTCAATATTTAACTGTTGAAGGGTTTTTAACTCTTTTTCAGCTCTTTCTGCAACGTAATAAAAGCATGTGCTTATTAATTTAACTGGAAATAGTCTCCTTATGATAGGAATGCCGCAACATCCTTGAGGTGAATTTATATTACAATTTTCCTTCAGTACCTCTTCAAAGAAATCAATAAAGAACACTATTTTCAATGTAGAAGTATGTTCTCTTGTCCAATCTTTACTTAATGCCCTTTTACCGATAATCTTAAAATAGTTTAAAGTATTATAATCTTGAAAGTTGATTTTAAAAGATGGATTTAAAACTCGAACATCTTCGGGATCCCATCTACTACCTCTATCCTCTAACTTCGATCCGAAAACGAAATGGAGAGGCAGGCCCCTATCGTTTCTAATTTTCTGCATCTCTTGATAATCTCTAAACAAACCATGATAAATTTGTTCATAAGCTTCTAACGGAACGTCATTCCTATAGACTGGAAAACTATCTTGACTCGGTAATTTAAACTTCGGAGTTATAAGTACAACAATAATACCGGAAGTACCAACTGTCATTAGGAGAAAAATCAATTCTATTTTATAGTTAATTACGAAATTTGGTATTAAAATAGAATAGATGTATGTATTTAGACGTTGAATAAAATTGCAAACTTTTTCACAGCCATTGGTTAGACATTGAAAACTTATTATAGGCCTAACGAATGGGTTATATAGCTTTTCATTGAAATATCTCAATACAATACATATTGCCGGTATCCACAAAATCATAAATAATAGATTAGCTAGCACAACTATACCACTAAATATCGAAAAGCATTTAAGGGCTGTTATACTAGTAATAGTACCCGCAAAAAAAGCTGTTGAAGTTGTCAGTGACGTCACCGAAATGGACGTTATAACGTGTTCAAGAGTTTTTTCCAATACGTCAATTAAATCGTCTTTTTCGTCTATGTTTTTCAGTTGAAATTGGTAAGTTTCTTGTTGAAATGTATCGAAAAAGATGAAAACGTCGTCTGTTCCAATAGCAACTAGGATGAGGAGAGCGACGACGTTCATAGATGGAAAAAAATTTAATCCTAGAACCAAATGATAGACAAAGTAACTGAATATAAATGAGAAGCATACTTCCAATAAAGTAGCAATCATTAAAAATACCGATCCTGTATAAAGCATAAGGATAATCATAACGCTACCCAAACCTAGTGCTAAATAGAAGAAATCCCCAAGGAGAATATCCGGAAAGAGGATATGCTTACATCTCCTACATAGCTTTAAACCCACAACCTTGATGTTATTATATTTCATTTTTCCAGGTTTTAGTAAGTACTTGTAGAAGTTTTTAATATTGCGTGACAATATTTCGTTGCCGAAAATCCTTGTGAACTTAAGAATTTTATCACTTCCGTTAGAGTAGCTAACAGGTACAAGAAAAGCAATTATAAACTTTAATAAGCCTCTTTCATAAGCTTCAACGCATTGGTCGAATGATTTTCTATAACTCTGTTCCCGTTTTTTCCTCGTAACCACACCCACTTTTGATTTAACATACTTTTGCTTTTCCAACATTTCTCTTATTTCTCTTTCCCTCGGTCCGCATTCGGTAATTAAGTGTTTAGCATGATAAACATCCTCTTTTGTCAATTGCAAGCAGTGGGCTCTTCCTGCGTATGCTGCAACGTATGCTCCTAAGCTTCTAGCGCCGCATTTTTTCAATAGTAAGCTTTGAATTTCGTCTTTTGTTTCTGCAAATTTAGTTCCACTATAGAGGACTTTTTGAAATTTACATATATCAATGAGAATAGATTGTTGAAAGAGGTCAAGTCCAGGCCTAGTCGGTCCTAAAATAACATCAAAACCTAAAATTTAAAAGCAAAATATAAGAGATGAGAGTATGAAAAAGATAATAAGATAGACAGATAAATGAATAGAAGGATAAAGAGAGAGAGAGAGAGAGAAAGATAGAGAGATAAGGAAACAAGGAGAAAGAAGAAGAGCGAGAAAGAGAGAGGGAAAAAAAAGATTTTTAATGAAGCAAAACGAAGAAAAGAAAATATTTCTCATACTATTAGCAACTCTCTTTTGATTGAATTCTTTATTAAATCTCTCATTATGAGTAATCATAAATCTAGTACAATTATAAACATTTGAAGTTTTTCTTTTCTTCCTCTCATTGAAAGTATTGAAATTGCCATTTAATTTATAAGATTTCTTTATAAAACTGCGATGAGGTGAACGATTAAATTTAACGTTACAATTTCTTATATTTATATAAGTTTCGCAGTTCAAATAGGATGTAAATAAAGTAGATATTGCCAGTTTTGTTCCCTTAGCCATAAAACCCTATATATATTGTATATAGATAAATATATACATATAATATAAGCGCAAAATGTAAATACTAATTGAATATATACAATGAAACACCGTTAGAGCCAACCTTAGACAATATACTATAAAAACTATGATAGAAGGCGCCACTGTATAAAGGAAGATGATTTTTTTAAGTTGTAACGTATTAATCAATTATCGCTTTTATTTGGAATTTCTAATGAAGAATGGTAAAACATTCTTGCGATGGGTTTTTTTTTAAAAAAAAATATTCTATCAATAGTTATCGAACTTCTAGTAATGTATAGTTGACTATAGCCGAGTTAGCACTGTATATATACATATGTTTATATTCCTTTAAGAAAAGAAGAAAAAAAGGATAAATATCAATATTAATTGAAAATGATACCTTTGTAGGATTTTGAAAGTCGGGTAATGGGATATTTGCAACTATTATTGAATAGATACAACTTCCTATTAGTATAAAGACTCCTATTATATTGATATAAGGATATTTTACTAATATTATTGAATAAAATCTTAATATTCTCATATTTGTTTTATTCTTTATCCTTTAAAAATTTAAAATTATTACTGCTTTATTGTTGTTATTATTATTTTAATTTATTTATCGTCTTGTAGATGGCGCCTATAGTAGATAAAACATTATTAGCCCTAAAAGACTCGTTTCCTCTCTTATCGCTTTCATTGATTGATTGATTGATTGATTGATTAAATGATTGATTAAGTGAAGTGGAAGGATAAGGGCTAGTGATACGGCTACAAAAATAAGATTTTTGAACGGATTAGAGTACTATTACTGTTCAATAGGCTTTGCAGTTATTGCTAAGTAAAAAAAAAACGTTCAAGCAAAAAAAGAAAAAAGAGAGGATAAATTGGAAGAGGATAGAAGGACAAAGCAATATTATGACTACGACTTAGAGAGTTATTCTACTTATTTATAATTTAGCTATTGACTAGAGAATATTAATAAAGGAGAAAGGCGGCGGGAAAAAAAGGGTGGTTGATCAATTCGTAAGATAGTTGAAGAAATAATTGAAAAGTATGAAAGGAGAAAAGAAACTCCTCGAAACTGTAGCCAATTCCTGAAAAGGAAAGAAAAATGGAAGTTATTGTGACCCTCTTAAAAGAGAGAGAGAGTACAAGTGGTAAGTATAGAGAGCTGAAAGATTCCTATACCTCCATAAAAGATCCGTTAAAAGGAAAAAGATTAAAAAGAGCCTATTGATAATCTGTATTTATTGCAATTTTTTACGGTCGGACGAACAATTGAATATGAGAATTTCTTCTGCATTGAAGTTGCCGATCGGATTAAAACAAGGTTAACACAGTTCGTCCACTTCAAATTGACATTCTATAAGAAAAAATTCTAACTACCCTCCCAAGCCTATTAGGCGTCTCTCCCACTAGTTAATTATCTCTCTCTGTAGTCTAAAAGTATACTGTATCTATATATAAAGGGAAATATATCTATATATACTGTATATGTATACAATATCTATCTAATATATTGTCACTATAAACATGCAAGTTATATATAAATTAAGCATATAGTTTAATATAGATAGTAACGACTATACCAAGTACAGTATAACTGGAATCTGCATGATAAACGGCCTGCGTCCTCCCTGGTTTCATCTTTCTTTCTGTATAAATGTTCTTCTTCTTCTTCTTCTTCTTCTTAAGAAGATAAAATAAATTCATCTTTATCTACTTTGTCCGCTTCCGAATCGGGCATTATTAAGCACATAAACTCTTTCCCTGTTCTGTTATCTATTGGATAAATACACGTTGGTTCAAAGTGTTCATTTCTTTCAACGTAGTTACATAAACGAACGTAGATTTGGGGATAATCCTTCTCTAAACGAATACCTCTCTCTAATAGTCTACTTTGCACGTGAGCAAAAAACACTCGGCGCTTACTTAATTCAGAACTATCTTCCGATGGAACTTCCGTTAATATAAGAGGCCTATAGGGACCGTCTTTTTGCGGTATTAGTTTGTAACTATCTGATAATCTAAATTTCCCGTATTCTCTCATAATAGTTGTCCTATTTCTAGGTAGAGGATGACATTGTTCCATTTCACCGTCTATCTCAACGTCGAGGACAAACTTAATATCAGGATTATATTCTGCAACAGTTTTTATCAGTTTTTGTATGTAACCCGTATCATCTTTATGAATCTCACTAATTCTCTTCAATTCGGATAACGAATGATAAGATAAATTGTCTTTTATCTTTGGATCAACGATAAATTCCTCAGCTTCCCGACAGTTCTCAAAAACCAATATCAAACATCCTTTTCCATATTTTAATAGGCCTGTAAAGGCTCTTTTAGAGAATTCGTCGCTTAATTGACTTTCGTCATGGACAGTCCTCAAGACTCTCTTACAAACAGAATTTAAACGAGACTGCAGGCAATTTTGTTTATGTCTAGGCCTATGTTCACTTCGACACTGCCTACTACAATAATAGGTAAAGCAGTGATGGCAAGTTTTAAAACTCCTCCTTCCTTCTGCTAGGGGAACTTCAAATTTACAACTAGAATTTCTACATTTGATGGTAGTCCTCTCTCTTTTCACCTCGTTTAAAGATGAGGATGAATGAGTAGAGTAACCGTTTAGAGTTGGTTTCCTTTCGGATTCTTGATGATGTATCCCTTCTGTTTTTCTCCTTTCTCGCTCTCCTCCCGCTCCTCCCGCCTCTACGTCGTCCTCTTCCTCTTCAGTCTCCTCTTCCGACTTGTAACCGTTAGTCAGACGCCTCTTAGACTGCCACGCAAACATTTAAAACGAGCATAAAAGATGGAATTTTTCGGCAGAGAGAGACTCGGCTCGTGAATCGAAAAAGTAGAAATTTTATTCAATTAACAAAATATATGTCTTATCCACCATTTTTAAAATCCAAAAAGAAAATATAATCTACTAAACACGATCGTCAGTTTAGTAAATGAACAAATCATGCAGCACCTGGCTTACACTGTCAATAAATAGGCCTAGCGTAGTTCGATTTTGACGGCCTTCTAGGCTTTGTTTGTTTTACGTTATAATAGTAGTACTATAAATATTGTGGCACTTTTTTGTTCGTTCACCGTAAAAATCTATTATTTACTATTTAAACTGTTTATTTTTAATAACCAGCTATCGTTCTTCTTAATAATTAACATAGGTTTAGTAAAAATTAGAGAAAACGGCCTCAGGCGCCATCTGCCGTAATCCGATAGGCAATTATTTAAGAATAGGATAACCTATTTCGATATTGTATGTTTGATAAAGAATTCGAAAAGAGGTTGTTATGTTGACTGAAATATGGCTAAAGTAAATATAGAAATGTAAAGATTGACCCTATTTTTCTAGCCTTTAAAGGTTTCGCTCTCTGTCTATCTAAGCCTCTTTCTCTCTGCTCTTTCCCTCTTTCATTTGGAACAAAGAGTGGGGATAAAGCTCGATATTTCAGATCAATAAAATAAGTTTTATTAGTACAAATATATGTATTACTGCACATTTTATACCTCTATCGAGTTTATGGATCTATTTATAGATCAATCGAAATTTATCAATCAAAACGCTTTTCGCCTGTTTACTCTAATCGTCCCAGCATTTAATAAAGTCCAACTAATAGATTTAAAAGATTGTAATTCCTTTAGCTAAAACGATAGATGGCGATACTAGGAAATGGGAGATGGAAATGTTACAATTTGATAGCTGTAACGAAACGGAAGAATAGGTTGCCGATGCTTATCTTTTTTCCTTCCACCAAACGACCGATATCTATGGGCGCGTGTTACGCAGAGTTGAACGTAGATTACGAGTTGCATTCCTCTCTTCTTCTTTATTCCCCGAAGCTTTGAAGTAATACCAGCATCCCAAGGCTACCTGTATAACTTATCACCTCTAGATTATAAACGATATAGTACGGTGCGTAGCCTTTGATGGTTCGATGATTTTACTCATGCAGGACAAAAGGGAATGGATTGTTAAAAAGAATGAAAACAAAAAAGAAAACAATAAGGGAAGGAAAAAAATAAGCATAATTAACGTGTTTGGTGATTTTATAATAGCGGAGAAGATGAAAGAGTCGTTGAACAGTCATTAAAAACTCTTAAGCGTAGATTAAATCCCCTAAGCACCAAAACGCCATCTATCATTAAATTGATTAAAAGCTTAAAGTTCCTTGAACCCGGAGGAAAGAGACTTTAATCCTAAAACGTCTATCAGTCATTTTTTTCTCTTTTACGTAAGATCGGTGGTTGTTAAATAAAATTGGAAAATTTCTAGTTGGAGACGCCCCTTCTCCCCCGCACTCTCGCCCCCCACCCCTTCGCCCATTTTTTTCTAGTGTGCATGAGTAAGAAGCATGAAATTTGAACAAAATATGACGGCTCCTTTCGGTTAAATTGTGGGCGTTTATTAATTGTACTGAATGTAATATAGCGAAGTCTGTGTTTCCATGGCCGTCGAATAAACGGTGCATGAACGCCGATTTGTCAGGAGGGCTGAGACAAGAATGGAAGGGTTTTTTTTAACCTTGAGGCGGAAGAGAACAAGATCATCTCTTAGGAACGGTCAGACAAGCGTAGGAATGAAATGGTGTAGAACATTAACTGTCAATTTTTCGAGTGTTGGCAGACGGAGGGGGCCGTCCTTCGACGCATGCGTATTCTGCTTCGGCTGGTGGAGAAAGAAGGCATTTTATCGAATTATCGCTTTGTTCCGCACGGAAAGTGCGTTTTTCCGGCAAGACGCGTCAATTACGTAATGACCTGTTGGACATCGTTAGATAATCTTTAAAAATAAGAGAAAAACAAGCTGTAATTTTTGTACTTTATACGCCTTCATTAAAACTAGACACTTTCCCACGTAAGATTGATCACGTGATTCATTTCCTCGTAACTTTTACTTGGCGAAAATAAAAGAATAAAAAATTTACTACGAGCCCTATTTGGCTGTATAAACAGCACGTTAGATCTATATAAATGCTATATATATATTTATATATATATATACAACAGACGTCAAAAAGAATGCGTCTAATTAGAATGAGCGTTGTTTGCATGTGAGAAGGAATAGAATTTACGGTACGTCATCAAGATACTAATCTACATGATATAACGCGAACGAGCATTAGATCAAATTTCCTACCTCGTAATCCCAATTTCTCTTTTTTTTTCTCTTTCTCTCTCTCTCTCTCTCTCTCTCTCTCATTTTTTGGTATCATTTCTCTTCATGATAAAAATTAGTAGATTGATTAAAGCAGCTTTTTCTATAGGCCTTCATTAAAATGTAATTCAATTTTTACTACTGCTTGTTTTTTTAGTATTGATAATCAACTTGGATTTTTCTACCGGGATTCATCAATCTCCATTTAATGCCCATGATAAAATGGAATTAATTCAATTTTCCATCTCTTTTGGGTAACATTCCTACAGATAGACTCTTATTAATCAGAAGGAATAATACGAAAATAGTAAATTAATGCTTTTCAAATTGGTAACTAAGTAAACAAACACAAATAATTGAACATTCAAGGAATTTTTCATCATTGAAAAGTAAGTTAAGTGGAAGAGAAGAAAAGTTGAAAATTGCATGATAAAAATTGGATTGTTCAAACTTTAATCGGGTTGTGTGGTAAAAAATCGACTTTTCTCGCACGAATCGGTAACTTTAGACGGTTGAAGAGCGTGACAGGTTGACAAAAAATGAGATAATGTGCAATCGACGTACAATTAAGGTTATAACTTAATTAGGTTTTATTTTCCTTTCATCTTGCCGCCTCGGGAT